TAAAATGAGTTTTGTAACTAAAATGGCATTGGCCAAGATGAAAGGTGAAGTATCTAATTAAAAAAATGGAATGAATTTGTAACTTATAAAACAAGACACATACAGGGGAATAAATGGTTATGTCATTAAGTGGTTTATTTGAAAAAACTCCAATCCAATGCAAAAAGACTCAGTACATACAATAGGCTCTATATTATAGTATACACTGTTGCTCATAAATATGGAATATTTTATAGATACGAACTGTTCGATGGAATTTCTACAAAATGATAACATTTTGATGAAAATTTGTAATGTGTTCTCATTCCCTCATCAGTTTTGCATATAAAACTGATTGGTATGAAAAGTTAAAACATTTATGGTTGATTAAACTTGTATTCACTCAGGTGACCCCATGACCTCATGATATTGGTAACTTGAAAGAGATGTCCAAATCTTAGTTGTAATCATTATGCACATTTTATTAAATTTTAATTTAGAGTTGGAAGAGTTTTTAGAAGGCATGCCCCATAGAATAAGCGAAAAAGAGCATGGCAGGTCATAGGGATGGCGCTCTCTGGCATGAAACAAACTGCCATTGCCAGGACCCTAGGGGTGTGTCAGGAACAGTCTCTAAAATTTTGCAGTGGTACCAAAGGCACTGGAATATGACTCCAGGTCACAGCAATAGTGGCCCTAGAGAGAAAAATGTAAGAAAAGACCACCACATACTGCATTTATGTCATCAAAATCGCTTATCAGTCAACCAGTGGTCTACGAAGTGAATGGCTGTCCCACCTCAAAACCTGTGTTTATAGACAACCAGTGATTTCTTTAAAACGGATGCAAGGCCATGAGACCTTTAAAGAGACCAGGAAAGCACCAAAACATTGGACCTAATCTTTGGTGTCATAGGACAGCATGTGAAGAAATAAGATGTGTCCTCCACAAAGTTGATAATTGTGTTCGTTTCTGTCATAGACCAGGGGAAAAAGACAATAAGGACACTTACTGATGTGGCAGTCCATGAAGGCGACCCTATTTATGTTTGGAGTAGTATTACAGAGGTTGTTTGGAGCAGTACTACAGACGTTGCACCCCCTTGGTGATTCCAAAACATAATTTAAGAGTAATTTGACCTTTTGGACCTCCATCAAGTACCACATGCAAATAGAGTGTTTTGGGGCAACATTCAACTGCAGAATGATCATACTGATGCATATGCTAGTGGCATCGTGTTGGATTACATCAGGGCAGGCAATGTGGACCAGCTACCATGGGCACAAAAGTCAGCCAAGCAGGCTAATGCAAAGCAAATGTGGGACGACCTTGGTAATGAGAATCGTGACTTGGACCCCCACCTCAAAATTTAGACACGTTACGTACTGCCCAGATTGAGGAATGGGGCCTTATTTCACTTAGAAAGGTCAGATGTTTCATTCTATGCTGGTCCGGTAGGGTTGATGCTCTGATTGCAACACAAAGAGGACATAACGCATATTAGTGCTATCATTGGATAGAGGACACTTCAATGTTCATGACCAGATGTTTATTTTGTTTGATCTGTTTTACATGACGATTTGGATCGGGGTGTTTTGAAAATGCAAAAATTCTTAGCGTACCCCTGTTTAAATAACAGTAATTTTCTAAACTTAAATGTGAATATTTTTTCTCTAAAAAATGTTGATTTGTAGATGAAATATGTGGTTATGATTTGCCTAGAAAATAAATGTCTGAACCAACTCCAAATAAATGTTCTCTTACTCCAAACTTTGAATTCTGAGCTGCCAAATCTAATATTCCATATTTATGAGCAACAGTGTACTCTCTGTATTGCACGATTGTTAAAAAACAAATTCTCAGGTGAAAATAAAATAATGTTTTTGTATGATATGAATAATTTCTATCTAATGTTCAAAACGTGCATGTCATTATACATGATATTAGTATATTTTTACATTTTGAATTACCATTAAGCAAAGGTCACAGAAAACTCAATGGACTTCTCCCTTATATCTAGCCCCATACTGGCATACATTGTATGAATCCAAAACTAAATTATGAAAATTTACTTAAGAAATGACCATTACAGCATTATGAATTGATTTAAATGAGTTTTGGCTTTAAGTATAGAAATATTGATGATTTGCTATAGTTGTGACCTGCCACATACTAAAAGTAGGTTGGAGTCTAACAGTGATTCCAATATGGGATAAACAGATTACTTTTCATGTATTTTCAAAGCTGATTTATTGGACATTAATAAGGTGAAAAATGTAGGATGTTAAAGTGTAGATTGTTCAGGATTATTAAGAAGATTTTAGGTTTAAAGCATGTAACTTGTTGTAATATATTATTTTTATTCCCGCCATTCAATAGTTTATCTGAAGTTTATCTAAAGTCACTTGGAACACATGTCTGGTTATTTCATCATGTTTCTTCTTAAATGTATGAATAAAATATTATTAATATAAAAAGATCCTTGTGAAATATTAATTTTCAACTATGTAAAATAGGGTTCAAGTGTTTTTAGAATTGCTGTGAAGTGGAACTTTTTATTTAAATGCAAAAGTAAAATATTGTCTTGATTTGTAAAACTATTTCAAAAATCACAAAATTCTCGCAAAAACTATCGATTCATGCAACACCTCTTAACATACTCAGAAGCCATCTAGGTGATTTTGAACATAACCCAGGCATTATGTTTAAATAAAGCGGATTTTAAACTATGAGAACCAAAGTATCCTTTCAGTTATTTCAACATAAGATGAACTTTCAATTTTGCACACATTCCTCTCTTTGAGTTTCAGGACATCAGTAGTCTATTAATATTGTCTCTCTAAAAGAACAGTATGTCTAAAGTGACTTTTAATAAAATGTTCAATGGAATATTTGATCTGGTCTAAATAAGATTAATCGGTTATGTATAAAATGTTAGCTAGTTGCTATGTTATAAAGTTAATATTTTTTCAAGGAATTCTGAATCTGCACTGTATTTTGAAATCATTATTAACTGCTAGTATACAGTCCTTGGTTGGTTTATAATCTTAAATTCTCTGTATATTTACTGTTTAACAATAATTCACTTCTAAAGCCCCCCAATACTAAATGTAAATTACAGTCGATTGAAGTTAAAACCAATAAGACGCAAACATCAATTAATACACTTTTAATGATTTCTTTCGTAATTAAGTGATTTAGTCAGTCAACTAAAATCTAAATTTGTTCTTTTTGTCATGATTGTAGGATTATTTACCCACAAGTGAAACAATATACTTTTATAACAAAAATATAGTTTTTCAGTATTTCCAAACTACATATACGTCACAAACTTTACTTTCCCAATATGTACAAAAACTGACAGTAAGGTAAAACTGGTGTATCTGAACACCTCTCTAATCTGAACTCCTCTCAATGTATGTGAATACATTTTTGGTTCCATCTTCAACGTGTCCTAGACTTCCATGTTACAAAGCCTTGAAATGTGAATATTAGCCAATCTAGATACTGAATACCTCAATGGCATTCAGATTAGACATGTTTTACTGCTGTATATGGTTATAAAATAATAATATAAATACAGTTATATGTCAGAACATTGTATGTCCAAACATATTTTATGAAACAGAATGAAAAAAAGACAAATATGAATAGATTTTGGTGACATTCTGCAATGACGAAACTATCAATCTGAATCTATACCAGAATGATACTCTATGAATCCTTGTTAAATTTGAACTATGAAACGGAGAAGACAAACTCAAGAAATACCCTTTACCTTGTTAACAGAAAACTAATGTTTGAGTAGGCTGAAACGTATTCAAACATCTCAGATGCAATACACATTATTTGTATACTTGTTCAGTACAAAGTAAATATGCCACTAAATTCAGAATAAAAACCATTGAGCAACTAATAAAGGTTTGGAGTACAATATGAAATGTTTATCAGTTTACTATTAGAGACACTCATTGCCTAATGTACACTTGCATTTATATTCAGGAAACACCTTTGAACACCATTCTGAACACCTGTAGTGAATAATGAACACCTAGAAACACCCACTCACAGTTATATCTTGTCAATGTTTTTAAAGACAAAAGTAATAAATTCACCATCATATGTGATCTTATTTTTAGAAATGTACCAGGACTTCCATATTTTCTATCCAGATTAAATAAATATCCATGTATGAAGAACATGAATATGGCATTTTCAGAAGGTTACTAAGAGTGCAACAATATCGCACTCATGCCTTATAACTATGGTTGATTCTGGTTTTATGGAGACAATTATTAGTCCAGGGTTTGTGGCTTGACAAGCTGTATTGGTGAGAAAGTTAATGAATAGTACTTAACTACCGAAGCAGACATAAGGAGCTTTACATCAATGATAAGGTGACTTTAATCTACTATTATCCAACAGAATGATTAAAGGAAAACACCTGTAGCATGGGTATAAGGTAAAGATATAACCAGCACAAAAATCAGATTGAGATTTAAATTGATGGTGTGAATACTGCATGGTCAAGAAATCATAAAATTATCATCAGATATCAGACAAATAACATATTGACTGATGTAGATGGTCCCATATTGAACCATCAAGGTATTCCATGCCTGAAGTCATACACTGGTTTTACAGTATGGATAGACCTCTGTCGTTAATACTCTGAATTTTACTCATTCAGTGATGACTTCTATGATTGAAGCAACTGAGTGGTATGTCAAGTTGAATCCATTTGCAAGACAAGTACAATTTGCAACAAGTTGATATTTTGGCAAACCATAAAAAATTAAGTTTTGGACAATTCTTCATCAGAATGTCAAAAAATCCTGGAGAGAATTCTGAGGTTATATTACATGTATAATGTTATAGAACATGTACAGTACATGTATATTGGTGACTTTATTGAAATATGAAAATAATCTTATTCATACACAGAAAGCTATACTTGAAAGTGTATGGGTCACTGATGCAGCTGAAACATTGTGGAAAATAAAGAAACGATGTTGTCTTACCTCTGGAACCAGATCTCGAGTTGCCAAGGGAACCCCCTACTGAAGACATCGGAGTCATTGTGAAGTCATTGGAACTCATGTACGTCTGGGAACTTGTAAAACTACCAGAAAAACTTGAGTTTGTTCTACAACTTCTCCCTGTAACAATAGAAAAAATAACTGAAATAGCTGAAGAACATAACTATGTTGAATTTGTTTTTATAAGTATAAAGAAGTTAGATTCATATTTTACTAGAATCATGAAAATGAAAATATTTACCAGTTTCACTGTCCCATATGTACATTATACCCATTTTGAATATGAATGTCAAATGAATTATCATTAACTTTCCTTGGTTATATAGTCCTAGCAAAAATAAATTAGCTGCAGATAAAAACAATCAATCAAATGAGCTGAACAGTGTCAAACATTCAAGGACTGCAACTGTCAATCATCTAATAATGTTTGTACATGATTGCCTTGATGAGCTAGCTCATCATAAAGTGTAGCATTTAACAATGATAATATATAATGATGTGCTTTCTCTCTCTCTCTCTAGAAACCCCATGATAGAAATGTCAGGTGTGAAAAAGAAGATTGTTAAGACAAGAGCACCCCAGTCTTAATGCTGAATTTGATTGCAATTATACATTTCTGGATAATAGTATTTGAGCGAAGTCGGAACTGATGACATCAAAATAATGAAACAGAGAGTAAAGGCGAAGGCAAGTAACCAGCTTTCATCTCATTATTTTGAAGAGGCAGCTTTCATTTTCAGACCTCCTAGATTTCAAGTCATGTCAATGTGGTCATTAGTTCCCACCATGCTTGCTGACCATGTTCCTTGCACAAAACAAAGTTTCACAACGTGAACAATCATGCATTGAGTTCCCTCACCGTGAACTACAAAGAAGTTTGGGAGAGAGGAAACATTTGTTTGTGACTATAGAATCGATAATTATGTTGTGAGAACCGTGGTTCGGTAGGAAGGAACGAGGACAGCGAGGTCGGAACTGATGAATTTGTGAGAATGTGAGTGGAAGTCTTAGAGGCCTAATTTTTCAACAAAGCTCAAGTTTTGCCAGTTTTGCTTCAAAAACACTAATTTTGATCAGCCTTATAAATTCATTGATTAAAATATGCAAATTTAACCCTAAATTTTTTACTAGCATTTAGCCATATTCTAGATTGAGATTTTCCATGGTGAAATATATTTTGGGAGAGGGTGGGTCTGAGGGAAAGAATATGATGAATATGAAATTATGAATTTGATAATACGAGTAAATACTTAGTTTAGCACTTTAAATGATTACAGACAGAGAACTTTTGAATAGTAGGTTTCGGAAAAAGGCTTTGGGTTTGGGGCTTTGGGTGGAGAAAAACTACATCATGCCCGTAGCCAGGGGGGGGGTTCGATGGCTTGGAGCGAAACCCATCTGGCCAAAAATTCTTTCAAAATCATGCAGTTTTTCACCATTCTGAGTACTTTTGAAGTGATTTTGGCCATTTCTGGACCACAATTGTCAAAAGTGAACCCCCCTGGAATTTTTCAAAAAGTGAACCCCCCTCCCCTTGGAAAATCCTGGCTACGGGCATGTACATGTACAAAGCTTTCCATGTGTCACTAACTTTGAATTTTGGACTCCATACTACATATACATGTATTCAAAAAAATATATCAATGGTGATGAGCAGTTATTGAGATAAATTAATTGTTATGTTTTTGAATTAAAACGTGGTTAATGGGATTTAGGCCAAGCAAATGGGCTCATAAAAGGCCCAAACATCCCAAAAATTGCAACAGTTTTTAAATTAGTCTTATATTATGTATTGATATCAGTTGAAAAACATATCAAAAATATAGAAAAATGTATGCAGTGGACAAATATGAAATTTCACTTCCTAGGTACCCCCTACAACCCTACCCCAAAATTGAGTATTGGTAGGAAACAATGTTTTGTTCCCAAATGGAATACTTTAGTCAAGTATTCAAGCTTTATTACGATAGATCACATATTCACAAATAATTAAAATATCGTTTTGATCATTTTTGAGACCAGTAATTGGTCATTTGACCCCAAAGTATAACAAAATAGGCCAGAAAACATGCATGTTATCACATATCTATTTAAATATTTTAGGATCAGTTTGTCTGAAAACCATGAAAAAAATCATGGTGTTACATATTCATATGAACTTCATATTTGGTGAGTATCAGACTTCTAACTTGTACACTTAGGAAGAAAAAAATTATTTCTTTTTCATAGTTTTGCCCCGCCCACTAGGGGAGACTATAGTTTTGAATATCTATTTAGATATTTTAGGATCAGATTGTCAGAAAAGCATGAAAAAAATCATGGTGTTACATATTCATGTGAACTTAATATTTGGTGAGTATCATAATTCTAACGTGTAGACTTACAAAGAAAAAAAAATTTCATTTTCATAGTTTTGCCCCGCCTACTATAGGGGAGACTATAGTTTTGATGACAAACTCCCACAATGCATGACATTCGTATTAGAGTTGACATCTAAATCATTTATATAGGCTTGTCATCATCTAAAATACAGGTTTTGTGAACCTTATTAGTATGAAAATAGGAATTATTAGTTGCACCAGGTGAAATGTTAAGGTGACCTCACTTTTAATTGATGAATAATTACATATCACCACTCTGATATTAGGGTATTTGGTAACTGCTCTATACTAGGCTTATCTAAATAATGTATTGTAGTTTCTGTGGAATTTAATATTGTTTAAATTATTAATTACAATCCGCAATTACAAAATTTGCATATATTTAAATTCATCAGATAAATAAATCATTACTTAAGAATACATTACTATGGAACTGGATGTATAATGTTGTAGAAACGATTTTATGGTTATTTAAAGTAATTTAACTGATAGAGCACATTTAAATCTCAGATATCTGGGGAGTCTTTCATTAAAATTTCAATGGAATGATGGTAATTCTGTCTGTCAGGTTGGAAAACATTGAGTGTACATGTGCTACACATTCAGAATCGGATGCAGATATTGTGATTGTGAAGACTGCAATCCAAAGTGTTCCAACCTCAAATACAGTACTCATACAGTTCTCCTTGTGCTTCTCATTTATCATGCACAAAACACAAACTTCAACATTTTCTTCAAACTTGAACCAAAAGCAGCAACCCAAGAAACAAAATGTTGGATATAAATGAAATAAGATTGTCTTTGGGAAAAGTGGTATGTGACAATATTTTCTTTATCCATGCTTTTCTGGGGTGTGACACCTCATTCTGAATCTGGTTATATATGGGATTGACAAGAAGCTATCATTGAGGCAGATAAAAAAGAGTGAGTTCTTGAGAAGACAAGCGGTCGTTTTTAAATTACCAAAAGCACCGGTGATCCGCTCGAAAACGCCCGTTTAGGTATGACAAAATGTCTAAACGTCGAATGTGAGATTTTTCTTTCACGTGTTGTACGCAGAATCCCCACGATGTTTTTTTCTCACAATCGTGTATCAGTATCACATGTTTTAGAAAATGTACATGTTTGCGCAAAAATAGCTTAGAAGACAATTCTTGATTTAATTCCTCACTTAAGTTACATAAACGGTTTGGGTTAAAAGTGCAAATCTTAAACCATTTATGTAACTAAAGTGAGGAATTAAATCGACGATTCTGTTGTCTTCTGAACTATCTGTTCGCAAATATGTACATTTTTTAAACATATGATACTGATACATGTTTGTGATAACAATGTTGTGGGAATTCTGCCTACAACATGTGAAATAAGGAAAAAAAGAAAAATCATAATACCTTCGATGTTCTGACATTTTGTTACAACGTACTTAGGCTTCAAAAATTCTATTAAAAGAGAGCAGCAAGATCTGAATTATTGCAGCCCCATGTTCTTCCTCCAACGTCTGATGCTGCGGGATACCACAGTTATAGAGCGTACCTTCAGATCCAGGAGTGGAAGGGAAATAACCTGCCTCCATTATAATTGGGCTGGGAAATAAGCAGCGAATTGAAGCTTTTGTACCAATAACGCAGATGCGAGTAAGTAGTTACCAGATTCACCACCAGATGGCTCATTTGGGTCAGATAGCATGGCTGGTATAGTAGAAAGTTCCCTAACTTAAATTACATCTATTTGCGTGGTTCAATTTTCATATAACCCTTATGTATCTCATAGTTATGCAAATTAAAATATGTCCAGTACAAGAAATTGTTATCTGTCCAATACAAGATAAGATAATTCAATTTTTGTGATTTTGTAACATGGGGTCTATGGGGAATATTTCAAATATGACATCATTTTGAATTTTGAATATTTAATGAATATTTCTACTCGTATCTAGTCTATTGCCTACCTGCAGCTCCCCTCTCTTAGAGATCATCCATTGTGTGTGTAAGACAGATTGAACTTCTATGAGATGTACTTGCAGAAAACGGAATAACTGTTCTAATGTATGTAAGGTATGCAAATGCATTTGTGCAAGTACCTCCATTACTGATCATGAAAATAATGATGACTAAAAAATGAAGGCTGGTGATAGGCAAGGTTGAAAGTGATTGTTGTTACAACATAAAAGTATTAAGCTTATTTAATCAGCATTATTTTTTGCTCTCTATAAGTAAGACACATATATGTAAGTTAAGATTACAAAATGAAGGCAGCATTTTTGATAATGAACATAACGTAATCGAACCATGCCCTGTATAAAGACCAGGGATTTACTTTGCGTTACACTAGCTATTATGTTAACTCAGTATAATTTATTAACGTAGAAACATTTTCCTCATTTTTTATTGAATTTCATCTTGAAATCCAACATTCTACAGTTGAACTTCTTCATTTCAATTCTCAATATCACAGTGTGGTTAAGAACATCTTAGTCAAAAGCAACAATTTTCCTTAATACAGGGTGAGCTAAAAAGGTAACCCAAACAAATCTTAATAACCCAGTCCAGTCATCCTGCATGAATTTAGTGTCATATTTTGCAGAATTGAGCCTTGGTCAATGTATTATCAATCTAGTCTCAGTGGTCTATCTCTAGTGGTCACGATTTTATGGCCATTTTATACCATGCCATGAAATATGGGCTTCATGCCTGGAGGTCAACTTGAACGTATCGGGCGTAGTTTTTCAAATCAGGAGCATAAAAATCGTGTGTTATGGCTCTCATCTTCATTCTTATCTCTTGTTTTAATGTTTCAAGGGTTGTTAGTATCGAAAATAGGTCCACAGATAAAAAAAAACTGGTGGTATTGATATCCAGTCAGTTAGGCACATTTCGATATTTTGAGCACATTTTTTAAATGGCCATAAAATCGTGACTATTAAGGATAGATCAATGACACTTAGTAGAATGAAAGAACATTGAACAAGGTAATTGTGCAAAATATGATGTCAAACCCATGCTGAATGACTGGGTTATTAACAAAAATTTGGTTGGGTTACCTTTTTTGGCTCATATTAATAACCTGATGTCAGGGACAGGGATATTTAACATTTTGTTGCCTTTTCAAGGATATTTTTAGAACACTGATTGTACTTAATTTCTAACAAATCGTTCTCTGTTTTAACAGAAAATGTATCAAATTGAATATAATAAGGGCAAAACATTTGATAATTTAGCAGTTATCAACTAAAAGTAGGGCTTCCCCTATATTTCACCTGGCATTTGCAGTTTTTTCTACTTTTTTTTACATAATCCTTCCCTGAAAACATCAAATAACTGTTTTCAGGACAAAATAAGCCTTTACAAATAATTTACTTGTGCTATTGAGTTCAAATATGACATATCTTGGAAGTAATTAAACAAAAGTAAGGTCACCCCAAAAGTTGGTGTGGTAAAATATTGAAATTTCAAATATTATTATCACCCTCAATATTCAACAAATGACCCTGATACTCATCAAATACAATTTTCAGGTATACATTAACCTCCTTGATTTTTTTCATGCAATTCTGATGAATTGATACAGAAATAAATACATTGTTATATTAAATTCGGGCTATTTGATGGCCTATTTTCAGATATTTGGGGCTAGAAATGCCAATTATTGCACTCAAATAGTTGGTTAACAATTTTTAGTTGCTCTTATGTCAGTAAACTATCATAATATTACTCATTTAGTTGACAAGAGCATTTCATTTTGAAATTAAAAAATATTTACAATCCCATACTCAAATTTGGAGGGGTACCTAGAATGTGACATTTCATATTTGTCCACTGCATATATTTTTCTATATTTTTGATATGTTTTTCAACTGGTATCAATATACAATATAAGCCTAATTTAAAAACTGTTGCAATTTTTGGGATGTTAAACTTCCATTTGCCTAGCCTAATTGGTCAATCGACCATTTATGTTACGCCTTTTGAACATCCATTATCAATTCGCTCACCTTACCACACGTTCTAAATCTTAATTTCGATCAGCCAGTCAACACACCACATACAAACGTCTTCACTTTATACAAAACCGTCAAGTTAAAGTTATTCACACTGTTAGACGATTTTCACCCACCTTCTCCCGTTTATCTTATTCATTTTCCTTATTTTGAAAAATAAAACATGTTTTACTATTCCGAAACGGCATACGACTTCATGATATTACAGGCCAGTCCAAAAAAGGATGCCTTCTTGTCCACACATGCCTGCCTGAAACACAGGTGCATGTTACTTACTTCACATGCCTGCCTGAAACACTGGTGCATGTTACAAACTTTACATGCCTGCCTGAAACACTGGTGCATGCTACAAACTTCACATGCCTGCCTGAAACACTGGTGCATGTAATAAATCGGTGGCAGGGGCTGTCGAGTTGCGTCAATGGGTTTTATTAAAACGCAGCGTCTTAGACTGACCATCGTAACCCCGGGGATCGCGATGTCTACACTCACACCCCTCCCGGCGATGACCAGTCTAACAGACAAGCTTATGCCATCTAACCAACCGCACACGCCTTGTTTTGTTATCTTATTGGGAGAGGGGCCTAGGACATTAATATGCAAATTAACCAATTTGCATAATTTCTACAGAATTCTATCTGGGGTACAGTCAGCTTTTATTTGACAGAAATCAAAACACAACTGATCAATACCAAATAAATAAAAAAAATAAATAAAAGTTACATAAAATTATTAGAAATTATAAGCAGACTATGTAGGGGATATGAAAGCCTGACATAGTCAGCTTTCCAATGATGCCAAGTTCGTCCATACACGTATCTGCATTGTACATGTGTTATAGAATTAGAGAATTAGATAAAAGATGATGTGTATGTCTTGTATTCTCATCAAATATACAAGAACAATCTCATTAGACAGACAGGTCAGTAACAAGCAAAGGTAATGGCTGCAACCTTTACATCAAAGATGGCGGATGGCATTAAGTGTTGATTTCGATACTTTTTAGTTTTCATCGAATTAAACTATGTTATAGTTGATGTAATTGTCTGATATTTGAACTATACGAGTACATATTTGAACGATACGAGTACATGTATCAGGCATATATGCATGGAAACTCTGGAGCATGATCATTTGTTCATATACCCAGGCCTGTCAACTTGGGAACACCTAACATGAGTGACTTGGAAATGTTGAACACCTCCCCTCAAAATGTGGACACCTTGGTCCAAATCTGAACACCTTGATCCAAATTTTGAACACCTTGGTTTAAATTTTATTACATCTTGCCAAATTTTGAACACCTCAAATTTTTCGCTACGCTCGCTTTCAAATATCCATCAACGGGGGGGGGGGGGGGGGGGGGGGGGGTAGGTACGAAAAATTTCAAATGGAATGCGTGACATATACGTAATTCGCGTGAAAAGTCCGAACGAAATGCGTATGTTTTTTTTCCGGCGTTCGTATTTTTGCTTGTGTATAATCTTTTTTAGAAATTTTTCTACAGAAATATTTTTGCTTGACAATTACCAGGTAAAATGCGTATTTGCGTGACATTTTCTGTCACGCAAAAACAACTGGCGTGACTTCAAATTCTTCAGCAAATGCGTGACTAATACGCAAATTGCGGGACAGTTGACAGGCCTGTATACCATATGTAGGCACCACCGTTTAACAATATCTTCCACTGCTGAGGGAAGGTAACTGGAACTTTGGGTTACAGATCATAACTGACATACGATGATGCAGTAACGTTACGAGAGTTTATAATGAAAAGCTAATATATCCAGTTTCTGCGTATTGAAAACTAACATGACTGTTACCTCATCATAAAAGTTAGCATATCAACGGTATCATACATTTCCCTAGCGGAAGAAAATATCGTTGAACTGCCCTCCCTTGTTAGCTGAGTATGGAATCTGGATCTGCCAGTGTTAGATGCGAAGGTTATGCCTATTACCTTTGCTTGATACTGACAAGTGTATTAGTGTTATGATCCAACGAAGCAATGCACCAAACTTACTGAAGAAGTGAATGCATCAAACATATCGATACAATAAACATAAAACAGATGACGGATGATAAGTCTATAAATTAGTCCGGGCAAATATGCAACGACAGTACTTACGATCAGACCCTGGAGTCCCTCTACCATTCTGATTGCCCATTCTAGTTGCACTGTAACAACGACTGTTCTGCAAATTGAAATTGGTCCAGTTTTTTGGCTTTTTAGCTAGGAAAATCAAATCAATTGATTTCTTCCATAAAATCACGAATTTATCCAAATGTCTCTAAATGACTTCATACTTGTTTTTTTCTCTATAAATATTTCATATATAGAGTCATAAGAGCCAAAATAATCGCTAAATTGGGACAATATCGCCTGCGACTATCGTCCTCAACAACCAATGGAGCACCTGTCAACATACTAATGATCAGTCCTTTCGTTTGCACTGTACTGCCATCTTTCAGTAGGCAGGTGAAAAGAGAAAATAGTTCTAAATATCCATCCGCCCGATTTCTGATCTGTATAGTGTATACTTTTACGATATGCTTCGTGTATTTCTCAATTTATCACAAAAACAAAGATCCCTGAGGGTATGATCAAATACCTTGTCAAATGAAGGCCTGACTGCTCATTTGAAAAAATACGATAGTTATGTTTTCTTCGCGGATAGATATTTGGATGCTCTGGGTCACTTCCGCTCAAAAATTATTTACAAATTTGTCTCCGCAAAAGTCCAGATATATCCTAACTGAGTGGTCAAATTGCTTCAAAACGATGTCTAAATTAAAAAAATACTTGGAAGAAGTCAAGTCGCAAAATGGGACAGAACTCGATCTCGTTGATAAAGGCATAGTTAACCTTTTAGAATCACCAGCAATTTGTGAGTAGATCTCAAATTTTTTATTCTGGGAATCAGTTCATAGGGTTAAAATAACGAAATGATGTGATGTAACCACGTATCTGCTTTCCAGTATGTTCTATGCTATCCATTTGACTCTGTTAATTGTGAAACTCGGCTAAACACGACACCAACGGCAGTATTCTGAGGTTATAAAATTTAGATCGAAAATTTCCTATTTGTAGCACCTTGAAGATTTCTGGAATTGAACAAAGTAGCGAACGTTGCGATCTTTCAACTTTAGTTCGTTCTTTCTCACCACTTTATGTGAAGCGTTTCAATTTCCTTATTTCAATGCATCATTTCAGAACTGAAAGCCCATGATAAAATCAATAAGTTTCCTAGCGTAATATCTTGTATAAAGTTGATTTTTAATAGTCAGTAGCTTCAGGGGCCCTTCCTACAATATGTGACATCGCTATCTTGGAAAAATTTTCTTTTATATTCAGCAGCAGATGTCCGAAAACCATTTTCTAATAAATTACTATCTTTCTTTGAAGACATGGTTGAGTGACACGCCACAAGTCACGTGATATCATCTAGTAACTAGACACGTGATCAGATATGTGACTGGCAAAATGGACAATATATATCTAAATTTCAAAGAATTCGGCTAAGATCAATATAGATATGTTGTTGCCTTCATTGTCATGTTTGACTGAGTTCCACAATTCGCATAGTCCGATGGATAGCATAGAACATACTGGGTAATAAACATGAGACCTTCAAATGAGCAATGCCATGCTTCCCTTTTTGTGGTAATATTTCAAAAAGTATTAGATAAATGTATATGTTTCAGTGTTATTTTGAATAAAAATCAATTTTCAATATGATCATGGGCTTCCAATACTCCTATCCACAATAAAAGTTCAGGTGGTAATTTACATAAATATCTCCCATGATGCATCGCTTTGGAAGGGAGAAATTTTCATCAACCCGCCGAACAAGTCGAATACTCTGAACGTTTCTCAGCTCCTGATCTTCCATCAGCCTTCAACCATAGTTATATGATCCAATCTATTCAATAATCAGAAAGATAATCGGAGATTCAAAGTAACATTATTTATATTTTACAATCTTTGATTTCGTCTGAGCTTACTTCCTGCAAAAGCTATGTGGATTTTGATATAATAGCTTTCCCACGGCACACTTGGACATCTTAATAAAAGTGACCTTTAAAACATGAATAATAATGAGATCCACTTTTGGTCTCTAACTGTGTCTTACATCAGTATCATCTATCCGTGCAAGTATTGGGGCGCTGAAATACTTCTTTTTCGATCAAGACTTCTAATTGTTTATTGAGTGAATGTTTTTTTCAAAACATTTCCAATAGATGCAATTGAAGGCAAAGCTTATGTATGAAATATTGGTAGTTGCCTAATGCCTACCCTTCTCGTTGAAAGCCCATTGTTAAACCCTTCCAGCTACGGCCCACAAAATAACACATATTGATAAATAGAAGTTCAATAATACAATACAATAAACTATGATTTTACTTTCAGTTTCAATGAGACAGATAACCAGAATCACATTAACACACAATAAGATAACTGGTAAGTCATTTAGCAGAATACGTTTTCAAATGAAGTTGCCTCAGTTTAATGGTCGAAAATCAAATAAATTGATTTCTCTGAAGAAATGAATAAAGTGTTTGAAAAGATATTATATAAACCAGAAAGATGAACTTACATAGAACTATCATATCATGACTCGTTAATACATAACTTACTTCTGATGCAGAAACTATTCTATAGTAGTCATTGATATCTATGTTGTAATCCCGGGGGCGGGGGAGGGGGTACTCCCATATATTGGTCATATGGGGACGTGCCGCTAAAGTGGGTCACTTGTAATTCAGCTTACCTGTGTTTTCAGTGCTTCCTCCGGCAATTGCAGATCTTCAAAATTTAGAGACATTGAACCTCTTCAATAATCACCTAGAGGTAAGTTTGTGGGGAATAATCATAATTGATCAAACAACTATTCATCAAAAATATGGTATCATTTTTTCAACTTATTTTTCTGCTTACATTCAAATTTTAAGGTAGTGCTATTCATGTATATGACTCAGTATAGTGATATTTAAAAGACTAAATGCAATTACATTCAATCATATGTTTATGTTGGTAAACGATATATAGTCTATACACTGTATATAAATGCAGAAAGAATTATAGCATTTGAACCATATTGGCAGTTATGTCATTTTGAATAAAATATTTACGCAACTGATTAGGTATTAGTATTTTCTGATGTGAATGTTTCATCTCAATTTCTTTATCCACAAGATGACATTTAGTTTGTCATGCCCTTAACATTTCAGGAGTTGCCCACAGCAATAGCTGCAATGTCCAAGTTGAAGATCCTTAACATTGGGTATGTCTTTCGGTTTTATTTCACATGTGCCATGCAGTACATCCTCAACCTGATGAAGACATATTTGGATGAAATAATGAACAGGATTAAATAAAAGACCTGAGGTGTCACAGCCATGAACATATGTTAGATTAATTTTTGTTATAACATAAAAGAAATAGAATTATTGTAACTGACAGGTTCACCAGATTTATGTGTAGTAGTTCAATTTAAATGAGATGCGGTTGCGAATACGTTTTAGATATAATCTGTTGTGCGAAAACCTCTCTAATGTAAAGTTGAAAGGAAGTGCAATACCTAGTGTATAGAATCAAAATTGATTTCTGTTCTATGTATTTATCTCAATCCATCAGGCTTTTTCAGAAGTGTAATTCTAAAAATGATAAATAAAAAATTTTGATTCAAGAATGATGAATATATTTGCAATTGCATTCAGTAGAATTTTTGTTGTAGTATGAACAGAATGAACACCTTACCTCGTGGATTTGGTGCCATTCCCAATTTAGAGGTGCTAGACTTAACTTACAACAATCTCAATGAGAATTCACTACCAGGGAACTTCTTCTGTCTAGGTAGGTAACTTTTCTGCATTACTGACACTCTGTATGGATCATCAAGCATTGTAGGATAAGGGTTTACTTGTAATCCATGATAATTAGAATGATCATGTTTTGGGGTATTGTCAGAATGGTAATTTGCATATTTTACTGACAGATGAAAGCTAATAAACAAAGTGTCAATATGATGCTATACAATGACAAAATCATAGACTAATCCAGGGTTCAAGGAATTGTATGATTGAAAAAAATTCAGGTGATATTCACTGCCCATGCTTATCGAATATTGTCTGGAGTAGGGATTCTGCGGTTAACATTGGTAATTTGATTTTTTCTCCTTCTCTGGCCCAGCACAGTACCATCTATTGTTTGTTAAATTAATTGAGGTTTATTCTCGATAGGGTAAATCTAATCTATCAGGAAACATTTCCAAGATTGGTTAGAAACAGAATCTCTAGAGATGGCGGAGTGATTTTTGGTACTATTTAGAGCAAAATGATTTTCTGAAACAGGTAGCTTTTGGTGGTAGCTCAGGTTCATTTATCTCAAATTCATGTGGTCACAGTATCATTATCTTGACATGACAAGCTAAATAAGACTATATCATCCAATATAGTTTTTCTTTCAGTGTAAATGTCGATCCTGACATTATTCAATTGTACAACTGAAAATATATAAATGAATGTGTTTTATACTATTTATGCATATACTCTTGATTGATTTATGATACCTATTCATTTATAAACCACTCGCATAATTTATTTCCATTTACAGAAACCCTACGTGCACTTTATATGGGAGACAATGACTTTGAAACAATCCCAAAAGAAATAAAGAATCTAAAGAATCTCCAAATCGTAAGTATCCAGTGTGTTCAGTTTTTGCACATCTAAAGCCATGTAAATCTTATTGACAACAATTATTTCAATAATAATGGATAATAACCCTGTTGGAAAAACTATTTTTCACAAAATTGTAATCTTTAGACACCCATATTTATTGCAGTATTTGAATTTCCTTTATCAGTTTTGAATCACAGATGAACCACATTTGGTTTTTTGAGAACATCTGAACTGAAATCCTGGAATAAGTTTGAATGTTTGGTTACAGTTGGTGCTGAGAGAGAATGATCTTATTTCCCTTCCTAAGGAGATAGGTGAACTTGCACGCTTAAGAGAACTGCATATTCAAGGAAACAGGTTAACAGTCCTTCCACCAGACCTAGGTATGCATTAGTATTATGTCTTTTGTTGCTATTACGCTGAGGCATTAATATGTGTATATTGGTAGACCAGTTCACTACATAGGTTTCATTATCCTATGCATTCACTCTAAAAACGAAATTGACTCACCATACTAAATTATGTAAACTAGAACAGCATCAGGATAGACAGCCCTGACATACGTTTCCTTTAAAAACAAAAAACTTGATAATTTGACTTTCAATATGGTTGGTTATGTTGCAGGCATTCTAGATCTAGTGGGTATGAAGCAGGTGTTCAAGGGAGAGAACAACCCCTGGGTTCCACCAATAGCAGACCAGTTTCAAGTGGGTGTGTCGCATGTGTTTGACTACATTAGATCAGATACATATAAATAGTGAGTATGGTTTATGTCTAAAAGAGTACTAAACAGTATATAGTAATATAGCAGAGTTATTAATTTTTATTTTATTTCCAACGTGAAATCACTGAAATCACCTCAAGTTATTATAATCATATTTTTTTAAAAAGTAATACAAAAAATGTATGATATTTTTCCAGTTTGTATGGGCGTCATATACAAGCGCGTGCTGATCCACCACCTAAAACCAATGACAAGTCAAAAAAGATATCTAGGTTGCACAAGAAACATTAGACACAACATCAGAAACACGTACACTTCACCCATCTTCATATGATATTTGAGTGAGACTCCTCTGCCTCTCCAGTGTTGAAGTCTCCTAGCAGTGTTTGAGGAAGGGGGCAGATAGGGGCTTGATGCGAGACTTCATTATTGCTTCCATATTTATTCATTTAGTTCTTGTATATCATCTTATTTCATCAAGGGAAAGGCATATGTGGCTTTAAACGGGTATTGAAACATGTCATTTATTCAAGCGAGACAATTAGACCAATTATACATGTAACTTAATATCTGACCATAATACTTATGTACATGTACATAATTACATCAGACAGTACAGAGTATAAGGAGAGTCATCAAAAATTCAATGTCGGATAGAAAACTAAATAAATCTAGTAAGGGGGAGGGGGTTCAAACCCATTTCAGTTTGCTATCCGACAAATTTCAACATTTAAAATTTTTGGCAATTTTGACTTGGAATGGTTTAAAAATAAAGATTTTACCTGATGCTTTCTTCGGCAAGATCATTCCAATGGAATCTATTCTATCAATAGTTGTTAAAAGCTGCAAATTACGATAGGAATAAACAAAAACTAGATCGTGTTTAGCAATAAATTTTCAAATTCTCAAACTTGAAGTCAGCGATCAACTTTCATTGTAATGATAAATGTAAATAAATCAGAAATTCTCAAACTGGAGGTCAGCGATCAAATTTCATGGTATTTAGTTTTGGGGGGAGGGGGGTCAGAGTCAAAACTAGATTTATTTAGTTTCCGACATTGAACTTTTGATGCCTCCCCTAAATGTAAACCAAGCATAGCACGAGTGAAAACAACATGTTGTTATTGGCCAGGTGCATATAGAATGATCCCACAAGGCTGTGGGGTCATGGCATGCTATCTGTCACAGTGCCCCAAGGGCATGTCATTCAACTGCCACAGGGGCATGTCACTCAACATACTGCCGTAAGGGGATGTAGGGTAGAGTAGTTAATGCCACTTATCAGATATTTATTGTGCAATATTTATACTGCTGATCTATATTACTATTAGTCTTTATATTATCGTATTTGTAGATATTTATTAATATGGATGTGTGTATTTAGTATAGTCTTATATTATCATTCAAGTTTGTCATTTTGTTTCCAACCACACCATGGGCCCTCAATGTGTACAATGCATTGATTTAAAGCCACACACAGACATTTTACCTATATTTTAAAACTCCAAAAAGTAGTAGATATGACACTGTGCCAAATGAAATGAGATAAAGAAAATATATTGTGGCTCTGAAATAAAGAAAAATCAACCTGCAAAATCATGGTTACAAGCCTGATGCTCTGACCACTCTGCCATAGCCTCAAATTGACTTTTCAGGTGTATTTTTAATATTCATTCTTAATTTTAGAAAAAGGTTTTTCCACTACACCACAATTATTAAATAAATAGTAGTCAATAATCATGCTAATAATTTTAGAATACATATCTGAGTAAATATTCCAAGCCAAATTCAGAATTAATGCTGTTAATCTAGTTTTCATTTTGAGAATCTATTTCCTGTCATGACTGTCAAAAAAACTTGGCCTCCAAAACAAAATTCTTGCTTCCATTTTTCAATATGTAGTTTTATGTATAATTGAGGAAAGAAAAATTGAGATATCAAACAGGTAATCAAAGAATATTTAAGATTATTATTAGAATTAAAAAGTTGACATCTTGCGTCAGTTGGTTGTTTCTTATGTATAGTCTCTAGTAGCTGATAATGCATTACAATGTACCTTTTGCTAATATGAAATTTAACTTCAATGTAGTTTCACTTTTTGCAGCATCAGAAACCAATCATGTAACAAAAAACTAATATCACTTGATTTCATTAACCGTATTTATTTATTTTAGTGAACTTGAATATGATCTTTCAGTCTTATGTTATGTTTTGAACTTAAAGGACAACTGAAATAGCTTTTCTCAACTTGCAGCTACAAAAATGCGGTTTTCTCCATTGTAAGCCCACCATAGAGTTCTTGCGATAGCCATTATAAAATAAATGTTAGATAACTGCTAACGGTCATAGATAACGAAATAAAACTAAGTGACTAATCAAATTGGCCCCCACGTGATTAGTAACGTCATATACAAAACATAGCTTTGGTTTATTGGTTCCATAGTAATCACAACGTCACGGCAACCATAGGATTGTTGTGTAAACAAATAACAAAACATTTTGGCATTATGACGTCATGATTTAATGGACCATAACGGGCCACGTGGGGACCAGTGAGAGATCACGTGGGGGCCAATAACGTCACAACCAATTCGAATATTGCTTATTAAGCAGCTATAACGATCGTTAGAGTGAAATAGTTTTCACACTACTGATGAGAAAACATGTCCAAATACATCTATCAAAAAATTATATTGATTCCTTTAGGTTAAAAATACCATTTCATATCTGCTTTAACTGAATTATGTATCACAAATAAGGAAAATATATCACCAGTTTAGCGCAGTACTTCAACAATATGACATTATATTATGTTCTGTATATTTTCTGTGCTTCTTCATATTTCATTGTAATGATCAATGTAAATCAGAGATGCCATACCTGTTAGTCTTATTAAACAATATGATTGTAAACTTTCATATTTACCTCTAATTAAATATATACATGTATTATATATGTAAAAACATGGAAAATTGTTTTGTTCACTTTTGTAATTATATAGGATTAGGATGCACATCCATTCAACACCAACTTTGTTTTCTCAGATCTTGAGACTATTAAGTAATGACAAAGATGAACTTTAACCTTTATGTAGGGTTCTTCCATTGAAAAGGAAACTTTTGATTTATACTAGCCACAGTGCTAAACATGATGACCATTTGAATTATTGCTTTTTAATGCAAACAGAAGTAGTATATGTTTATTTTCTCACAATTTTTCTCAAGATTTATCTATTTTTTCAAGATGATGCCTTAATTCTGAGGAATGAAAAATGAAACCTCCCATATTCAGTGGTGCACAGCAGGATGAAACTAATTGGAGTTTCATCCAAAATGATTGACAAAACTTTGATTTATGGTTTAAGAAAATCAAATCAATTAAACCTGCATTCCAAAAACTAATATTTCACCCTCCAACCTAACAGGTTTCTCAGGACATCCTTAAAGATTGGATTCATTGTTGGAAAATAACAAAATTGCATTCTGGAAGCCAATCCTCCTTTGAATTTGGAGATGGCAAGGCATGATTTTGTAGTTGTTCACAATTTCGACTTTATTAGATTGCTTTACATGGCTAACATGGTTGCCATTCAACAAAATCCCTCCACTACTTTTTCAGTTAAAGTAGAAAACAAAATAACGCACATAAATATGACCACCATTTTTCAAAATCTTCAGTCAATAGATAATTAAATGATGTATCATAGGTAAAAAAATAAAAGAGATTGGTCTTAAAAAGCATCCATTGCTTATTGATCACCCCTCATTGTAAATATGCATTTTGTCCACCATTTTGTCTATCAATGTACAGGATGTGAGGTTCTTATATTCTTTTAGTCTCCGAGATTAACAATTGCTATTTATAAATATAAAAAACAAAAATATATATTTCATATATTTATTTATTTATATATCTTAATATGTATTCATTGTCTATATATGCACAATAATTAGTCTTGCTTCAAGTCCTTGAATCCACAAATACATTGCTCACCTCAACAAAGAGGTGTAGTAAATTGGGGGAGGGGTGTCCAGAGATTTGATGCATGACTAAACAATAATTTACATATACAGTTCACTGTATTAAATAAATAATAAAACCTTCATCTTAATGTTACATATCACTCACTGAGACACTGCACTCTGTGCATGAAGTAAAACTTGAAATCCGCAAAGGGAATGATTTCTCTTCAATCATTAAATCATTTCCAAGAAATTACAATTTTTGAATATTTTATGCTGAAAATAGCATAAATGTGAACTATCATATCATGATTTGTGTTCTATTTTTTTATTAGAATAAAGCACATCTGCATGTAGAGATCAAAACATCGACCATCCCTTCATTTTGCATGGTACTTTTAGATACTGACCAGTTGGATGGAGCAATGGCTTTATAATATATCTACTATTGACTGAACTAGTTGAGGTTATACAGATGAACATTGTGTTTAGTGTGTTTTTTAACTTCAACTTTGATGTAGCCTGTATAAAATTCATAAATACATTAAAACATATCTCTATAAATTGGAATACTGCACAAGTCACATGAATTCTGGTACTGGAAATTCAAATTGACTTAATAATTATCCAGGTCCGTAGCCAGGGGGGGTTCGATGAGTTCGAGCCCTCCCCCTGGCCAAAAAAATCTTTCAAAATCATGCAGTTTTTCACCATTCTGAGTGATTTTGGCCATTTTTGGACCAATATTGTCACAAATGAACCCCCCTGGCAAATCCTGGCTACGGGCCTGTTATCCTTACATGCATTAATCTAATATTTAGTGTTTTTGTAGAATAGGAGATAGGAGAGGACAAAGTCAGTATGCGATACATCTATTATAAAAGACAGGTTTCCAGTCATTTTGATTTTGCTTTCGTACCAATACAATATGTACATGATTTCTACTAATTGAAAGCATCAAGTACAAAGCATCATACATGTACATTCCTTGTAGTATACAAGTATTTATCACAAGATCGTCCATAAATCTGTATTCTTCATTTAGTCTATCCATCAATGGATATTTTATTCCGTTATTCATTGTATAAATTGTTTATTCCATTATTTTAAAATAACACAATATCAGTCATAATGTATGTATCCTTCCTTGCATCCATGATGATTCATAATGAGTATATGTTTCTGGAATTCTCTTATAATAAAATTGCCTAATTTATTTCCATGCTATTGCTCTGAATTGGAGTCACTTGCTTTTTGTTTATTCTCTTTCTTCACATAGTCTTTAAGGAGGGTGTATCCCATACCTAATGCTATGGCACCAACTACCATACTCTGGGCTCCAACACGAAGCTTCATTAGGAACACAGATGTCGATTCACGTCCTCGATGCTTGTACTGAGTAGCGGCATAAACACATGCACCTATTAGACCAGCCCATCCTGAAATATTAATCAAATTATACTGTATACAGTGCAAAATATTTATTCATAATGTATTTTAAGTTCTGTAAATTCACTAGTGTTGCAAAAATTCTTCCCCCATCCATAAGTAGTGGAGATAAAATCGATTTGTAGGCCATGGCTCATGTTTAGAACACACTGTACTGACTCTTGTGATATTTATTTCAATAAAGTTATTATGTAACAACATTGTTTCAATAAGACACTTTTAATTAGCTTTTAAATTATTTCATAATAAAATATAATTGTAACAAGGGTTCCAATAAAATAGGGGAAGAGGGGGTATACAGGTCCAAAGATGCAATATAGTAAAACCTGTATATATTGAACATTTTTTGCCGAGAAAGAACATTCAGTGTTGGTAGATGTTAACTACAGAGGGTCATTTATACAGAACTCAGTAGAGTATGTGCGAAGGAGGGGTGTCTACTAGAGATAACTGTTCATTAGAGAGAGTTGTTCACAGATAGCTTTTATTGCACTATGACTAATTAGTTCTTTAAGACTCACCTAATGGGACATATGGGGCTTCTTGAATTTTCCTAGAAAGTTTTGAAGCCTGTGATTCCTCTTCATATGAGGTCATTTCTTTCCCTGCTACAGGACTATTTGACATTGTGGAGGTCTGGAAATAGAAATCAATAAAATTAACATAGAACTAGTTTATGGTTATAGTCTCCTAGTGAATGGATTACAGTATTACAGTGTCTGATACAAGCGCAAGGTGCCAATAGACACGTAGCCTTTTGAATATGTTGCAATATCTGCCTATAGGGACATTATAACATTTTATGATTAAAATCCTTTAAAACGCTTTTTCTCTCAGAAATCTCATTACAATTTTTGATCATCATCTCTTTTGAAAAATCTGAAGCAAAATTAGTTTTTCTTGGCCTTCAAGTAGTACATTTTAATTAGTATAACATTTTTCGATTTGAAACATGTAGTGCATTATAAAGTTTTTCCTCGGACTTCAATCATGACCTCACAACACACACCATTGCCTACTTCTAAAAGATCAGATATAAGTTGCTTTGGGGGAAACAACAAATTTAAGACCAGAATCTTTCTGATCTAATTTTTTTGATTTAATCAAATCTCAATTAGATAGATCATTCTGCTAGATGAGGTTAAAGGGAAATTCCTTCTCAGACTATTTCTGTCCTGATATGGTAGCTATAATAATTTATATACTTTACATATTTAGCAAAGCACGTGAAAATGTTTTGATATGGTCAATATTGATCATTTAAAAATGTAGTACTCCTGGACCCCACAAGTAAGCGGACAAACTCAAAATATAGCCCCATGACAGTAGTGTTCTGAAAAGAAATGCCACAGACTGACAGAGAAGCATTTTTCACCAATTTTGAAAACCCAAGGCAATAATTTTGTTAGTCCAACAAATTAAGACCTAGCCTGGGGCCTTGTTTCTTATTTGACATGACTGTCTTATGGCCCCGACTAAATAACGGCCAAGACAATTCCTAATAGTAAAGAAAGTCGTCATTAAGTTTAACGATATCTCTATTGAACTAGCCTATAGCCCACAGATCCGGAGCCAGATACTATTGGTAGTAGGCTCAAAGGATATATGGGAAGATAAGACACGGGCCAAAAAAATGACCACCCAAAAATATGACCCTCGTACTGACCTTTATTTTTTCCATCTGCCAGACATTGATTGATCAATATTTACCCTGTAATCTCTTCTTTATGTATTAGTTTGAATGGTTGCATGATATCCATTATTGACGCTGTAATTAGACTTTTCCCGGGACATTTATTTTAAATTTTCAGAGCTTAAAGATAATGGAGTGCTTCGGTAATTTCCGGCAATGTCCGATGTTGTTCGTCTCTCAAATTATGTCACATCGCAACAAACAGCCAATGAAAGTAAAGAATCGCGTAGCCTAACAAACCGTTGTTATTGTTTCTATGGGAGTTTAAGAAACGTCATTGGACTTCTCATTAATCTCTGATGTGACATCAGCCGGAGTGGCGTCACATTCTCAGTAAAGGCATTTCACTTCGGGAATAATCATTTGAACAACGGAGATAGCCGAAGCGCTCCATTAAATATACGCTCGCTTATTTTATGCTTTTAGACGCTTTCTTGGATGTGTGGCTTTAGTGATTGGAGTTGAAGCTAACAACAGTATGAATCGTTTGAGGTATGACATGTGATATTTATTGAAAAACTTGACTCCAAAATCAATGAAAAATAAATTTTCCGAAGATCGCGTGTCTTATCCTGGGCCGGTGAATTCGTACGATCCGCGATCCGATCTGGATAAATTTCGTCATGGTAATGATGCATTGTGGGATTAATCCAAGAATTTATCCAAAAATCAGTGAATTCGTACGATCCTGAGATTAATCTCAGGATAAATCTCAATCCACCTCTTGAGGTGGATTACTTTTTGGATAAATTTTATCCGAATTCCAATGCAAATTGGATAAATCTTGGGGATTCCCCCTCATAATCCTCGGATCGTAAGAATTCACCAAATATTTATCGGATTAGTAATCCAAGATTTATCCCAAAAGATAAAATTTATCCAGATTGGATTGGAGATCGTACGAATTCACGGCCCCTGGAGTATATTTATTGAGCCTAGACACAGAGGAGGTAATCTGGCAGAGGTCCGTGCTATAGCCTACTTATGAATGAAATATGGGAAGTTGCATCCCACCCTTCTGTTGAAACCCCATGCCAACAGTCAGATCATAATCATACATGTCACACTGATAAGCACTGGCATAGGCCAATATGCCAGTGCTTTGTCCCAGATTTTCACCTGATACCAAGGGTTTGTCCGGAAATGCCCCGTGGCCGAGAATGCCCCTATCTCCTCTATTTTTAGATCAATGTCTGTAAGTTTCTTGTTGATCATTGATCATTTGAAGAATGATCTTTGATGTCTGAATTTCCAGTTTCTGAAACTCTCAGAAACTTCCTTTCCATAGGCCCAGGTTAAGTACTGTACTAGTAGCCTATCTTCCTTTCAGTAAAAGGAAAATGAAAACATCATTTGATTCTTTCACTCAGCATTGAAAATGAAAAAACAATTTTTTGAACTTACTTTTTTCACTGTTCCACGATTCAAACGTTGTTACGATCGCTTAAAATGGTGGTTCTCGTCTTTATCATGTGCTCTTGAAATATTTGAACGTGACTTACAAAAAAATAGATCGAACTGGTATCAGTAATTTGCGAAATAGAACTGGCTACGTGAGGAACCTGCTCAGAGAATGAACCCATTGACCTTCCGGATTGTGCAACTCATTCTCCTTTTACAGATGTTTTAGTACTCCCCTCCCAGATAGTTTTCAAGGCTCTGCAAGGAGAGTTTGTGCTTAATATATGGCGACGTGAACTGTATCACGAAATAATTAATGTACCTCTGACTGGACTTTTACTAATATATTCATCCTTGAATGATAATAACACAACCCCATCATTTAATGAGAAGGTAACTAGAGAGGATATGGGTAAAAACTTGAAACCATTACCTACAAATGTACACCTGTGTTGGCTTAGAAAAACAAAGTAGATTTCAATCAGAAATATGTTTCATAAGAAAAGAATTGGTCCTCAAGAGGATGTGAAACCAGATTGAACTACCATCCCCCAAGATTTAATGAAATAAATTAACAGAATTTGCAGTTTATGTTATTACTACAATTTATTAAGATGCATATGAACTAGTTTAACTATAACATAACATATAATCATGTTTTACTTCGGTCCAAAGCCTTCTCTATATTCCGGCTTTGAGGAGGAAGATTGAGCTACCTTAGTATTATAAATATTGTAAATCATTGTGTCACACGCACAGTAAATATGGCATAATTATATGAAATATACCTTTATGTATAGATTTGAAGAACATCAGCTCACATCCCCGTCTGAATCTATTGTTATATTTGATTTCTTTAAGCGAGAATAATTTCAAATGTTATTCACGTCCAGAACCGGAAGCCATTTTTAGCTACAGCGAGAAAATTTCACCATGTGTCAAACTCCGAAATGAAATTTTGAAATATCTAAATCCAGACAAGCAACGCTTCATCCTAAATATGATTAATATTCTTAAAAATATTTATAAAATTTATTAAAAATGAGTTCTAGGTGCGTGTAGGTGCGTGTAGCACAGTACATACGAAATCAATGAAGTTTCGTCTAGCTGTAAGCTAGAGACTCGAGTAAATCATGTTGTACATCAGAACTAAACATAAAATATGATTGGCTATATAATTCATTTATGGCTACCACTATATGGTATCCACTGTAAGCCGCGTGTTAGTCAGGTAGGTAGAAACTATAAACTGATACTTTATGATGATGTAAATTGTTTTGTTTTTAAGCATCACGTTTATCCATAACAAACTAGCCTAACAGCAATAAAACATATACAGCAAAACCTGCGTATAGCAAATACCATTGTACATGGAATAAATACATTTTTTCACTTTTTGTGAGTGTTCAGTAATGGAGAGACAATAGCAATTGACTTATCTCATTCCAAAACTATCTCTACATTCTTCAGAAAAGAAGAGAATTGTGTTGGAACAAGATAACTAATTGACATAAAAATCAATGAGGGTGGACCATTAGACTTGACTGTCAGTGCTAAGTGAGAGAGATGCCATGAACATCAGAATGGGCCTATAATGCGTAATATGAAGAAGAGCTATATGCATAGGCAAAGGCCGATAGGAATAATTTTTAAATCTAATTTGAAATATATGATGCCTCCCGATGCTTTTAAGTACCCCAATTTTTTACAGATTTTTAAACGGACCAAAACTCTCTAAATGCGCATTTATGCTCTTTTCTCTCGAGAACGACTGTCTCATTTTCACGATAACTTTTATTTAGTACTTCTAACATATAAGATCTATTTTTCCCCATCAAGGTATGATGTAAATTACATACTATTTACATCTTGTGAGTATCAATGACGCGCTTTTGATTTTATAAAAAATGCCAAACTTTGTGACAAAGAATTTCATCCTGCTTGCAGCGAGAAGACGGACTGGTTCGGGGCAATCTGCTTGCAGCGAGAAGACGGACCGGTTCGGGGCAATAGCTGATGAAATTCTTAGTTCTTCGAGACAGAAATGTCTTTAATTTTTCATGATGAAAACATTGAACTCTTTGCCATAGTTACTGTGTTTATTATTTGTAGGATACAACAATTATCATTCGTATAATTACTACAGTAATGGTAATATTAATATCTTATGATGTCATATTGAACAAATATTTCACTCTATTGAGGTGAATACCTGTACATCTTTCACAAGTGATATTCCACGAAGCCCGAAGGGCAAGTGGAATATCACCTTGTGAAAGTGCTACAGGTATTCACCGAAAATAGAGTGAAATATTTGTTTTATTATATCACTGTCTAGCTAAACATCCCTAATATTATTAAGTCATTAAGTCTTCAGATATTTTTACGAATCTACTCGGTTCGTCTGCCATTTTGACTTAAACTAAACTAAATTATTTACATTGAACGAAAATAAATTCTTTGAAAATTCCCGGGAGCGTGGGATATCGCTAGATATCTCACGGTTGTCTTATCTGATTAGCATTGCCATTGAATATCGCCAGATATCCCACGACATGTGACCCGGTTTTGACCAATCATACTGTCGCTAGCTAGATAGTGATATAATAATTACTGATATTACTGGTATATATTCCCTGGAGATTTTAAAAAGAAACGTGTTGGAATGAATTCTCTAGCTTTATTTCGGATTATTTTATCATATATATACATGTATAATATTATAGTTTTTGTGAAGATGTACATTTAGTTAAATGTTACATACACATAATTTTACATTACTCATCATATTTCATATAAAAGATGAAAACTCAATCAGGAGTCCAGCCTGTGTGTAAGTGAATATTGCATTATAAACTATAAAAATCCATCTCCATGCATTATGAATGCAAATATTATAAAAATGTGTAGAGTTATAACCTTTCTGATTATACAGTTGTAATGTTGATCAAAATATAAAGAAAAATACAACAAAATAACATTATTTTTAATTCATCTTTGGTGACATTTTTGGCTGAATTAAGGTGACACATTGACACAGACACATATAACTGACACACATAAGTGTCCAGCACTTACTAATTATCTATAGGTACAGGTATATTAGATTAAATGGACACATCTATTAGTTCTACACATAAAAATAATTAGTTACAACATCTAGAAATTATACAATACATTATAATATTATGTTTCCTTACATTATTTTTCATAAAATCGTATACATCCCAAAAAACTTTAGTTTTTTCAATTATGCCACACGAGCTTACTAAGAACCCAGTATTTCTATAAAAGAAATTAGTTGAATTTTTCATAGGATAACTGTTACAAATAAGTTGCTGAATTTGCATTCCAATGACATTTTATCAAAGCAACCAGGCAATACAGAGTGGCAAGATACATTTAAGTTTATGTATACTACTGTCCCTATAAGGACATGCTAGGACGGCACATAATGACCAAACAGTCATGTATACATGTATATGGTCTTGATATCAGTCTTCACTAGTTAATATAGGTACATATATAGCTGTATCTTATATGGTTTTGATATCAGTCTACAATCTACATGTATGCAAGTATATATCAATGTAGTTAAGGGTGTTTCATATATTTCACCCCCACATATATGCAGATGTCTTTAGTATATAGCTGTATCGTGATTCCTTTTATAAGAATGTTCCAGAATTTGTAAAACTTATTCTGTTTTAAGTTCAGGTAGTGGTCCAGCACTACCGGGACGGGGTCGCTGTTGACCACTAGATGGACGGTTGCCAGAGTGTGGGCGCCTTGCACTCGGTGGACGGCGAGCACTTGGGGGACGGTTTAAATCATTTTGTACACTGGCAATACTTGCTGCACTTCTAGGGCGCACAACACTTCCTTCTCGGCTCATTGGTCTTCCAGCATTTAGATCATCATCAAGGTTGAAGCCACTCTTGGTCCAAGCTGTTTCACGACCTTTCACCTGTAACATTGAACATTAATGCATTGTATTGATTAGTTAGTTTCCTAGCAGATAATACTAGTATAAAAACAGTTAAACCTGTGTATCTGTGTATGTGGATCACCTTTGGTACCTCGAAATAGTGATCAACTTGGGATGTGTTCCACTTATAGAGGTTCATTTCACATTAAGAATATACAAATTTTCAAGATTTTCAATAATTGCAATTTGTGGAAAGGATAAGGTTTTTAGATTTACAGAAAATTATGAATACCATACCTAGATCTACATAATTTATCACCAAGCAATCTTGTAGTGACCTTTTCTACATACTCAATTCACAGACCTCATTAAGTTCAATGACCTGATGAAGTTTACTGATGCAATTGAGATCAAATTAATAAATCCACTAACCTTATTAAGGCTGTATTGAGATCCCATCAGATTCTCCACATCTTTAGCTCCAGCTTCTATGGCATTCTTCATGTCCTTATCAACACCAGACACAGACATATCTCCAAACACCTTCAAAATACATACGTGTACATGTACTTTACAAAATTAACAGTAATGTAGTCATGTAACTAATTTAAAATGTGCATGTGCTAAAAAATTAATAATTCATTAAAAAAAATCAACATATCTTCAACGCTCGTACAATATGAAGCTATTGTTTTAAAAAAACACAAATAATTGAACTTCATCTTAAGCCCTTTGATTTGAAAATGCTTTCTGAAAGCAAATACCTCCACAATGGCTCCATCAGGCATCTTGAGGAAGTGTCTATGCAGCTCCCTCAGTCCATCAAGGTGACATGTGTGTACAGAGACATGGGTTGTCACCTCTCTCTTACATTCATTCTTCTCTACAACTTCCCCATTCTCATCCCAAATTGTCTCCTCCAGCTAGAAACATTATAGTAACACATTACAGTTTAATTGGAGTATTCTTATATTTGAGTAACTTTTTGGATATTTTGGAAGATATGAAACACTCGTTAATTTTTCTGTTCATTCCACACATGGCAAATTATGCTTATTACTATATGATCATTTTAGCATAACATGATTTTTGGGCGCTGATTTGATCATAAGTTTCAGAACAGTATCCAGTACTTTTCACTTTTGACTGCGACATTACTTTTCACCTTTGATTCAATGATATCATTTGTTTTACAATTTCAATAATTTTAACATAAATTCTAATACTAGTAATTGAATTGCAAATCATTGTCCAAATGCAAGTTCAAGATGATGCAACTTAAAATTAAATTGATGAAATTTCAGAACTACATAATTTTCACTAATATTAAATACATCATACTCACATTTTCTTCCTCCCATACATAGTCATAGACCGCCACTTTACGCCTCTCGCCTTCCTCTCCTCGCCATTGCTCAGACTTCTTTGTGATGTAACTCAGCTCCTGATTGGACAGTTCAAGGTCATACGGAACAAAGAAATTATCCTCTTTACCATGCAGTCTCCAGTAAACATCCAGCATGCGACCATTGTTGTGAAGTCTGGAAATATTTATTTATTCTTATTCTTAATAGCAAGGATGGAAGTAATTTGAATGAGTTTTAAATGGACAACAGCATTTTTCAGAGATCAAAAAAGTATCTCTTTCACAAATAATTTCTAGTTTTTCTTTTATCCTCAAAAAACAAAATGAAAGATGATAATGCATAATAATTTGAGAGGTTCAATATCAACCCATTTCATGTGAAATAACCTCAATATGTCTTTATAAAAATCACATAGCTACTTTACCTGAGGAAGTACATGTACAGTATGCTCCCAGCGCAGAAACAGGTGAATATATAGAGAAACACCGTGATGAGGATTCCCGCCAATCCAGAGCCCTCCGAGCGAACAAAGTGCCAGTAAAGCTTAGCAAAGTCTCCAATAGGAATGTCTCCACCCAAATTACGCCAACGCTGTTAATCAAATGAAAAATATTATAAGTAATATGCATGAACAACATAATCAACATGCATCAAGTGGACTTTAATAGTCACTGTACATATATATAGTTAAATATAAAGATGGCAGTTCTTCATCATGAAATCGACAAATCCCAAGTTGCCAGATTTATTGACTTCAAAAATTTATATATTGAGGGGTTTCATGTGATTAGAACTTTTCAAAACCTTTCAAAAGTTGAAACATTAAAATTGATTTAAGATGTCCATTATTGGCTGTATACTTCTCATATATTCTTTCAATCTGATATTATATATTTAATAGGATTTATTTGCACTGATGCCCTTTTAAGGCCGATCGTTCATCCAACAACTGCAATTTTCAATTACAGTAAAAGAAGTAATAAAGTAAATAAAATAAAACTTATTTGCAGCAACAATTAAGCTGAAACTCAAAACCACTAATATTTGAAATAGACTCTAAGATGTAACAACATATAATTATAACCCATCCTGGATGGATGGATGGATGGATGGATGGATGGATGGATGGATGGATGGATGGAAAATTCAATGACAAAGATATGGCATCATCATGTTTCAACATTGGTGGTGGTCATTTTGAAAATGAAATCAAGTTTCAAAACTAAATCAAGATCCAAAAGAATGTCAAATTGCAAAAGAAGGTCAAGTTACAAAATATATATCATGAATAAGTATAACCCATGTCACATATCAGAAATTTATTATTTCAAATAGTTTAAAAATAGAAGAAAGCTCAATTTCTCTCCTCTCCTAAACCAAATTATTTGATTACAAGCCTTTAAAGAAAATTTGAACTTGTGAATGTTAAAGGAAGTACAGAAATCATAATAATTACATCCTCCACTATGAGTCATCTACTTACATCAAACATTACTGAACTATATAGTTGTTGAGTTTAAGTGGTATAAAAAGTGATATATACCATGTTGTCCTAGGACCTAATCAATTTTATGTAAACGTTCAACATATTAGGAAGCAGCTTGCCCTAAACTAGACATTTACTGTTATTCAGAGAAAAATATACTAGTATTAAAAGAAACATCATCTATCTGCAGTAACGAAAATGGCTCATTCACAATATACCATTGTGAGCTGTTTATTAATGGCAGTATTTCTTGCAATGTTTGGAACTATCGGGCTCTCTCGCTGGATTACCATTCATCAATCACATGGAGTTTCTGAAACTATCATGCTTGGCTTGTTACTATCCCTTCAAGTAACAACAGTCATACTTCTCTTTGTGTTTACAAGAGTGAACAGGAATCAATGGAGGTATGTTCCCTGGAGGCTCTCTGATACACATGGAATAACAATCATTGGCCTAACTATATTCCTCATCGGGACATTCATCTACGATATCTTTAGAATCATCGCCACAACCGAGTGCCTTGATGTTTATCGCCATTTCCATGAAGAATATGTTGAGAAAATATTAGACGTCATACTCCAGATCTTCAAACCATTGTTTTATATGTCTTCACAGTTGTTGTTTCTGATGTGGTGTAACTATGGTAACATTCAGAACAATCCAAACATTAAAAACACCTCTGTGTTTATATTTGCATCAGGGACAAATGTGTTTGTCTGGATCTATTCATTTTTGTTTGAATCAAAAGGAATATTTTATCAGAAAGAGATTGAACACAACATAACAATGCTTGCCCCTGCTATCCAAAAACATGCAAATGAATGTCTGCATGGGGAAAGTAGAATGCAGAGAACAGAGGAAAGTGTGGAGATTTATCTTTACCCTGTTCAGCTAGAGTTTTGTATCTTAGCAACCAGTTTGTTACTCCATACTTGGTCCCATATAAAACACAGTCGTATGAGCATGCACATTGCCATGATTGACTTTCCAACAGATAATGGTGATGGTGGTTCAAATGATGATGTGAATAGACAGCATGATCTGGTTCAAAGGAATTTTGCTCAAGAAAATGAAGCAAGTGGAAACACTAATGTAATTGGTGGGACTGATACTAACGCCCAACCAGGACATACTGTGAAATGCTACGGACTGTTATGGTTCGCTGGGATATTCTTAATGACTTTGATGTTTATATTTGAGTGTCTTTTATACGTTGAAACATTCTACAGCAAAGCAATCCTTGTTGTTACCGCCATTAAAACACTTTATGATCCATCTCTTGCGATAGTATGTGCGTATGTAATACACAAGCTAAGGAAATCTGGGAAAATAGAGCAGTATGGTAATGTTGATACAGAATGTGTCATCATGATAATTGCATCCCTCGGCCTTATCATTGATGCTACTTTCACCTACATTTCGGCCTTTCCAACATTAATCTACCAAGATGTTAATCCAAACTGGGCAAATATATGTAAAGAATTTACAATTATTAACCACGATTTAGATAAGGATGAAAGCATCCGTCGATTCCTGATCATTAATGGTTTATTGTTGGTAAGGCAGACATTCAAACTCATATCAGTGTTGCTTCAAGTATATTTGATCATAATATTGAACTGCTTCTATACAGGCCCCATTGATAGCTGGTTATCTGAATGTCTTGGATTCATGATGATGCTAAACTTGGGCCACTGGTTATCTGACAGTATTGTAGAGGTGAAGTTTATGAATGCCTCACCCGTACGTGTACAGTTCTTCGGATGTGACAACTGGCTTGTCATAGTTCACTTGTATTTCATTCTAGTGATTTACTTCAGGTTCCACAGTGTGGTACTGCTATCGGAACATATTAGGCATAACAAGCATGTAAAGCGGCATGGACAACATAATGGCTATCAACCCTTGGATGGTGATAATATCCAAAACGTGAACAACCAATAAACAACAATGATTAGCAAGATATGAAGGAGGATAATGAATGAACTTACACACAATAGTAGCTTTTTTGATTCTGTAAATATTCATTTCTAAATTCTATCATTTTGTACATTATATTCTGAATATAATTGGATATGAACATGCATTATCATTAAACTTTATAAACCACCGTTATCTGTTTTCCTGTTGTTTTGTATAAAGTGATCAACTTGATCTCATGTTAATTTTCAACTAATTGTTCAAAAAACTGCTTCAACATCCATTAAATGCTTCTATATTTAAAGGCTCATAGCAAGCTTATTATACAATGTACAACATGACAGGCCCGTAGCCAGGATTTTCCAAGGGGGGGGTCACTTTTTGGAAAATTCCAGGGGGGTTCACTTTTGATATTTTTGGTCAAAAATGGCCAAAATCACAAAAAAGTGCTCAGAATGTTGAAAACATGTGCAGTGTCGAACAATAATGAACGATAAGTATGCAGTTTGACTACAAGAGTGTTCATAATGAAAGTCTCATCAAAATTTAATTCAAAATTGTTAACCCCAGTCAACACCCGAGCTAACAATATTAACTTCAAAATTAGAGCTTTACCAAGTATTGAGAGATCTACTTCATACAAACCACTCTTTTACATATTCATATGAAACGCCTACAGTATGTAAATATCTTGTCTCGTGATGTTTAATATCCAGGCATCCAGGGGTCATGATAGAACAGTTAAATATAACTTCCCTGTACCGATAGATAAGGTCACATCAACCTTGAAAGATATCATATAATTATTATTTTACACTTTTGTTTCCCAAATTCGAATACATTTTTTATTCCCGTCATCTCCTTCAGGGAAATGACATAAATGCAACAAGTTATACAACTTTAGAAATCATTTCTGTATTAAACAGATCTGCAAAAGGGTTCAAATGTATGATAATTTATTAATCATTATGTCCTATTATCCTTTATTAATTATTTAAGGCTATCTTTTGATATGACATGCCTGAACAAAACTGAGTGTGGAATAATTAATAATTTTGGCTGAACTAAACAATCAGAATTGAATTGTGATGCAAATGATAAAACTTTCTTTGTATAAGCATTCACTTTCATTTTGAGTTTCTAAGAACCAGGAAGTAGAAATGAAGATATACAGAAAGCTATAAATTAAGCTGAGGTTTCCTAAACCAAGATCCTGAGTTAAACTGATGAGTCAAATGAGTCAATTTAATATTTTGCAGTGAAATTTACTTTGTAAGTTCTGAGCGTTGAGTATTATATGGAGCTGATGTAGAGCAGTGTTGTCATTTAATTTGAAGTACCTAAGTACTAAGAACATTGGATTAAAAAACATCAGGAGATTGAAACATACTGTATTGTCAAACTTTAATGCAAATATGGCCCAATCTCAATGGACAATCGTGAGTTATATACTAATGGCAGTATTTCTGGCAATGTTTGGAACTATCGGTCTCTCTCGCTGGATTACCATTCAGCAATCACATGGGGTAACTGAAACTATCATGCTTGGCTTGTTACTATCTCTCCAAGTAACAACAGTCATACTTCTCTTTGTGTTTACAAGAGTGAACAGGACTCAATGGAGGTATGTTCCCTGGAGGCTCTCTGATACACATGGAATAACAATCATTGGCCTAACTATATTCCTCATCGGGACATTCGTCTACGATATCTTTAGCATCATTGCCACGACTGAGTGCCTTGATGTTTATCGACATTTCGATGAAAAATATGATGAGAAAATAATTGACCTTGTATTGCTGATCTTCAAGCCATTACTATATATGTCATCGCAGTTGTTGTTTCTGATGTGGTGTAACTATGGCAACATTCAGAACAATCCAAACATTAGAAAGACCTCTGTGTTCATATTCGCAGCAGCCACAAACTTGTTCTTCTGGATATATTCGTTTTTGTTTGAATCTAAAAAAATATTTCTTCAAGAGGATCCTGAGTACAACATAACAAAGCTTGACCCTGCTATACAGAAACATGCAAATGAATGTCTACATGAAGAAAGCGAGATGCAGAGAACAGCAGACAATGTAGAGATTTATCTTTATCCTGTTCAAATGGAATTCTGTATCTTAGCAACCAGTTTGTTACTCCATACTTGGTCCCATATAAAACACAGTCGTATGAGGATGCATGATGATGATGATATGATTGATTTTCCAGCAGATAATGGTGATGGTGGGCCAAAGGATGATGCAAATGGACAGCATGCTCTGATTCGTAGAAATAATGGCCAAGACAATGAAGTGAATGGAAATAACAATGTGATTGGTGGGAATGATGCTGACCCTCCACCAGTGCATGAAGTAAAATGCTATGGGCTATTATGGATCATTGCAATAATGCTGATGACTCTAATGTTTACGTTTGAGTGTCTTTTATATGTTGAAACATTCTACAGCAAAGCAATCCTCATTGTTATTTCAATTAAAACACTTTATGACCCATCTCTTGCAATAGTATGTGCATATGTGATATACAAGCTAAAGAAATCTGGGAAAATGAAGCGGTATGGTAATATTGATACAGAATGTGTCATTATGTTAATCTCATCTCTAGGCCTTGTCATTGATGTCGCGTTCACCTATATATCTGTTATTCCAACAATAATTTACCAAAATGTTGATCCTAACTGGGCAAATGAGTGCAATGACTTAAACATTATCCATGATATATCAAACAATGATGAAAGTGTCCGTCAATTTCTGATCATTAGTGTTTTAAGTTTGGTACGACAGTCATTTAAACTTATTCAAGTCATGTTACAAGTGTACCTTATAATCATATTGACCAGTTTCTATACTGGCCCCATTGATAATTGGTTATCCGAATGTCTCGGGTTCATACTCATCCTTAACTTTGGTCACTGGTTATCAGACAGTATCGTTGAGGTTAAGTTCACCAATGCTTCCCCTGTTCAAGAACACTACTTTGGATGTGACAACTGGCTTGTCATAGTTCACATATTTTTCACTCTGGCAATCTACTTCAGGTTCCACAGTGTGTTAATGCTATCTGAACATGTTAGGCGTAATAAGCATGGACATGATGGCTATCAACGACTGGATGGTGATAATGTCCAGGAACGTGAACAACCAGTAAACAACAATGACCATGCTTGATTAGCAATCAAGATATGAAGAGTGAATAATATAAGGGATTTTTATAAATATAACTAAGGCAAAGAACATATTTTGAAAGTTTAAACCTTGGTCCCTGACTGCTACTCTTCTAAACTGTCCATGTATTTTGTGTTTACGAAGCTGTGTTTACTTGAATGACTACAATATACCACATTTTAGTGCATACAGTATTTATACTCAAGTTCTGTTTAGTTGATCTTAAGAAAGTGAATATTCAACATTGAATGAAACACTTTATTTTTCAACACCCTTTTAATATTTCAAACATCACGAGGCAAATCAAGCAATGTCAACATGTCTGGCACTTTTCTTTCATTGATATACCTTTTGCCTTTTATTTTGAATGGTAGTGCCTTTTTAAAGATGCTATATCATCAGTTCATTGGAAACAAAATCCAAATATTTCATCTATGAAGAGCAATACCTATTCATTATTTAATAAATTTTCAAGGTGTATTTCATTTTTACAGTTTAAGTCTCCCAAGACTTTATGTCACTATATCAAGTTACTGGAAGGCCAAAGCGACCTATGTGTCAAATTCAGCTAAAAGGTAATAATATATACCTCCATGAAGCTATATAACACTCTTGTCTCTTTAGTCTCAAAAAAGTTCAAGGTCACATTTATAGGTCAAGGTCATCAATATGGGTTCCAATTCCTGTAATGCCACAAGTTTTATCTTAAGTGAGATGTATGAAACTGCCCTAGTACAATTCAAGTATTTACTTACCAAAAGTGCACAATCTATGGCTGCAATGAGGAAAGGGTCCAGAAAAGCTTGTATCCCATAAGCCACTGTGAATTTCGATCCAATATCTGGGAAAGAACCAAGAATCCTTTGACAGAGCCAGCTGCTTATGACCAATATCGTGAATATAAGAACATTCATGAAAGGCCCTATGGTCACCAAAGCAATCTCTTCCCTTGTGTGAAGCAGTGTATTCTGGTAGTTCAAACTCACTGTGTATGGCAGGAATTCAAATCTGAAAAAGAATTGTTTAACACATTTCATATTTGGCTATTTTCAAGTTAAAGCAGTATTTCTTTGAGATCTTTGGAATTGTTTTATTCATAAATCAACTTGATTAAAATATTTCATAAAATGAAGAACAAAAATATTCACTTTTAACTCTTTTTCATCATTCAAAAATTTCCAATGCTAATTTCCTCTAAATACACTGTACAAAGATAGTTTTCACTGAAACACAATTTCTTGAAGACAGATTTTAGTGACATTTTCAAATAAAGCAAAAATATTCATTAAGTTATGTTATCCATATTTCCTTTTTGCCTAATACTGTTGTAATCACTTACTTGTTAATCGGGATTGAAATTCCATTCAAGAAGAGCCACTGGCCGATGTAATGCATGTACATACGAATGAAAAACACGACCACAAACATCAACAACATGCCCCAGAATTCTCTACTTCGCCACTGGGAGAGTCCGAGTTCTGCCATAAACTGACGACCAACGTAAGAGACTTTCTCCCAGCCATTCCTTGCTAGGGAGCCTTTCCCAGAGAATGGTGGCCTGAAATTAAAAAAAAATAATTTCTTGATTTATATTTACAATTACATAATTTTTCCACTCTTTATGTGTATTACTGATTTTTAGGAATTATGTGATCCATCCTCCTTTCATCCAGTCAACAACTCTTACACTGACTGCACATATCAATAGACATTACTCATGAACTAAATTAGATCTACAGTACATAATATATCTAATAAACTTTGATACATAAGGACTACATACACACTTTAATGTAATTGATTCAGAGACTTTATTGATGGAACACTTACTGTACAGAGAATGTATGGAGCTCCAGTTCTTCAAGATGAGTCAACTTCTTTTTCTGACGTTTCTTGGCCAGAAGTGGTGTCTTTGGGATCATGGTATACATTTTCTTATGGTACACATCCACTGGGTTGTTCAGATGACGCTGAAATTATATTTCAATGGTATTTAATTTTGATTTTGAAGGCATGAGGATGCAGCAAATTGATGCTTACATTACCCTGGGCCCAAAGGATAGTAATAATTACTAAGCTCTGAATTGGACTAATAAGTAGTGTATACAGTTTCCATTCTGAAATTGAAACCTTGTTGTGCCAATGCATACTTGCATTGTTAAAATAACTATTGTAGTAGAAATAAACATCCCTTTTTATAGCTAATATTAAATGATTTGCTATGCTTGCATGATACTATAACAATATCATCACTACCACAGAATTAGGCTTTTGAAATTTTGGGAAGTTGTAATATATGCAAAGTAAAACAGATGCACATTTGTTTAACCTAATGAATTCTTTCAAACTACAGTAATATGAAGTTAGAATTAAGGTTCATCTGTTTAGCTCAAAGGTAGAGCAATTTCCTAAGGTGTGCTTGTCCCAGTTGATTACCAGTTCAGACATGACTAATTTGCTCCTTCTTACTTTTAGAAATTCATATTGTTCAACTGAGTGGTCCACTCATTCAAAAGACTTTAGTGTAAGTATTTTTCTCAAAACGCACAAGAACCTTATTGTAAAATGTAACAAACTGCACACAATCATGATTCCAAGGGCAAACCATGCAAGGCAACATGAGGTAGCAGGATGGGGATTTATGTTTAAGTTTTGATGAATTAAAATATACATGTACATCAAAATGTCCTATATTTTGACAATCATGCAAAAAAAACAAAAGATAAAAAAGGTTGAAAACTCTATTTGAGAATAGTAGGGTTTAAAGAAAATGTGCTTTTTTATGTCAGTGAGACCTGAATACACATCAATTTTATAAAAGGTAAACAAATCAGAGAACAAATCTGAATAACACATCCAACATAAAAAACCACTGCCACATCGTTAACATAAAGCTAAATAAAATTGAGTATATTGTACAGTACAAACTATTCTATATTTTAAACCAAGTAAACAAAGGACATGCCAAAATAAAAGGGAGATTCAGGTTGATCTTGCAACATGTAAACATGCATTTTGAAAAGCAGAGGAATACATTGTGAACAAAATACAATGATGGATACCGAACGTACATGTAGGAAAACAATCAGACAGATTTACATCCTCGTTGCTCTATATGTAATAGTCACTGCACAGAGTACATCAGCAAAGAATGGGTGCCTTTTAAGTGATAACATCGACAATGTTTATAATGTGATACTCAATACACAACCAAGCCCCTGTGAATCAACACCTATAGGGGGCACAGGTGGAGGTAATACAAGGACTAATGAACTAGAAGTAGAATATGCCAAAATTATTCAAGACAACAGAGAAATTTCTTTGACTTTAATTCGATTACAGAATACGATACTTGACATAGCAACTGACAAAACTAACATTACATATGTAAACCAAACTTTGCTCAAAATTGAAAATAAAATGGGACTTCTTAACGAAAATGTGATTCAACTTCAAGAGAACATAAGAAAAGGAAACATGGAAAATTTAACACAAGAACTTGATGGTTTGAGAAGTTCATTTAAAAAACAAAACAAAACTCTGTATAGATTTATCAGCAATGTGAATACTAAACTGGACGATACTACAGAAGGATTGATATTAACAAATAGACAGCTAAGAGAGACAAATGAAAGGCTTGACAATGCAATAAAATATTTAAGAAATGGAACAACAAATATACCAAATTATTCTAGTAATACTACAGGTAATACCATGGCTTTCACCTTAGTGTCATATTACTAAGGTCATACAAAGTTAATAACATGCTAAACATCCTTGCAAAAGACGATCTATTAGGGAAATTAAGGTGAAAAACAAATGAAAATCAAAACCTTTATTCATCATATTTCTATTAGGATCTTTTATTATTCAAAAATACCATAAGGCATTCAAAGTGCATAATCTATAAAGGGACACATCACTTAAGTTCACATTAACTTTTTTAATCAATATTACTGAAGCTGAAACACTGGTCCACAGCTGGAGTTAAGCTTCATCCTAGATGGGGGACAAAATTCGTTTGATATTGATAAACTTTCCATTTAGGTTAAACCATGTAAAATCTTGATTCAAAATACTTTGTCATACAAACTAATTAAGTTTCTGCTGTAGCTCAAATATCTCTGAATTTGGTGAAATTCAAAGGAAACAGCTTTGCTAAAGGATGATACTAACTCAAAAAATTATATTTTTGGAAGTGATGATACAACTCAGTCTACTCCGTTTGAGTTAGTATCATCCCAATGTAAGCAAAACCGTGTTGGCGTTTTCTTTAAATTCATTTAATTTTGAATATGTTTGAGCATGTTTTTGTACAATATGTAATTCTTTACAATCAAGACATTACTAGTTTGCGTGGCAAAATATTTGGGATCCGGATTTTTCTTAGTTTAGCTAAAATCGAAGTTAATCAATATCAAACAAACTTTGTCCACCATTTTGGATGACTGTAACTCCAGTTAGTATCATCCTGCTGCAGACCAATTGTTACAGTTACTGAAATAAGTTTGAATTATTTCAAAATCTAATTTTAGTTGAGAAATGTCCACCATCTTCAGTACAGTATGAAGGAACATGCTACACATTCATCAAACAACAGATGACATGGCATCAAGCTGAGTTGACGTGCCTAACACTGGGGGGACATCTGGTGGCCATAGAGACCCAATCAGAGCAGGACTTCATAGTAGGGTACTTAGATGACAATGGTAGGATTCCTATTATTATATGCTCTTACTCGATTAATTTAAAGATTAGTTAATAGCACATATGCTACAAAAACAGCAACTCTTGAAGTAGCAAATACCAATGAACAAAACATAAGTATTTCATGAATTACTTGTTTTTAACAATCACCAGGAATGGAAATAACTAGGCAATAATACTGTCTCATTTTTTGCAAAATCTACACCTATGGCATGACATGACGCCATATTATCGATTCCTCCTTGAGTAAAGGACCATATGACATCATACCTACATAATTTGAACCAAATCTGGTAACTCAGGTATTTGTGTTTTCAAAAAAACATTCTGAATTCAGCAGCAATATGAAAGATATCTTCTTGAGTAGACTAACCCCACAAGACATAGGCACATACCATCTGAATAAAGTCTGACAATTGGAGTAATCAAAAATTATTATTTTTCATGAAAAATGGTGGCCATTTTAAATTCAGTGGCAACCATGAAAATTTCTTCTTGAGCAGAGGTCTCTCAACTGATATTGTTTGACTGATATTTGAGTTATCAAAGATAACAATATTTACAAAATATGGTGGCCATATTGAACTGCCGTTTTGAATTGAGCGGCCATATTGAAAGATCCTTTCTCAAGCAGAGGTCTTATTCCCATTAACCATCAGCCTATGTAGTTTGAGGTGTTTTATTTGTCAAGCAGTGTTTGGTGGAAAAAAATTAAGTATCAATGATCCATAAAAATTAAAACAGGCATCATACTTCAAGTTCTTATTTTAGATATGAAAGGATTTGACTACTGGATTGGAGCAAATGACTTGATACAAGAAGGACAGTTTATATGGGTCGGCACAAACAAGCCCCTCAGTTACACCACATGGGCAGATATTAATGGTCCACAGCCAGACAATAATAAAGGGAAGGAACACTGTGTGCACCTTCGTGACATTCATGATCTTAACTGGAATGACATCAACTGTTTTGAGTATGAATTCAGATCAATATGTGAATACACTTAGAGAACAACACATGTGGAATTATAGTTGGACTTATGATGCTGATGCAGAATATACATTGTATATTCAATTCATCAAAATATTTGACAATGTTTGTTATATGAACAACAACAATGGTTTTGCGTATAAAGCTTTTGAGTCAACACATGAACACAGTCAACATCAGTGATCCTGATATCTTTATTATTATTAGTTATTGTTTGTTATTGTTTTAGTGTATTAATTATAAACACTGCACCTTCAAATTAATCAGCAAACTTTTTATTTTCAGTGATCTCCCAGGCTTTTTTTAAAAAAGGTCCAAAATCCTATTTACCTATTTGGTCAAAATATCTCAATTCATCATTTTGACAAACAAACACAAACAAATTTTCAACAGGGTGGCATGGAGCACAATGTACAATTGCTCTAATGCTGGATATATTACTTATTTACCAAGAATTTTTGGGTGTATCTTTATATTGAGGGAGGCTGTTGTTAACAATGAAATCTATAGCTTACAGGCCCGTAGCCAGCCTTCGCTTTCTACTTTTCAAAAAATTCCATGGAGTTTACATTTGACAACTTCGCCCCAAAATCACTCTCAGAATGGTGAAAAATTGCATGATCTTGAAAGAATTTTTTCCCAGATTTGCTTGAATCCCCAGAACTCTCCACCTGGATATGGCCTAGCTTATCAATGTTCTCTTGGTAAAAATCATCAACATACCTTATAATACATGCCAGGGTTGTCTTTCACAGGGTAGAATTCATCATCTTTCTTAAGCACAAAGATGTCATCCTCATCATAGTCCGACTCATCAGAATCACCCGCCATCTTGATTTTGTTGTCTTTGTGAATGTTACGTGAACCAACAGTGGTCATTGGCCGACCAGTTTGCAAATCACTCGTGGACAGAGAAAACTGAAAAACACAATGGTACATTTTATTCATTTTTAAGATGAAAATCCTACATATAGACTAATAGGGATTCCGACAAATCTGGGATTAGTATATTCATTTCACTTGAAATCCAGGAAGGTGCACATGCTGAACTGCTTATAATACTGTATTTTACAATAACATAAATCACATACCAATATCTCAATGTGAAGTAAAAGAACATACCTTTTTAATAGAGTCAGAGTCTGATCCTTTGCCATCACTGCTACTGCTAGGTAGAGCTAATTTCTTAGTGGAGTCATGCCCCAATGATGCATTCTCCTCCCTGCTGCTAGTGGATGCTATGTTCAGACTGGTCATTGAACCCCTATAGAAGAAATACATGAGTTATGCCCTGGTAGGTTAAGAGTCTCTCCTAAGACCAGAATCTTCAGAATGATTGAATAAATAGCATTGTATTCAACAAAAACAACAATGTACAATACATTTTTTATGGAACATGAGCATATGTTTTTAAATTCATTTTTTTAATGAATGAAACATTCCCCTTGATAAAAAAATTTATAATAATTTGCTGAATAAACTTACAATTCATTGTTTTCACCAAGTTTGACATTTAGCTTTGATCCACTGATGGGATCCTCTCCATCCCTGTTCATCTCTCCCCCAGTGTTCACCCTGTCAGGATAGCTGAGTAAACCAGCGCTGAACTGCAGTTCCACCTCATACTCCTTCTGACCAGCTAGGTACCTAACAATAGAGTGGAAAAATAAAGTGTATGTGTACAAAGGGAAACAACAAGAGCAGATTGTTCATATGAGGAAAACAATCGAAATATTTTGACTTTTTTGACATTTTTTAACATTTTATATTTGTACTCCGTCCACTCCATAGAGCAATTTGTGATATCTACAACTATGGTTAACTTTCATTCAAAACAATCACCGTTCTCTAGTGATAATACATTTTGGAGTCAGTGACAAATTATTCACGAAAACTTGGAAACATGTCCTTATGGTACCCCCTCTATAAGCAAATTCTAGTGGCAGGAATAGAGTGAGAGATTGCAGGACAAAACACCTGATGCAAGTAAGACTACAATAAAAGCAGTTGGTACCTTGGAAGCTTTATCACTTCTAGATAGAGATTACAGAGCCAATGATCAAGGTCGGTAGCCATCAATTCTTCAACCTTGGTGTGTTTATCAATCATAGGATCCATTTCACCACGTAATAGAGGAACCTTGTACCTGGAACACCAAGTCATGAGCAATTATATATTCTATATTTGATACTATAGTTGATTTATGTTTAATGGGGTATGAATGATAACACTTTGTAACTAGGATTTCATAATAATATGGTTGACACTGAAAAAGATGAAAGATTTTACTTACTTTCCTTCGATGATATCAAAAGTGGCATCACAGATAGGGAATGCTCCCCAGCCTACAACACGGTCTGTGGCCACAACATTTCCACGCAACAGGAAGACCTCAAATACCAGCACCATGCCAGGTCTTACATTAGGTTTGGAAGGTAGAACAGTGAAGACACTTTGGTCAAACTACAATAATAAATGTTTGTAAGATAATAAAGCTGAACAGACACTTGTAAATATAACATAATTTTTATTAATTATCCAAATAAGTCCAGTTTTAAAAATCCAATCACAATTCAGAAATTGATTGATAAATTATATTTTCAAATAATACAAATTATCCGATTCTCAAAAGAAATTACACAAAAATTTTTACCTAGAATTGATAGCTAAGAAAATATTCCAGTCTAATGGCATCCTAAACTACCATTGACACTTGACAGGTGCTTTTTTCCCACACTAAAAGAACATTACCTTCATTTCATAGTTATAGAAGTTGCCATCATGGTGCATAGGAAGAGTTGCCCCTCCCCACTGTTGACCTTTCAGGTTAGACCAGCGCATCACGTGACCCCCCAGTCTGTTATAAAGGGACGCCATCAACACATAACGCCCAGCTGAAACAAAAGATAGCATGAGACTATAAGTGTTTCTCATACACTTAAGCTGACCTGAATGATCTCGCAAAATACACAAATATAACAAGATCTAACCCTTTAATGTTTTAATGTTGAACCCATTATGGAGAGTTACCTTTTCAAAAATTGTTCTTTGTCATTGCTATTTAATATAAACCAATCTAATTCCAATATTGGGGGCTGCATTTTTTGGATCACCCTGTATATGAAAGTGCAAACATCTTATACCTGGTAACTTGTCCTTGACCCCTCTGAGACAGCTTAGCTTCACCTGTATGGGCTGAGGAGTCTTGTCCCAGTCTACCTTCCAACGACGACCAGTAGATCCCCCATAGTGGCCATCAGCCATCACCAAGTCACCATACATTGTCTGAAAAAAAATATTATAAATACCAGACCTTAAAGAATAAATAAATACAAAATACATGTTATAGTAGATTGTTTTAGATGTTTCAGTATCTTCATTTGGTGTAACATGTAGTACCTTTTTGACAGCTTGACATTATACTATGTTTAAAGCTAGGAAAAATTCAATTCTTATCATATCAAATCAGTGAAGATTATTATTCCGAAGGCTCACAATTGTAATGATTAAAGACCTTTTACACATAGTGCATTTACATGAATAGACCGAAATGAGCTGAAATAGTCAGATGAAATCACACATTACCTTGACTTCTCCCTTACGTCTCTCCAGAGATGAAATGAGTTGATTCTCTGCACGTCTGAATGCCTTATGGAGTCTGTCCATCTGTAGCCTCTCTCTTTGTAAAGCTAGCTCCTACAAAATGCAATAAAAATTGAATAAAAACAAATGATTTATTATCAAGTCATAGCTAATGGCTTCTTGAATACTAGAACCTGTCAAAGATCATCAAAATATACAAGAACACACATTTCAGTGTATCTTAAGGGTGTTCTAAGAAGAATCTTCAAGACCAAACCTTAGGTATCTCGTTAAACATTTTAGCTCTTGATTTTATAATTGATACATGTTGCAGCTGGAAAAGTAAAATTAAAAGAGAGTTGATAATCATTGGAAACCAGTGAAAGAAAATTCACCTCTTGATGTCTGATATTAGTACGCCTATCTTTAAGTGTTGTGGCCACTCTACGCTTTGCTTCTTCCTCTTTAAGAAGTAGTTCCTCATACTTCATGCGTGATGCAATGGCTTCCTGTTGCTGATACATGATATGCTCATCGCGAAGTCTCTTCTCCTCTTCCTGATTTGAAACAAACAATAAATGAATTGTATTTTAAGGTATGTGGACTCACATAGGAAGGTAACTTCAATTTAAACACTAAGTATAATTTATTCCCGGGACAGTAGAGTCGCAAAATAGTACAGATTTTTTATCAAAACATAATGCAGTATAGAGAACAAAAGATTGAAACACTAGTGATATTACAAACATTTTTCAAAACATTCTGATATTCAAATATCTCTTTGGTTGTATCAGAAACACTAACATCGATGAAAAAGTGTTGCATAAATTAAAATCATATTATATATGATACATATACAGGGTGTCAAATAAGTCCCGTCCCCCCTGCTACAGCTAAAACCATAACAGAAGGTACCTAGTGTGATATACCATTGGAAAGATCATCCGAAGTTATGTTAACTCACCAACTCTCAAGTATTTTGGATGAAATTTACCTATATTTTTATGATGTCTTTTAAAATTAACGTGCCCTCATTTAAGTAGCTTTTTAGCGTCAAAATGACAAGGATATGACCTCAGAAATACATCAAAAAGTTAATCTTTTTCACATTCCACTTGTTACACAAAGGTTTTCACCACTTTCCTTGCACCTCTATTTTCTACACATCTAACCCTGTCCAGAAATAGGTTAAATTCATCGCCATAAACATATTAAGTCATATTTTGGTCCTGTGACCTTTCTTATACACGATTCTTAAAATCGTGCCAAATACGCCAAATTGCCATGTTTCTAGGCATATGGTCACCTCAATTGATACAATGCAAAAATTTCTGAGATTGATTGACATGTGTCAGATATATGCTAATCAACGTAACTTTGGAAGACCTTTCCAATGATATATCACACTTGGTACCAAATATCTTGGTTTTGGCTGTAGAGGGGGGGACGGGACTTATTTGACACCCTGTAAGCAGCATCTTTCAAATAAATAATAATTTGTAAACAAACTTACCTGGACCTCTTCCAAAGATATACTCCCAATCATGAGCACCTCATCTTTTATTGTATGTTCAAACTCATCCACATATTGATTAATCTCCTCTTCTTCCATCTGCAGCTTCAACTCTGAAATCTTCTTGTACATTGGGGCATGCTCCGGGGCAGAAAACAAAGATGGAGGCTCAGGAATATCAAACTCTGTCTCCTCTTTTTCCATCTTTTCGATGATTTTTACAATCTTTGGCTGCCCATCTTCTTCTCCATCTTTAGGAGTGAAATCTGCAATTAATACAGTATGGTTGTGTCTGTTGTTATAGGTTGATATTTTCTTACCAGATAATTAGACTTTTTACATTAATTTCTATACAATCATTTCTAGATCCCTGGGGGTTAAATTCTACAACACTATTCTGGTTTTTGTCAAACAGAAATATAAATAATATATTGTTTCATATGGGCCAAGTAAAATCTCTACTAAAGTAACACATGCAAGGTCAAGCTTATTCAAATGTCTCAAATCTCATCAAAAAGTTAAAATACAAGTACAATAAATATCCTACCATATTTAAACTCCTCTTCATTCCACTCAATTCCATAGTCACGAGGGTCAAGGTTACTGAAGTCGCGATCTTCAAAGTCATACGTCTTTGTCCTTGATGTTGTTGTCTTAACAGTAGGAAAAGGAACAGATTCTTCATTCTCCTCAGTTTCAACTTTAACAGTTCCATCATCTGTTACTTTCACAGCTTCATCTTGGGGCTGTTCTCCATTCAGCACTTTGGAGTCCTCTTCCTGAGGGGGTTTGCCTGTTGCAACAGTTGATGGAACAGCCTCGGTAGGTGTACTAGCAGCTATTGGAACAGCTTCCGTAGGCTCTGGGTCTTTTACAACATTTTCAGTTTCTAAAATAAAAATATGGATTCTTTGAAAATTTAATGTAACATCATACATACATGTATATTAGATATCATTGTTCTCTGGAAGAGCATGTATGTGCATTTTAAAAATATAATATACTCATAATATACAAATATCAATGACAGAAATAAAAAATAAATATGTATACAATATTGATTTAAATGTCAATTTAAATGTTATTATACCTTTCAATGGTTCTGTACTTTCAACATTTTTGCTCATGGTTTCTTCTGTCGGAGCTGCAGCCTTTGCCTCTTGTGTTGGGACTGAGGGGTCTTTATTTTCCTCATTTGATTGGTCTGTAAATGAAAATACAGAATGAAATCCTGTGATAAGGGCCGACATGAAAAAATCAGTTCATTCGACGATTGAACGCACCTCTCATTTCCAGGCAAAAGGACCAGTTAACTTTTCCACATCAAAATTGCATATATAGCATTGAAGCCAGGTCTTACATGCCTAAGTTTGAAATAGTATTATAGAGTACATGTCATTATAAAACAAAGTTTTGCATAAACGTCAAATCTTGCCCTTTGTGTTTTCTCATTATTTGACTTGTCCTTACACCTGTAGTAACATATTTTGCAATATCTATGTAAAATCAATCATAGATGTCAAAATCACTAACCTTTTGACCGTTTCTTCTTCTTTTTATGTTTTTTGGCTGGAAATTATAATTCATATTAAAAATTATCAAAACAAAGAGGAATTGCACAAAGAACATCAAAATTGGAAATCAAGTGTAATGCTATAGATATAAGAAAAAAATGTTGACTTTTTTTAATTTTTTGAATAAAGAATTTTGAGACCAAGGCCAAAATGTTCAAATACAGCATTGAAATATATTGAAATCCAATCTAACTACACAAATATGTTTCTTAACACTGACAAAACAAACACCAATTTCTATTCAATCCACAACAATAGCTTCTTGAAGCTATTGAGGATTAAAGCTAGTGAATGATCGATAAAGTGTTCTCCAGAAGATATACATAGATGTACACTGTATAATGACTTCAAAGACCATAATTTTAAGCATCTGTCTTGTGTGACAAAATCCCACTTAAAGCATTTTTGTAAACAGCCTTGATAAATTGCAAGTGGTTATAAATCCAATCCAATGTAATCACACTTTTTTGTTTTACTTATCATCTTAATATCATATCAGAATCTTTCAATAAGAGGTAAACAATGGAGGTGACAATGTTCATCATAATTTGTTGGATGTGTACACGATTTATATACTATTTACATTTACTATCCCTATCTGAAGGTTTTAAAAGCAAGACACAATATATGTAATAGAATTAGTACGTTTTTGAATAGGTCCTTTATCTTGTTCAGTGGGTGGAGGGTTCTCTTCTGCTACTGCTTGTTTCGTTGCATCTGGTGCATTATCTGGTGCATTATCTGGTGCAGTACTGGGTGCAGGAGCCTGCTCCTTATCCCCAGTACTTGTGGACGGATTGTTTGAGTCACTCATCTTTTACAGCTCACTGTAATCACAGATATTTGAAGAATAAAGAGTCAATCATCATAAGAATTTTACAGCTGATTATAATCACAGTTATCTGAAGAATAAAGAGTCTATCATCATAAGAATTTTACAGCTGATTATAATCACAGTTATCTGAAGAATAAAGAGTAAGATCCTACTCATAGGGGACTTGTGTAAGCTATTTTACTTTTCATTTTGATACCTACAAAATGTCCTTCCTCACTTTGAGAAAAAAGTTTGAGGAAAAACATTTAAAGAAAAAGCAGTTTTAAAGAAAACAAGGCATTAACAATTAACATGACTAAATGTCTAAGTGGAGCTCACATAATATCATATTATGAGTTCAATCTTAAGTCTTTGAACTTCTGAGAACTTGTAGATGACTTTGAAAAAATTGGTCAATTTTGATGTAAGTTGAATTAAGACCTTTTTTATCTAACATGTCATTAACTTCTATTGAATGCTCCGAAGACCACAATAGAATCAGAATGAGATAAACAAAATTTACCTTCTCCTATATTGTAGCTTTACTCCAATCATAAATCCTATGTGTTTTATCCTGCCTTATACATGTATGCGGTATATGTCATGATCTAAAAATTGGAAATCAACCAGCTGCCATTTTTTCACTTCATAATTTGAATTGCGAGTTTTGGTCTTATTACCTTACAAAAACGTTCAAAAAACACATGAAGTGATCAATGTATTAATGTTAGTTCAAATCTTTTGGATTGCTTCTTTGAACTTTAGATCATTTAAATCTCAATTGAGTAGTTTTCCCAACTGTTCCACAGATCCAGAGCCAGATGCAGCACCTATTAGTAGTAGGCTCAAAGGATAAATGGGAAGAATCCGGAAGATAAGACTCAAAAAAATGACCACCCAAAAATATGACCCTCGTACTGACCTTTATTTCTTCCATCTGTCAGACCATGGGCTTTCATCTAGTTGAAAGCCCATGGTCAGACATTGATTGATCAATATTTACCCTGTAATCTCTTCTTTATGTATTAGTTTGAATGGTTGTATGATATCAATTATTGATGCTGTTAATCAAATTTTCCTTGGTCATTTCTTTCAAATTTCCAGAGCGTAAAGATAATGGAGTGTTTCGGTTTCGGTAATTTCCGGCAATGTCTGATGTTGTTCGTCTCTCAAATTACGTCACATGGCAACAAACACTTTCTCGGTAATCTCTGATGTGACGTCATCCGGAGTGATGTCATATTCTCAGAAACAACATTTGACTTCAGGAATAAACATTTGAACAACGGAAATAGTCGAAGCACTCCATTAAATATATGCTTGTTTATTTTATGCTTTTATCAACAGACGCTTTCTTGAATGCGTGGCTATAGTGATTGGAGATGAAGCTAACAACAGTACGCATCATTTGAGGTATGACATGTGATATTTATTGATAAACTGACTCCAAAATCAAGGAAATATATATTTTCCGAAGATCTTATGTCTTGTCCTTGAGTATATTTATTGAGCCTAGACACGACTGAAGAAGAGGAAGACTGTCATCCTCCTAAGCAGGTATCCAGTGCCAGGACTATAGTCCTGCGAACGTCTTATTCTTTTGCCTGTACGATTACAACATGGGAGAATTTTCTACGCTTCTTACACTTAAGATACCTATTTCAATAGATTCCTTGGTATTTTAACATTCTTTTCCACAATTGTCTGGGTTTATCGGCAGAACAAAGATATTTTTGTTTTTGATCGCAATATTTGCATGTAATATTTAACTTATTTCAACCGTCAAATTCTTCCATTTATTGGTACATCCGGGCCACTTCCGGGTCAGTCAAACGGGGAATCCCCTTTTAAATCCGACCGCCATCTTGGAAAGTGATGGAATATCTCTCGATGAAAAAGAAAAATGTTCCCATTCTGCCGATATACCAAAACAATTGTGGATTCAACTACACAAAAAGATTGCTAAAATACCCAGGAATCTATTGAAGTAGGTATCTTAATAGTCCAACAACATTAGACCTAGCCCGGGCCTCATTTCTTATCTGACATGTGTTATGGCCCGGCTAGGTCTAACCTCCATGACCATTTTGCCTTTGATGCGTTAATTTAATCGTTCAGCAGGTTTCGACAAGCGGAACTAATTGAACCGTGAAAACATGGCAATATTACACAAAGAATGTGATTCAAGCATGCATACATACCTTATAAACACATACACCCCATCCCGTATCCCCCTTAGACCCTATTGATGCATAATTACGAAAATATTGGAGACAGGTTTGGAATATGACGAAAATGTCGGTCAGTTTCGGTAACATCGAAATTGCAAATCGTTTCAGGAATTAACCGTCATCACGGCACTGCATTAACGAACAGTTGGTTTGCAATTAATAACTATTTTGCGTGTATATACGCGCTATATAAATTAATCAAAGATACCTGTTATCCTCAAAATTGATCTTTTTATCCCGAGTAATCGCGATAATAATTATCAATCTCTTTGACCACAATTTCGTTTCGCTGGTAGTTTAATTTTACGATCCGGGACACTCAGATGAACAGACACAATGACGGACATGCGGAAATGTCACTTTAGAGATTGGTAAGTGTAGCCTCATTTTACTCGTATAAATGAACATTTAACACAATAATATTGTGTTAAATCGCTTGATGTTATGTGTTTTTATATTATTGTCAAGTATCAGTTGCACGAAAACGAGACTGAAATAATGAAAAGCTAAAACTCCGAACTGACGAGGATAAGTGCCGTTTGTTACTATAAAACACATAGGAGTTGAGTTATTCTTCCTTTTAGAGACGTTTAAGTTACCAGGGAGTCTACTGAATCCATTAAAAGTGAATGTAGGCGTAGAATAATGTCGCAAACCACTATCAAAAACTTTTACAAAGGAAATACCAATTCTAGCCAAAATGGCGTCGGTGAAGATCGATCTCGAGACAGGGCTAGAGCAACTCACTCAGATAGACCTCCAAGCAAGAGAAGACAGGCTGGAGACAGCAAGGGGAAATATAGCATACATGGAAGTGATAGTGAAGATGACACGGCCATGACTGAGTATCATAGTGACTCGGATACATTCGATAGTGCCAACGTGGAACCGGAAGTACTTACAAAATCATGGATGGAGAAACTTTTGAAAACTGCCCTGGACAACCAAGAGAAGAAAATAGAAGCAATGGTTAAAAGCTCGGTAAAGAAGACCATTCACAGAGCACTAGAAGCTACCAATTCGAGACTCTCTGACATTGAAAAAGAAAACTCTGAGCTTAAGCAACAGGTACTCGATATGAGGAAAACAATGACAGATATGACTGAAGAAATAAACCATAACGCCCAGTACTCCCGGAAGAATACTGTACGGTTGCTCGGCATACCAGAATCTGCAGAAGGGAGTGCAGATGAGAACTGTATACAGAGTATATCTAATTGCCAAGCAGTCAAGGATAAACTCGATATTAATTGGAAAGAGACTGTTGAAGTAGCTCATAGAATTGGACGATTCGAGCGCCAAAGCAGGTATCCACGACCAATTATTGTGAAATTTAAATATCGAGGAGATAAGAACGATCTTCTTGCCACTAGACATAGACTTAAGGGAACTAGAGTCATTGTTTATGAGGACTTAAGTCCAAGAAACCGTAAGCTTCTTTACACTGTAAAGAACAACGAAGAAGTTGAATCAGCATGGACGTCAAATGGTAACATCAAGGGTCGTCTTAAACGCGGAGATGTCATGACCTTCAACATATCATCCGATGTGGATGTCCAGGTCCAACAACAACTAGCCATGCCCAGACCTAATAGACCCCCCCGTCCATCTAACCCAGTAGTAAGGGGTAACTCAAGTGAAACACCGACCGAACAGGGTGCATCAGGGTCTACAACAAATGATGCCACAAAGCCAGTTACACCCCCATAGACCACACTACATTTATGTATCTAACAATAGTAAGATGAACGAACTCACTTTGGTGTTATTCTGTAAGTACTGTAATCATCAGATATGAGTGACTGTCATTATTGTCTATATAGATCTTCATTAAGTTGTGAACATGACACAAACCTGCGATCAACAATGATAATTAGGTTATCTCTCACTCAGGACAATTTACTTATTTCTAGATGTAATATTCTTTACCTTGCACCACAGATTTACAGTCTGGACAATATCGTATTGAGAATACATGTATACCAAAAAGTGCCCAAGTCTAGTTTTTAAACCTTTATGATATCCACAGATCAAGTTTGATATCATAACCATGAGAAATCTATTCATTTCTGGTGAGCCCTTCATGCACATTCTCATGTTTCCGTCACCAATATAAACAAAGTCACGTGAGTGGTATCACGTGATCAAAACAACCGTTTCCGGTCAGTATGACCTGTGATAACTTGAAGTTTCGAAGCACTCGATGTTATTCTGGATTTTAAACGACAAATCGATGGGATATTGTGTATTGAAGTTGGCGACAGAAACAGCAAGGTAATGCATATGATATATGAGAATCCGAGTGCTATATAATGTAAACTAAATAGTCAAAATTATTAGTATAAAGTAGAAAGCTACCGGTAAGATTTGGATCAATTTTTTCATTCAATCCAGTAAGCATTTGTGATTTAACTGATACAGTTTTCAGACACTGCATGTACTCGGTTTTTCCCATATCATTATAACATTGGTAATATAGCCTAGCTTTCAATAGTGTAACACGGTGTTTTTGTTAGCGTTCAAGGAGCTTAGCGGGCACCCAAAGGGGAGATTGAAAAGTGTATTTGTAAATAGTCTATTGTATTTGTGTAAATGTATTTTTAGAGCATTAATTTGTATTTTGTACGAGTTAGTGTGGGGGGGGGGGGAGTTACTGTTGATGAACGTAGTACCCTTTGGGAACCCGCGTAACCTGTACATAGGAGTTACCTAAATTTGGAGATCCTGAAAGCTGTTCGTTACTTCTTATTTTCGTGTGACTGTATTGTTTATAAATGAATATCTTATTATATGAGGAACTCAACAAATTACTAATATCTAGGCACTGTTCCTCATATGTTTTAGGAATTTCTGCATTTCCAGGCAAACCAGTATGTTGGCAAAATGCATATATGTACTTGTAATCAGACTGATGTATTGGTTTGTGTTTGATTGTGTTTGTGTTTGTTTTGCTTGCTCATCCAAGTCACATGTATCTAATTGTACACGTACATGTAGCTCATACTTTTCAAATGAACTTATCAAGAGTCCCTATAGCCCTGCAAGATCAGGAATAGGGTAATATGCCCTGTTGTACTGAATCATGGAGAAGAGCAGTTGGACTTTTTAATTGGCACCACATATTAAGCTTGGAAAACATATTGGAACCGGGCTCTCAATTGAAATGTGAATACTCTACTGAATTTTACCAGCTGACTGTTATTTTAGTTGCATTTTTAACTCTCTTACTGATTGTAGGAGGGTTACATGTATCTAGTTGTAAATTGCAAATTCTGCCCTTTGTCTTGGTATTTGCATTTCACATAGTCTACATTTGCATTATTTTATATACCATGTTGTCTATAATAAGATATTTGGTGAGTCTCTATTCACATACAATACCAATTATACTTAATATTTCATTACTAACTGTGGTCATTTCATGTATACCTGGATCTACATTACTTATACATAATCCAAGCCACATGTATTACTTATTGCTCCTACTATGTGGGGATATTGAAAGTAATCCAGGCCCATCAGATGACTTAAAAATTTTGTTCAGCAACATTAACAGTGTGAAGGCAGACTCACTAAATCGCTTAAATTTCCTGAAAAATTATGCAGCAAAGGAGGAGTTTCATATTATAGCCCTATGCGAATCGGGTAATATCACACCTGAAGATCTAAAATCAAAGAATTTTGACATAAGTAACTATGGCGCACCAAAATTTTGCTCAAACTCTGGCAGAGGCTTGATTTTATGGTCCCATGATTCTGTTGAAGTAAAAATTTTGGATCAATTTAGATCAGCTGACCTGGTCAACTGCTGGATTGAAGTTAAACTAAACTTCAAAACATTTCTATATGGATTTTTTTACAGATCACCATCAATGAATGCTAATGATACCAGGCGGTACTTCTCTGATTTCAAAGATAATATATCTAATGTGGCAATACATCCGAATAATGGGATATTTATTAATGGGGATTTTAACGCAAGAAATGATGTATGGTATGAACATGATCATAACAATTTAGCTGGAACTGAATTATTTAGTACATTAACTGAACTTGATCTTTTGCAACTCGTCTCTGAACCAACCAGAGTCAGGCAGAACTCAAAGACATGCATTGATTTACTCATAACCAATTCCGAACATGCGATTTCTCACAGAGTTGATCCCCCGATTGGAAACTCTGACCATTGTGCAATTGTGTCAACCATAAGATCGAGGATTCCAAGAGAGCCATCTATTAAAAAGACCATGTGGAACTTCAGTAATGCTGATCTACAGCAACTTAATGCCAATATTACTAACTCTGATTGGAGTTTCATATTTGAAGACTCTGTCAATAGTGCAACCAATAGATTTATTGATAATTTTATGTCCATAATCAAGACAAGTATTCCTTGCAAAATTTTTTCTACACGTTATGATGATCAACCATGGTTTAATAGCTCAATTAAAAAGGAAATCTATAAACGTAATAAACTTCATCATAAATTCAAAGCAACAGATAACATAGAATTTTATGAAAAATATGTGACCCAAAATAGAAAAGTAAATCTATTGATTAGCGAGGCCAAAGCAAACCACGAAATCAAACTCAGAGAAAAGATTGATAATGTTTCAAAAAACTCTACAGAATATTGGACTTTAATCAAAACTCTTTTGGGTAAAAATCATACAAGCTCATTTCCTGTTCTTATTGATCCTTTGACAAATATCTCAGCATGCAGCAGCTTTGAAAAGGCTGAAGCTTTTCTAAAATATTTTGCAAGTAAAAACTGTGTTGATATTAATAATACCAATGAACCACCACTTGAACTTAGAACAAATACAATATTGCCAGAAATCAGAACTTCTCCACAGGAGGTATTTGAGCTGTTCTCTAACCTAGATGTAAATAAATCCCATGGACCTGATGAGATAACCAACAAAATGATTAAACATAGCGCCTCTTCTCTTTGTCTTCCTGCCAGTCAATTGTTTAATAGAATTTTAGATGAGAATATTTTCCCAGACATCTGGAAAGAAGGCACTGTCATCCCAATATTTAAGAAAGGGGACAGAGGCACAATAAGTAATTATAGACCAGTGACCCTCTTATGTACTTTTTCTAAAATATTGGAAAGGATCATCCATAAGAGATTACTTCTCCACTTGCTTGAAAATAATTTATTATACAAACTCCAAAGTGGCTTTTTACCCAAACATAATACAGTGAACCAACTTATTCATATTGTTCATGACCTCCATACTAACATCGATAATGGTAAAAATGTGCGTTCCATATTTCTTGATCTCACGTCAGCGTTTGACTTAGTTCCACACCATCTTCTTTTAAAAAAACTAAAAGCCTATGGATGTAATGACAATTTTATCTCCTTAATGACATCTTATCTTTCAAATAGGAGAATACAAGTACGGGTAAACAATAGTTTATCCAAATGGTCAAAAGATCGGGAACAGCGTAATGCCAATTTTGATCCTAGCCATAATGGTAGTCATAATTTTACCATAAATGCGGGTGTGCCGCAGGGGTCTGTTTTGGGACCCCTATTATTTCTAATTTATATTAACGACTTACCCGACAATCTCAACTCAAAAACTTTTATTTTTGCTGACGACACTTCACTGTATGATGCGTATGATAAAAATGAAGTCTTTTTAAACATTAATCAGCCATTACAAGATGACCTTGACACTTTACACCAATGGTCATTACTATGGAGAATGAAATTTAAAGCTCAAAAGAGTGCTGACATAACTTTCTCGGGACAACGCACCCAGAATATTAACCAATCTCCCCTAACTTTGGGAGGTGAAGAGATACCCATTTGCACAACGCATAAACATCTTGGACTAGTCCTGGATTGTAAACTTAATTTCAATGCCCATATAGATCAATTAATTGGTAAAATAACCTCCCTAATTAGACCCTTGAAAGCTCTCTGTAAAAATTTACCAGGTAAGCACCTTGAAAAAATCTATAATGCCTATTTTTTACCACACTTTGACTATTGTGACATAATCTATAATAAAGCCTCCTTAGCAAAACTACAAGCTCTCGACAGACTGCATTACAAAGCAGCATGCCTGGTGTCTGGTGCTATCCATGGATCAAGTACAGACAAAGTTCTTTCCTCTATTAATTGGAAAACCCTCTCCTCGAGAAGAGATGAACATTTAAAAATTTTCTTATTCAAAGCTCGCTTCAACTGTTTCCCACCCTTTATTTGTGACCTAGTTCGTACATATGAAATCACTCATACCAGAGACCTCAGATTCCAGCATGACTATAGAATTCCGAATCATTTGAGTTCATCTTGTGGTAAATCCACTATTTTTAATTCCATGAAGGTTTGGAATAAACTGCCAGCAGCGATTAGAGTTGGTCAACCCATTTCAAGGTTTAAAAGGTCAGTGAGAGAGTACACGAGCCTTGTCTCTGTATCAACTACTAAAATGACTAGGTGCATGCCAAGGCAAATAGAAATCAAATTCAATAGACTAAGAGCTGGTCTACTTTTGAACAGTCACTTTTATTCTCATAATTTCCTGTCGGTAACAGATCCCAAATGTCAATGTGGTGAAAAATTTCAAACCACTGAACACTTTTTAATCAAGTGTCCACTGCTCCTTAATGAACGTGAAGTTCTTCTTGCAGGACTATCAGACTTGGACTGTTTACGAGATTTTGAAGCATACTCAATTCAAAGGAAAACACATTTTCTATTAAATGGAGATGAAAATTTGGACTTTGAAACAAATGAAAAACTGATTGAAATCACTGCTCACTATACATTTCAAGCTATACTAAGTCTGGGACAGGGTAATTTTTAACATTTGAGCTTGATACCACAACTTGGTACTGGGGAACAAGCAAACCAAACATCAACAAAAAAGAAAAAGCTTCTCTGAACATTTTGTGTATTTCTGAATATCAATTTTTATTTATCAAAATGTTTCAATTGCCGATAATGTTGTCCTGTCAACAATGGCAATTTGTAAAAATGTAACCGATTGATTTTTAGAAATAAATATGAAGTATGTAAAAAAAAAAAAAGTTGCACGTTATCGCGGAAAAATGGTTTCGATGGATTCAGAACTTGCATCAAAGGAAAGAATAGTAAGGAGGTTAAACTCAATAATGGCCCCAAGAAAATTCCTAATAATAAAGAACGCCGTTATTGAGTTTGACGACGTTGAACTAGTATCTTAAGTGTAAGGGACGTAGATAATTCTCCCAAGTTGTAATCTTACAGCCAAAAGAATGCGCTCGTTACAGGACTATAGTCCTGGTACGGGATAACATACATTACCTCCTTCTTCCCCCTGCTGTAACCAATTTGGAAGCGCCCGATTAAACTGAATCACGTGAATTATGCGCAATGACTTATACACAATTTCTGTCACAGTGTTGCGACAGCCAATCAGATTGCGAGTTCTTAATCTGGGAAATGCTAACTGCTTATTGCAGGGAGTAAAAAGAAAGAATATATTTCTGGATTTTGAAGAGACCTTAAAAATTCAGGCAGTGTTGAGTTACCAATAAAATGGGCTCACAGATGGGTAAACAGCAGGTAATATGTAGTAAAATTAAAGAAAAGTATATGATGATTCTAGCTGAAGTTAGAATTTTTCAGAATACTCACCATTTAATCACTTTTAAGACTATATTTGCGAAAATTGCGAAGTTTTACTGCGGCCACCATCTTAAAACATCACTCTAGCGATTGGGGTCAGTGAATTCAAAAGGAGGAAGCCGAAACTACACCACTATAAAATCATAGATTTTCGGTCAAATATATATTGTTGCTATTTTTTTATCTTAATATTAAATTTGATTTGATTTTTTGTATGTTCATTTTTGTGTTTTTATCGAAAATAAGCCCAAAATTAATATTATTTCGTTTATATTTAGGGGAAAAGTTCACATTTTTGAAACAGCAAGTGCGAGCGTCCTTGAACTTTAAAGTTTTGTAAATCCAGTCGGTATGTGTTTTTCTCCTACTTTTGTCACGTTTATGTCTTTCAAATAATGAAAAATGAGTTCACAAGTTTATATAATTATTAAATACACCTATTTATGCCAAACGTGTCCATTTCAACCATTGAAATTGTTAAATCCGTGAAGCAAACGCAAATGTTTACATTATAAAAATTACATCATCATTCAATCCCATTGGATTTGGAATGGGAAGTGAAAGTGAAACTTACCATTGATTGTGCTTTGCTAAAGCCCTAGTTACACTAGCACTTTTATCACCGAAGAGTGCTCTTACGCCGGATAAATAGTTCAAGTGTAACAGGGTCCGTATCTTATCCGTATCCGTGTTATTGACCCTGCTAAAATGATGTATTAATACGGCAACTAAAATCCTGCGCAGGCTATAAGTGGTAAATGTAAACACTGCAGGGCTAACGCCGGCGATAAGGCGATATATATTTTAAAACTATAAAATAAACTTGGTGGCCCATCTTGCGCCATCGTCCTTCTTACCCTACTGTCCCCTAGCACTAACAAATGTTGATATGGCATTCCTTATTTTATTATGACGGATCTGAATATCGCATCTTAACCTTTTCTCAATATATGGTCCTGATCTCTTGTTTAAGACCAAGAAAATGGAACACAGTGACAGCATTTTCTGGCATCCTTCATTCACAAGTATCTATAAGATGGCTATGAGCGCATGCGTGTATAGTTTATATAACTGGTGTTTGGATTCTTATGTAAATATCAAAATAATTTATATTGCCGTTCCAATGTTAGATGTAACAGGACTCGTATTTAGGAACACAGGCGTTACATGACACTGACATTGTAGTGTAAATACTGTAAAAGAAGAGATAAGCTGTATCTCAAAGTTGAGGGTCTCATGATTCCTTTTTCATGAAAATCTTTTCAACTTTTCCATCATCTTTTATCTGAATAAATTGCTGCACTCAGCCTAGATGTGATGTTTTAGATCTAGTAACTTTCCATAGGGTTTTTCTGTGCTAGGAGTTACCGAGTGCCACGTCTTCCCTGAAGTGTAGTCGTACACTAGCCAAAATTATGCCAAAGGTAACTTCTCTGTAATTTGAGATAGCCCAAACCTTTGTGACTTTGGGAGAACTTACCAAATGAATGAAAGAATCTATTGAGGTAAGAAATAAAGGTGCATGACATTGACTTTTGAAAATAAATTCAAGTCTTAGAACTCAATGAGACGACAGCATGACTACACCTCATGTAAGCTGTGGCACTTGATTAGTTGGGAAGTTATTTCTACCTCTTGCTTTAGCAAGAGGTTTCTTCAGTCCGTCATACGCCAAGAACCAAATGTTCATGTTAATCTAGTATGGTACATATGTTAAGAGCGTAATCTAGACCATAATTTATATTGTCTACAGTGATTTCACTTTTAATTTATAACTCATTTTATTGTTACAATTAGTGCTGTTTATATGTTTTTTTCCCGTTCCATAAAGATGTAACTCAGAGTAACAGTCAAACTCCACACTTTACTCTGCTAAGTATCCAAACCGTAATTACTTAAGAAGCTATAATTATCATAGTTCAATATTTTCTACATATACAATTTACATGGCATATCTGTTTACTTTATAGACCAAGGAATATGAAGCAGACCAAGAACAACAGGTTCCTACTTCTCTATGCATCCCAGACAGGGCAGGCCAAAGCTATTGCAGAGGAAATCAATGAGAATGCGCCTCAACATGGTCTCAACCCAGAACTTCATTGTATCAGCCAAACAGAGAAAAAGGTACTTTAATAAAAGTTTTGGTAGTTGTCTTTCAGCCTTTTGACCCCCCCCCCCCCTATTTTCTCATCAAAGTTGGGATGTTTGAGAGGGAGAGGCATTAGGACCTAGCAAGACTAAATGTTAGGCCTAGTTAAAAAGTGAGTATAGCCAAACACTGAAAAACTGATCACAAGATAGTATCCAAGTGTGCGATGAAAAGGTACTGCAGTGAAATTACCCTTTGCATTCGTTCAACTTCACTTCTTAAAAGAGAGCTTCATCTTCACTCTTTCAGTTTACAATAAATCTCTGATCTCACCGAGCCAATAAGAGTTCGTCGTCCAAATATGGATGACTTTCTATATGGACATTTCCTCTGACATTACCGCATTTACGTATTTAGCACGTGTTCCTTCCACTTCACTGATTGGTTGAGATTGGGTCAGCATTGGACATTTGGAATGATTTATTACCCGGGCTGTCACAGGCACCAATCTTTGGGGCGGGGCTGCTAAACTTTAATATAGTCTATACTAGGCAGAGGGTAGCTTATAACTAGATTCTGCGAGCAGGGTACAGTTGAATATTTAACAATCATTAAATAATGATACCTGTAGAAAGTGGAGATTAGTTCATCCTAACAATTTACTCACCAGTCCAAAAAGTCACTTTACACATTAGGCTCATACTGTATACATGTGCTATAGTAATATGGTATAACTCCTTGAATAGAGTTAAATAGAGATTCCTATTCATGTATTCCAGTTTTCATTAGAGAGGGAATCCTGTGTTGTTATAGTAACATCAACAACTGGTGAAGGGGAACCACCAGATACAGCTCTTAAGTTCTGGAGACGGCTGAAGAAAAAGACATTACCAGATGATCACCTCAGCAAAGTCAACTATGCCCTATTAGGTAATAGTAATAGAGGTGGAATCACCCACTCATCTATTTGTCTGTCAACAATTTTCAAACAATTGAAAACTGGATTTCCTGAAGTAATTCTCATGTCCATTTTTATCAGTTATAAATGCTATATTTAAGTACAGTATGACAACCATCATTTTTACTTTTACTTTTGTTGTCCTCAAGGTTTGGGAGATAGTAACTACACTAACTTCTGTAACAATGGAAAGAACTTTGACAAGCGTCTCAATGAGCTTGGGGCAAAGAGATTCTATGAATGTGGCTGGGCAGATGAAGCTGTGGGGTAAGTACTTTGACAAACATCTCATTAAGGCCCTATGGATATTATTGATTTCATTTTGTCCATGCAAATAAGTTTGTAAAGTGAGATAGCTGGAAAAAATCAAATGTTTAACAAAGCATTATTGATATAAAGTCTTTGAAATAATATAGAATATACATGTACAATGTTGTTTCCCAAGGTCTGTTTTGAACTTGGTTCAAATATAAGATATAACAGGCTGACTTTAAAAATATTCACTGTGTGAAGTCTTACATTTCTGCTTTAAACTTTCCTAAATCATCCCTTGTAATCAAATTCTTAATATTATAATTTCTTTGATTTCAGATTAGAAGTGAAGGTTGAGCCTTGGATAGAAGGACTATTCACCACATTGAAGACATTCCTGAACTTAAATTGCAATAATGAGCATGCTCCTTTAAACGGTGCCTCAAATATTGAAACTGAAGAGTCAAAGTCAACTCAAATTACAGACTCTCATGTAAAAAACCCTAGTCTCGAGGGAGGACCCTCAAATGAAGACACTAGCACAGAATCCAGTCAATGTATTATACAGACTATCACACCTCAAACTGAACAGACAAGTGAAATTCCTGACAATCCAACAAATGCTGCAATAACTTCAGAACTCAATACAGAAAATAAAAAAGAACCAAATGAAAAACCAAAAGAACCAAAATCTCAAGATTCCACAAATTGTGACTGTGATACTGTTGACCATACTATTACGCCATCTATTCATAGGTCTATAGCTCCTCTAAGTGAATCAGCTCTCACCCTGCCTCTGCTGACTCCTGCCTTCTATAAACTCACCTTCCATCCAGGAGAATCATTGGTAAGTTAAATCAACATTAAAAACTATTCAGTATTCACCCCAGATCTTTCAACTATGAGAATACCATGATCCAGCAGGTTTGACTTAAAAATGTCCAATTTGGTCAAACTTAAAATTTTAAATTCTGAATTCACAAATTGATGTGAATAGTCTTGTTCCTTATAAGTTTATGTGATTTGCACATGTAGAAAGAGATAATGAACTCAACCTTTATTCATAAAAGGTTATAAGATTGTTACACAAACCTTAGACACTAGACAAGTGTCACCCATTGACATATTTGACCCAGGTCAGTTCATTCAAAATTTCTCCAATCACTATCTTGGTAAACATATCTTCTTCAAAATCCTATGAAACTGTATTTAATGATTATCTATATATGTTACATGACCTACAGAAAGAACCTATACAGAATGGCAGCCCTTTTCCATCAGCAAAATCTGATGTTGTTATGGCAACAGTTACCTCAGCAACCATACTTACAAGACATGATGCAGTAAAGACAGCCTTAGATGTTGGCCTGGATATATCAGTAAGAACTTAAATGTTAAATTATTAATAATTGTTGCTCTGGTTGATTGAATAACTAATACTTGTATTTCTAAAAAGGTACCATATCACTGCATCATAAGTACTTCAGATTTGCTATTACTTTTGTATTTTATATTGAATATAAGTACATGAATGTTGGTCCAGTAAGACTCAAGCCTGCATTGAGACATAACTTAACAATATAATATTTCACAAATCATTGTAAATAACATTATGTGGCACCTAATACTCCCTCTTGGGGGTGACTCATAGCCACTACAACCTATAAAAAAATACAATAAAAAAATACACAACTTTGATTCTTTGAGTGCAAACTAGCACATTTATACATGTTAAATCAATTTCACAGTGCATGTATCATTGATCATTATTCTGTTTTTCAGAGCAGTTCTATAAAGTATCAGCCTGGAGACTCATTTGGAATCATATGCCCCAATACTGATCAGGATGTTACCACTCTTATAGAAAGGTAGGCTACCTCAACCTTCTTCCATTCTTTATTTCTTAAAATGCTTGTGTTCATGGCATTAGTCTCATTTATTATGGACTTCTTTGGTTTTGAAATAATTTCTTCGATAAAGCTGGTTAAAATGTCCAAACATAATTTTGAAATTCTTAGCTTGGTGCATCTTCACATTGGTTCAATGTTGAGGACTTTGGATGACATGTAAAGTCTTGTTCAATTTTCATTATGCATTCTTGTTTTGTTAACCTTTCATGGTGCAAGTATGCCTTTAATCTTAACTATGTTTCCAGACTGGAGGTAGCAGATCAAGCAGACACTGTGTTTACATTGGATCTGATAGCTGATACAAAGAAGAGGAATGCTGTCATCCCTAGTTTCATACATGAGAAATCCACACTCAGGCATTCTCTCACTACATGCTTTGATATAAGAGCTGTGCCAAAAAAGGTAATGATATGATATACCATTCAGTGATCTCCCCAGGATTTTTTCTCATGTGGGTGCAAAATTATCATTTTCACAATTCAGACCAAAATTTATTGCTGGGGAGATCACTGCTATTAATGAATTATAAGTGGTCAAGTCAAAAATGCAATATTATTCAGGTTAAAATTTCAATTTGAACTTATAGAATTGATATGTCTTTCTCAATGTTTCTACCTTTCACTATATACAGGCATTTATCCGTGTGTTGGCTGAGTACACCAAGGACCATGGGGAGAAGAGGCGTCTACAGGAGTTATGTAGTAAACAGGGGGCAAAGGACTATACAGAGTTTATTAGAGAGCAGAACATAAGTGTCCTGGATATACTATTGGCTTTTCCTTCTTGTCTGCCTCCTATAGAGCGTTTTCTAGGTAAGTGATACATGTACTGTAGATCTTTATTGTCTACATACTTGACTTTTACTATGAAACAAGTGAGCTGTACACTTATTTTAGATTTTAAAAAAAGGCTTGCATCCAAATACATCTCACTTTACCCTTGTCAGGGTATTCTGGTGTGCATATAAAAACCCATTTTCACCAACTTGAAATGGAACAAACTGGTCAGAATTGTGAAAATGAGAATTTGGCACCACTCCTGGAAATCATTCTCAGAAAAACATAAATTATTATTACAGCAAATTGTTTCTTTTATTGCTATCAGACTTTAATGGCTTAATATAATTTCTTGTTTTAGAGCAACTCACTAGACTTCAACCCAGACCGTATTCTATCTCAAGCTCACCTCTGCATTCTTCCTCGTTACATTTTGTATTCAACATCGTGGAAATCCCCGCAGGAAGTGGGAGGAGCTATGCGCGAAAGGGCCTTTGTACAGGTTGGTTGAACTCAATTACAAAGACTCTTCAGAAATCTGTGGACAGTGACTTGGCGAATGGTGTGAGTGAGCTCACATTGGAGACATCTGATGTTAAAGTAAGTATAGATCACATATTTTTTAATATATAGAAATAAAGTAATCATAATGAGTTTTCAATCTGTGCCATTTTTGAATCGTCCATTAAATTAACCTTCCAACACCAACATAAGTTTAGGTGAAATTGTCCTCTAGAAGTTTGTTTTATATGTAGATAATGATAATGCTGTCAGGATTCCACTGAATATGAAAGTGGCACATTGTGAGTTTTCACAAATACAGGGATAGTGGGATTGGTTAATATGTTTTATGTCACCACCAGAAGTTATTGTGTCCAACTTTTTTGTGGATGGTATTTGAAGGTAATGAATGGCAGGTGGTGACATTTTGTGTGTTAATTCCTTGTTATTCATACTGAACAATGAATACTCCTTTAGAATTTCACAATCTTGGAAAGAATTGAAGCATATGAATATGAAGTTAAAATTTCTGTAACATGATTGATCAATGAAAAGGAAATATGAAACATGTCAAAATGCAATAATATCTACATTAACTGTACACACACTTATTTTTGATTTTTTTTAGATACCAATTTTCACTCGGAGCAACCAAAACTTCCATTTACCTGAGGATATTAGTCGACCAATCATAATGATCGGCCCTGGTACTGGAGTGGCACCTTTTGTTGGGTTTCTGCAACACAGGTGAGGCATCTTTTATGTGTTAAAAAGGGATAGGGTCACTTTTAATCAACACTAGTCATTACTTAATCTTAAAATATTCAAAAAATATATTTTTCAGTATTCTCAAGGTTTTCCTATAGGTGTTCAGAAAAAGACAAAAACTTAGAATTTAATAGAAAAATATATTTCTATTCAACCACAAAACAATCTATTTTACAATGTACATGTATATATAATTATATGACATCAGTTTCATCAAGAAAAGTTACTGTACATAAATGCATAATATGCCTAAATTAAAAAATATATACTAGTATAAGTACATGTATGTGAAAGATTTATCATACCTACATATAGACTAAATAAATTTAAAAGTCAAATATAATATCCTAAAAATATATTTGACCTTTACTGTACATATTAAATGTCTGTTATTCATAAATTGAATGGAAAATAAAACAGAGAGCTAAAAGTTACATCACTTCTACACTAAATAAAGGCAAAAGCCAAATATGAGTATCATGTCTTCAAAATACATTTGACACATAGATAAAGATAAAAAAGATATCCTTTGTCTAAAAATACAAATGCATTTCACTATATTACATAAATGCATGAATGATACTCATGAATTTAAAAAAAACATATAATATGATAGCATGCCAAAGCGCTTCCATTTTCATCAATTACATTCACCTAAAACTTCATTTTTAATTCATTCTACTAAACACAGGTTATATTTACCTCATTTGTCCTCAGAAATTAAGACACATATGATTGAACTATTTTATTTGACAATTTGTTGTCACTAAATGTTTGTTGTTTATTTCAATCAAATGCGAGTCAGTCAGTCATAATGATTATTCACCTTGCCTCTCAGGTCCATGGAAGTTCACAATCACAAAAGTGTTAATATTTTTCACACCAGTCAATACTAAAGAATATTACCAGAGAACATTATGTCACTCTTGCCAGGTTTAGGAGTGAACATCTACCCCAGACACCAAAAGCAAATGAGACAACAACAACATGGCTTTTCTTCATCTCTCTTTTGTCTTTCTATAACATCACTAGAATCGACTGAAAAATACAAAGAAAGCATATTTGAGAATAGGGATTTACTGCTTGCTTAGTGGCCCAGTTATATTTGTAATTTGTTAAATTTAGAATTGAGTGTTATTTTGAAAATAGATAGGCATTGATCTGGTCTGTCCTTGCTTACAGACAAGCTTGATCTGTAAAGTTGTTTAGTTTTGTTTGTTTAGTACTGTAAAACGGGTAATTTTGACACCTGTAAATTTTAGCGATTTTTCAATTTTAGGGGGTTTTAGCGCGGGAAATTTTAGCGAAATGAAGATTAATCTTTAAAAAATCAAATTAGCGAAATGCATAGGTGTATAGATTCTGTAGACTTTGATTTTGAAAGTGATCCTTTGCTCACTTATGGTACGGTAGAATTTAAGCAATATCATTGGTTGTTGAACCGTGTTCAATTAACACCTTTTATCTTTATATTTACTACTAATACTATTTCACTGATGGATGGCTATTTATCCTTCAGATATTGAAAGAAACATACGATTTAAAAATATTTACCTTTTTCAAATTACAAACTGGAAGTCGAGCACTGAACGAAAAGCTCCTTAAATACTAGTATTCATGTAGTTTCCCGGGAATTTGCAAATTTTAGCGCCTGGTTTAATTTAACCCCGGTTTATTTTAGCGAATTGAATTTTTAGCGAAACTATAGCGATTGCTAACAATCGCTAACAATTACCCCTCGCTAACAATACTCGTTTTACAGTAATCCTTTCATGCCACTATTGCTGTAATATTAGATACTAACGTAACTTACCCTTTGTGTCCTCATTTTGTCTCTCCTCTTTTTGTTCTGGAGCAGGAATAAGCCAACGCATGGGGAATCCCTCACAAGCTTCTCGAAAATGTTGGCTTAAAAATCTGCGATCACTGATTGGCTCCTCAGCTGGGATATATTTTGGAAGATCAGCATCTCTATCATGTGACATCAAACCATCTCCTCCCTGTTTACAAAGACAAGAAATAGCATAAATAATCCTTAATCTTAAGTTGAATTTAAAATATATTTAGTCGCTGTGATTATTCCAGTGTAATAAGCTCTCTAAATGTGTGATCTAATATACATGATGGGTAGTTAACTTACAGGGTGGTGTTCCATATAGCTCTCCATTGCCTCAGGAGTAAGGGCACTTCTACTGAGGGGGTTCAGGTAGCACACATAGCTGTCATCATCAACAACTTTCATCATTGTTAGACCCTGGAATATATATTTTCTGCCACATATAACATCCGTAAATTGTACTGTACAAGAAGAATTGCTCTACTGAATGAGAAGTAATTTTAGTTAAAAATGTCACCTTTTACATGTTGGTGAAAGGCGGTAAAATTACAGTTCAGCAATATCAATGTTCTTGTGTTAAAGGATGGTGCAGTTCAATGATAAAGTTACCTTGTCAGTTTGAATTTTGGGAAAAAAAGTAAACCTTCAACTTGGTTACCCTTATAAGTTATATATACATGTTCTTAAGAAACAGTGATATCAAGAACTGGGTACTGAGACATTCACTGGAACTTCATGTAAAGTATTCTAAAGATAACTTACATATTTAGAACATTAGCTTATATTACATGTATATTATTTTATGGACATTAGATATAAGCCTGGATTAAGATGATAAGTTATTTACCTTTTTGAAATCATTGTATGCATAGTACCCTTCTTCTGGATCATCCATTTCTGTCATGTCATTATCTTTGTCCACTTTCACAACTGCATTCGCTGCAAGCCTGTACTCCTGAAAAATATATTGAAACACTGAAATTTTCTTTATTTCTAATGGTGAAGAATAGTAATTTAACTTTCCTTTTACATTGTCTCTCATACCAGTTTGCATCGGCCAAGCGCTGCTTTAAATTATATGTGTTTTAGTGTCATATTTAAGTGTGTGAGACACAAATAAATAAGTTAAGAAACTAACTTTAAACAGGTTGTATGGTGCAGTTACCTTAATAGTGTCCCTGGCAAATTGATTGCTGAGTTTCAGTGCTCCTAGAACTGCTCCCATTGTAATGAGTAGAATCATCACAGCCACAACTGCGCCTATTATGTACTTCTTGTTGGAATGTGCAGCAGGCTTTTGAGATTCCTAAATCATAAAATCAATATAACGACTTACTTTTAGTATAAAAATCCACCATCAAAAGTATTATTTCATGTTCAATTGTGATCATGAGTTTTGGGAAAATAAAAATTTGAAAATGTTGATGGTTTTCTGGATGTTCCAATATTTTGAAAAATATGAAACAGAAATTGGTTAATGTAAATTGTTCAGTAATTTTTTTGCCAAGATTTCTTCTATATAGGTAAAATATATATATGAGAAATAAAATGAAACTGTTTTCAAGTAAACTGTATATTTAATTGAGTTGATCAAGTTGATCCATCAAGCCTAGTAGCAATCAAGTTGACGACAAATATTGAACCCCAATCTTTGTAACTGATGATAAACCTTCATGTACCTGAATCACAATTGGCTCTGGGTAGCTATTGTAACTGTTTGGCATTGCCTTCTTCTCAGAGTCCATCTTGATGGTGAATATCTGTTAAACTCTTGTGAGGTTTTCCTGTGTTCTGTTTAGTGTAGAAAAGTTGATCTGAAAACTGCTGCTGAATTCTGGCTTATATAAGATGGCTAGCTTATTGTTGTTTTTCTAGAAGTTGGTCAAGAACTTTATTTTTTTATTCTTATTGAATAACACTCTTGTTTTTTTCATTAAAAGGGTAATAAAATTTGACAATAGTGACACCTTTCAATCATAAATTAGTTAGATTCTAGTGTTTAATCACGGACAAGTACATTTTTTTAGAAATAGGTGACCTTCAAATTTTTCGGAGTTCAGTGTTTTTGCAATAAATAATGATTGTTTATTGAAAATAAAAGGTTATACTTCTTGACACGTCTTCCTCCTTTTTTGAACATGTCATACAACTAAGTAACCTATTTACAGTATTTTCATGTCTCTGATTTTTTAATAGTCATGAAGTAATTTTTATTTTCAGTTGGATGTTTTGGTATTTATTATAAAATTATCATCAAATGGCAGATTTCATATAATCAGTTTTAAGTGGCTTGCTTTCTGAAAACTTCTGAACAAGATTGTAATGTGTACACACATTTGATTTATTATGGTTGAAATAAACAGTACAATGTGAATGTCAATAGGCCTGAACTTGAAAAAGGATACCTCTTGACTGTATTATAAAACTCAAGAGCCTTTCTTTGAAACAATAATATTTGTTTAATTTGTTGTCTTACATCTAATGCAGACAAATAAATCATGGCAGGCTCTAATATAGATGTGCTATTTTACACCAAAATAATTTCATTTTGGGTGGGATAAACATTTTCCTAAAGCTATACAATTGGTTTAATGCAATTCATTTCATACATTGATTACCTCACTCTCCAAAGATTACATGAAGGGAATCCAATCATTTATTTAATTGCTGACATTGCCCCTTAGATGATGCTTGACTTATTTGAATGATATCGATTTGAAAAATACAAAAACAATGTGGGTGTTTCATCTAAACAAGATTATAAATCAGGTTCATGAGAAAACCAAATATATCATGTAATTTTAAATAAAGTTGTCGGAAGGTGAACATGATCAAAATAGCTGGTCATAAGTGGGATTTATTACATATGCAACAAAGTTTGCCAAAGTTTCTGCCAAAATGATAAATATCTGCATTAATGGTTGATCTGCATACTTGAACTCACTGCTTAAACTCGCACACCAATTAAAATAAAAAAAATCACTTTGATAGTTATGCTTCCAGATTTAATTGCATGAAAATCCTCAATTTTTTCCTCAGTTTTTCCTACAGTGTTTTCCATTTCAACCTCAAAGCGTTGAAATTAAGTTTGACGTGCCTCTCTGTCAGGCTTACTATAGTAGTATGTACCTGCACGTTCTTGGTTAATAATTTAGTATTCTTAAGGCAAACTCCAGTATGTCACAGATAAGTTTCTATATGTTACTACATGTTTAGGCTCTACAGACCAGTTCCTGTACAGACAAGCACCTCTCAATATTTCAAATGCTTTCCCAAATAAATTTCACACCTTGAAATTCCCCAAAAAATCCATCTTAGACAAACAAGACACAGAGTCAACGTGAAACGAAAGACCCAGTATTCCCAAAAAATATCAAACACAAAGTACCAATGAACATTTTAAACAAATATCATGTAAGATCATGGATCATGTAAGAATAAATGGCTTGTCAGATTAACAAAATATTCAAAATCAAAATTCTTGCATCCTGAACTACATCCATAATCCTCATAGTTTATATGTACAGTAACACCTTCACAAAATCAAATTCTATGATTCATGTATATTCATAGGGAGCAGCAGAGGAAGACTGGCTCTACTATTGGGAAAAGCTGGCTGTTCTTTGGGTGCAGGAACAAAGAAAAGGATTTTCTCTATGAGTGAGTACATATGTTGTTCATTGTTATTCTGTATAAGATATTATTCTTAAGAAAATAGTCACCCGAAATTCCAATGCTTAACCCAGAATTTGTTACATCTGGTCAAAGGATTATTACTTGGTAATATTGATGACATTTGGCACTTTTGGGCTAATTCTCCAATTCACAATTTGGAACAATTAGCCAGTTGCTTTAATGTTGAAGTAGTCATTGTTGTTAGAGATCCAGATTTAGCTTGTATTCGCAAATGCAAATAGCGGCTACCGGATTAACTTATCAATTTCAATAAATTAACCCGTCATTTTAAAGTTGTAATTACGAACAACCCATCAGTCGACGAACAGGGAGCAGTGATTACATTACTTTTTATGCCAATGAAAGGATCGATTATAAAAAGCCACTCGGTTGAATTGGCAAATAGAACATAGGTCATTGTCACATACTGCTAAATAGGCAGATTTACCCATTATTTAGGTCAGCGACCGGGTTTGAAGCGAGAGATGGCAACTAACAGGAAGCACAACAGGTACTTTTCATATTTAAATGGGTTTGCCCTCAAACTGCAATCAAGCCAATAGCTGGTAGCTGGTATTTGCATTCAGGAATACAAGCTAAGATTTACTTAAAATCAATATGCAGTCATAGTAAATGTACTTCAACATCAAACTTGTAAGAGCATATCATTAAGTTAAGGGAACTCCCCTGTAGCATTTAGAAATTCCCTTGATCTGCTAATGCCATCCTGCCATCTTTCAAAAGAGAATCTATAAACTTGAGATTAGGCAACTTACCTCCTAAGATTCCTTATTATAAAGGGTGGTTTTTCTTGACAAATGTTCTAAAAAAGATGTAAAAACCCAGAATTGTTTATTTCAGAAAACAGCTTGTTGACTTGACCAATTCTGGCGTCCTTACAAAATTCCATGTTTCCTTCTCACGAGACCACAAAGAACGAGATGAACCCCGCTATGTTCAGGACAACATAAAACTGAATGGAGAGTCTGTTGCAGAGTGGATAACAGAGAATGATGCTGTGGTTTATGTGTGTGGAGATGCAAAGTGCATGGCAAAGAATGTCAATGAAGCACTTGCAGATGTACTTGTTGAGTGTAAAGGTAACTTTTTCATCCTTATACTCTGTAGATAAAATGAATGAATATGATATGAATGTGAATATATTCTGTTGGTCCAAAGAAGGTTATTCAACAATATTATTGGAAGATACATAGAGATTCTCCTATATGAGGTTCAGGATATTAGGATTATCCCAAGGCCAATATAATATATCTGCCCGAGGGCCTTAGGTCATAGTGGGTTTGAGGTAGATATCACCTGGGAGATATCATCTGAGGAGCGAGCTGGATATATTGATTGTATATATTGCATTTATATAAATCCATGCCATACCTTCCTTTCTACACTAATAGTCATACTGGTGCATAATTAAAACTGAGCTGACATATTATCAATAGAGAAGTTTCTTTATAGCTTTGAAATCTCGCAAATTCTTCTTTTTGTGAGATTATAAGAGATTTGCACGTGAAACCTCTAATGACCTACTTTTCCTTCTTTTTTAATAGCATATTTGAATTCAGTGGAAAGTTTTCTACAATAATAACTTATTTTATACAGTTATGTCATTTAAATCATTTTCCATGACTTTTTCAACTTTTCTAAAACAAATTTGGGCCAAATCTCAATTGATGCAATGCTAAAATTCTTTGAAACCTTGGTTTATTCATTCGACAACCATAATGTTCATGATTAATCACAAAATATGCCTTGACACAGAGATCACGATAGTTGAAAAAACTTGTTAGTCATTGTGGCTAATTCTTCCAAAAAATTTTTAGCCAACCAAAATATGAATTAGCCATTTTATAGAGTCCAACTTAATTTGGTCTGTGCCAATGACGAACGCATTTTTCGTACTTTAACAAGGTTTGACAGCTAGTAAAAAATAATTTCTCACTCCTGTGAAGCAGCCGTGGCCTCCCACGGGCCCATTCCTCACGGAATTTGCGTTTAAGATTGTTAGGCATTTTTATGGCATTTTTGAAGGACACAACTACCCCAGAGTGAATATACAGATACATGATGACGCACCACAATACTGATAGAGTTCTACTGTGAAATAGCATAGTGTGTAAAATTAATATATGTCGCGTCATGAGTGACCAGAAATCTACTTTTCCAAAAAAGTTTTCTTCTGAAAAGTCGTTCAAATTCAACATTTATGAAGTAATTTGGTGAGTAAACCGTAAAAAAGGGAATTCGCCATAACTGCCAAATACCTTTACATATTTTTCGCCACCTCTTTCGAAAAGAAATTGCTATTGGCGAATGGTGAACGTCTACCGTGATCTCTGCTTGACAGGGTCATCCAATAGTATGCATTGAAGTCTATATGGCAGTCTGCCCAAACCATAACAAATAAGAAACAAGGCTGATATCTATTATATAAGCTTTATTTAGCTATAACTCCCTTATTCACATTTTAGATTGTCCTTTATTAGTATGTTATGAAAGGGTGTTTTGCGTCATAATCGTATGTGCTAATTGCAAGGTTAACAACAATAAATGTACAAATTGTTGTTAATGGACTAGATGCGAGTAGAAATTATCTTGATTTACAGGTACGTCAATAAATATTCAAAATTCAGTCAAAGTGATGTCATATTTGAAATCTACATGTAAAAATACATCTAAAAATTTAATCTTTTTTGAAAATGTGACTTCTAGTTCGGGTTGATTCCCCATAGACCCCATTTACAAAATCACAAAAAAGTGAAATATCTTTTCTTGTATTGGACATATAACATTTTCTTTTACTGGACATACTTTAATTTGCATAACTATTCGATACATAAAGGGTATATGAAAATTGAACCACTAAAACTGTAGAAAGATGTACTTTAAGTTAAAGGGAACTTTCTACTATACCCGCTATGCTATCTGACCCGAGCAAGCCACCTGGTGGTGAAACTGGTAACTACCTACTCGCATTTGCGTTATTTAGCCTGTTTACGTAATGTTGGTACCCATTTTACTTATGAAAGGATGTTATCAGTTATTCACAAATGGCTAAGGCAAGGTGTGTCTGATTCCAGCCAATCAGAACACATTATTTCACATAACTCAATTTTGTTATATAATCAATAATGATCTCAAGGTCACTAGTTAAATGATTGTCAAAGTTCCATTGAAAATATGTTCTTTTAGTCATTTCGTACCTTTTAGATGATTTTGTAGAAAATATTTTGTATTTGTGTGAAAAGAATTTATTAAACCCAAGACTCAATGTACAGTATTGTGTAATGACCAGTCCATCGATGCTCCGCATCTCGTGCAAATTTTGGAAAGCAACACCTTCAAGGAATATTCATTCCACATTGCACTGAGTCTAGGGCTTGAAACCTTAAATAACAATATACTACTTATTGTAAAAAATGTAATCAAAATATTGAATAAAAAGTATAGTACCATGTACCCTGTGTAAGCAAAGAAGTGCATGGTGCTTAAACATTAAGTAATCATTCAGAGCTATACACTTTTATAAGATGTTTTGAATAAAAAAAGGAATAAAAAAATAATAATAATAATAATTTGTGAAAAATATTAGTAGGATGAATATTCTGACTAATAAACACCATTTTGTGATGAAGTCTTTGGTAAAGCAATGAACTTGAACTTTTAATAAGTTAAGGCTTGAGTTAAACCCTTATAGACTTTCACACTCACCAATATATCTCTAAGATTTTAATATAGCTATACAGAATATTGAAAATATAGTGGTTGATACAAGACAGCACTTTTTATATTAAGAGGGTATATGTACATACATATGGATTATATGGGATTGAAGTTCAAAAACCATTTCCAGAAAAGTTGACATTTTCCAGGGGTGTCTGACATAGTTAGCTTGTGTACATTAAATTTTTCTAACACAACTTTATTTTGATCAAAAAAAATTCCAGGAAGTATTTTTACATTTAAAAGGTGACGCATATCGTTTAGCAAATCGAACGCTCGTTTCTGGTGTTGCTCACCGTTTAGTATAAAAGGCCCGATCCAGAAATAATACTCAAGGGTTCACAGGTTCGAGGTCGTTGTGTCTAACTGTTATATAGCATAAGTATATTATAGATCGTCACACATTTATAAAAGGGTGATTTTTATTTTGACAAATCAATTCCACATTTATGGGTGAAGTTTCAGGATCTTCTATTTGTGTATAATAAGGAAAAATTGGCATCTAAATTTCCCCATAACGTAATAGCACACAGCTTGGCATATGAAATATCCTACAAATGAAACAAAGCAAGACAAACCGGTTTCTAATACAAGAATTTATATTGGCTGTTGTACATGTATTATTTGAACGCAATCACTCTTTGGATGACGTTTTCAAAATCATTATAAACGGATTACTTTATCTCAAAGACAATTTCAATGAACTGGATTTTACAGAACTCCCCTTATTTCTTAAAAATGGACTGATCCAGTTGATTCGCCTGGAGCCGCCATATTGTTTTTATACGGGATGCTTATCGGAACCCTTTAAGCTTTGCTATGATGTAAAGCCACCCACTTGTAAAGATGTTACATTAACCTGCTTTTAGTTTATGTACCTCAACCCTGTTCAAATATCAGACGAATACATTTATATTGCAAATATAGATCAATTAATAAAAGTACTGTATTTCAGGAATGTCAAAAGCAGAGGCAACTGCCTATCTGATGAAGATGCGATTACACAGGAGATATCTGGAGGATGTCTGGACTTAGTTTGAAGCGTGCATTATTAAAGTGTTCATACAGGAGATATCTGGAGGATGTCTGGACTTAGTTTGAAGCGTGCATGATTAAAGTGTTCATACATGAGATATCTGGAGGATGTCTGGACATAGTTTGAAGCGTGCATGATTAAAGTGTTTGTGCATGAGATACCTGGAGGATATCTCGACTTAGTTTGAACTGTAGAATGGATTATGTCTAGGTACAGAGGATACATGGAGGGTGTTTGGACATAGTTTGAACTGAACATTCTTAAAATGAAGGATTATCTATTATTAAAAGATATTACACATACAGCAGATTGATGTTTTAACCTCAAAAGAAACAAAAATAATGATATTCCTGATTTTTGAATGATTTATATATCATGTATATAAAAGACAGGGGTTGATGTTAGTTAGATACATGCACATACATGTACAAAAGGGAACATTTATTTATACAAAAATAGGGAACACTGTACATAAAAAACAAGGTGAAATAAACATCTCAAAGTTTACTGTCATTTCAGTTGGTTTCATCTTGAAGTGGAACACCTTTACTTAACTTAAGTTAAACAGAGTTCTGTAAGTAGAAAAGCTTCACTACACCTTTGGAATACTTCCCAAGTGGAACACTTCTCAAGTGAAACATTTCTCAAGTGGAACACTTCCCAAGTGGAACACTTCTCAAGTGGAACACTTCCCAAGTGGAACACTATCTTGATGTACCAAATGTGTAGCACTTTTACTGGTTTTATTGTACCACTAGAACAGTAGAAAATGGGAACATTATTGCAGAGAAAGTTTTCAACATAAAGTAGCTTATTTTAGTTAACTAATCATTTAGTATATGTTTACGTTTTATCCAACCAATTTGAGATTGTGACTTTGATTATTAAAAGCTGTTTTATTGTCATCTTGACTCTATTTCCTCATTACCAATACATGATTATCAACAATATGATGATTCTTAGATAAATATTAATGAATATGCATGATCATTTGTTATAAAGGGAATTGAGGTTTTACTTTTGATCAATGTAAATGATCATTCATAAATTCAGTGATAATTACAGCTGTACCTCATATTTATTAATTCAGATTGTATAACAAAAAGCATGCTGATAGAAAAATACATATCAATTAAACTACCGTGTATATGATTATTACAAAAACAAATATAAATATATACACTATATACAATTAATATAACCATAGAATCCTTGGAGACTAATATTCAACTATACTAGATCCCATATTGTGCCTAAAGTTCTTGAAATGTTCTATCCAGGGTCTATTAGTTCTTATTAGCTTTGAATCTGAGAGGCTAAGTCACAAGCTATGTAATTACTTGCATTGGATGCATCAGCCAAAATTTAACCAAGACTGCAGCAAGTATGATTTTACTTAGTACAATGCCACTTCAAGGGTGTTTCATTCTGCTGATCATTGAATCAAGCACATTATTGTACAAAGTTTGATAAACAACTATCCAATAAAAGGAGAGTAAAATATAGCATTATATAATTATGATACATCAAACTTCAACATTCAGTCAATCAATACAGTCCAACGCTCACCATAATCCAACCCATTATGCCCCTGTCATATATCCCAATCGAAATTGAAATTCACTTATTCAGCAATAAGACCATTCAAATTTAAATATATGTTCAATTCACCTCCCTCTGATAAAGACAATTTTTAAGAAAAAAGACAAAAATGTTAAACTTGAGGAATCTAAATGACAATTATATCTTCAAAATGTAAGGGAGTTCAGAGATTCAGTTTTGTTCTGATTAAAAAAATTACACTAACACACAAATTGTGTCTCATTTTATCAGTATGTCACCCTTTTGGGATCTGTTGATGTAGTTTTACTACTTGATAGTATGTATTGCATTTGGAAATACAATAAGTAAATCTCCCTGGGTAAATCTTTTGTTTTTGAAGTTTTACCTCATCAATTACATCTATATCACTGACACCGTTGTTAATGTTTTCAATGTATAAATTCCATGATAAAGTGATCAAGGCTAGATATGAAGGATTTTGTTTGTCCCAGTCCTCAAGATCTGTCTTTTGTTTCTAATGCAGATCAGAACAAACAGGTGGATGAGCTTTCACATCATTTGGTTGCAGCAACAGCAACACGAACATGAGTTTGGTTTGGCAGCTCGGGTATTTCCTGAAATATATAACAGCATAAATGTCTTATATTTCTTTAAAATGGACTGATCCACTTGACTTGCCTGAATCCGCCATATTGTTTTTATACGGGAAGCTTGTAACCCTTTAAATGTTTGGAAAGTCGAATTAACACAATCATTGTTATCATTGAAACATTTGGATCACCCCTGTATTTTTAACTAAAACAGTGAAAATTCTTTGTGAAATAGCTATGAAAAAATATGCAAAAGACCATTCATTAAGGTATTTCCCCATTTCTTCTTTTATCGTATCAATAAATAAATTGTATTCGCTTCGTTGATTTGAATATTTTTTAATACTGTATGCCTTGAATTAAACCCCAACTTACGCTTTTTGTCATCTGCATTATCTGTTTGTTCTGCAGCAGAATTGAGCCAATATATAGGGTAGCCCTCACAAGCTTTTCTTATGTGCTGGCTCAGAAATCTGCGATCACCGATTGTTTCATTGACTGATATGTATCTTTGTAGATCAGCATTTCTGTCTTGTGATATCAAACCCTCTGCATCCTATATTCAAGAACATATTAAAATATTTTAATTATGATACACCATAGAACAGGGTGTCCCAAAAATGCAACCAATCTTATATTTTATCTGGTTTTCTCGAAATTTTGGTCTTCCATTGAGATAAAATCGACTGATCTGTGCCAAATTCAGTTAGAATTAAAGAAAAGTCTAAATGTAAGTGATGTTAACTTAAACTTAAATGCCTCATTTTTGTTAAACCTGTTAAACTTAAGATCAGCGTTTTGTTGTTTAAATGTGAACAAATAATCAAATATAGGCCTACATGTAAAAAACTTACAGCGTGGTTTTCCATGTAGCTCACCAATGCCTTGGGTGTAATGACGCTTCTCTTGAGGGGGTAAATATAACACACATAGCTGTCATCATCAGCGACTTTTAGCATTGTTAATTCCTAAAATAATTTATATTGCCTTGTATACCCTTGGTATACGCAGCTAACGAAAATTGACCGGTACGGGTCAAAAGCTGGACCGGTACGGGTTAACGGTTTTATTTGAATTTAAAACAGCCATAACTTGCTCAATATTGACTTCCTCGTGTCTAATTTGAGATATATGATGCCTCCCGATGCTTTTAAGTACCCCAATTTTTTACAGATTTTTAAACGGACCAAAACTCTCTAAATGCGCATTTATGCTCTTTTCTCTTCGGAGCAATAGAACCGGTCCGTCTTCTCGCTGCAAGCAGGATGAAATTCTTTGTCACGAAGTTTGGCATTTTTTATAAAATCAAACGCGCGTCATTGAAACTCACAAGATGTAAATAGCATGTCGTTTACATCAGACCTTGATGGGGAAAAATAGATCTAATATGTTAGAAGTACTAAATAAAAGTTATCGTGAAAATGAGACAGTCGTTCTCGAGAGAAAAGAGCATAAATGCGCATTTAGAGAGTTTTGGTCCGTTTAAAAATCTGTAAAAAATTGGGGTACTTAAAAGCATCGGGAGGCATCATATATTTCAAATTAGACAAGAGGAAGTCAATATTGAGCAAGTTATGGCTGTTTTAAATTCAAATAAAACCGTTAACCCGTACCGGTCCAGCTTTTGACCCGTACCGGTCAATTTTCGTCAGCTGCGTATACCAAGGGTGTTGTAATGGGTTACATACAGTTAAAGAATGGCCGTACAGTTTAAGATAAAATTGCTATTAAATACTAAAATTACTTCAACCAACCCAGGTCTTCTACAACCTGTAATACACTAAGGTACCACACAATCCTGAACTTTGAAAATTAACATTAAGTTCATGAATAAGTGATAAGTAAACGTTAAGTAAATAAAATTGAGATTTTAACCAAAATAGGTCCATTGTCATCACATTTCTTGAATGAACAGTGCAAAGGTCTACTCGGTCCGACTCAGGACAGTATGGATGGACAGACGGACAATCGACAGACACATATGCATTTTTCATTTCCACCGAATTTCATTTAACAATTACTAGTACATATAGTTCCGATAACAGAAGGATATAAATATAAATCAAGAAACACTAATCTAGTATTACAATTATTGTCGTTGTTTTACCTTTCTGAAATCATTGGACGCAGAACAGCCCTCTTTTTCGTCTTCGATTTCTGTGATTTCATTTTCCGTGTCCACTTTTATAATAGCATTCGCTGTTAGCCTGTACTCCTTAGAAATAAATTAAAATAAATAAGTAATTATCCCCCGTCATTTTGCAGCTATTGGAAGGAATGGAAAATATTAATTAAATTGAAAAGACAACTTAATTTTGACGTTTTGGCGGCCTCAGGCTACGGACGTCATATGTTTCTTCACAGTTTCTGAAGATGCCATCTGTAGTCAATTTTATTTGATATATAGAAACCCTCCTTTTATTTCTCGAGTTAAACATGTAATTATTGTTTGTTAAAATTGTTATTTTAGGCATTTTCTCCAAATATACTCAGATTTATATTTTTCTATGCAGTACTTCGTTATTGTTTAAGGAAGAATAGACCGTGACAAAATTGCAAACAACCAATGAATTCCTTACAAGCTCAAATGTACTGAATATCTTCCAAAAAATCCACGATGTTACTAATTGTATCGGTGAAGCTATTTACGATTCAAAGTTCAAAAATGGGGAAAATGTTTAAATTCTCCCAAATAATGTGGTGACCACATTTATAGATAAGTTTTAACATGCAAAATGTCACCACGTGCGTTTTGTCAACCGCGGAACAACAACTACCGAACGCAGTCCACAGAAAAGTTAGAGACCATTACAATAAGTCACCACTTCTACCGTTACATAAAAAATGTGTTGTACAAATCTTCAGTTTTCCACAAATACATTATATATAATATATTTCAAGGAGGATATGTACCAAAAATATTTTATGATTGAAAATCTTGTTAACCTTGATCGGTGTAGACCCGATTCCACCTTTAAAAGCTCGTACTTGTTCTCAAGATGGGCACTCGATTTAATCAAAATTTTTGATTACACGCATCTAGGATGAAAAAGATGAGTTTCTGCATGCAGTTTTTTCTTTTCAAAAATGACTGTGTCGATGCATTTTATACGTAATTACCTTAATGGTGTCCTTGGCAAATTGATTGCTAAGTTTCAGTGCCCCTAGACCTGCTCCCAATGTAATTAGTAGAATCATCGCAGCCACAACTGCACCTATTACGTATTTCTTGTGGGGTTTGCTGGCTGGTTTCTGAGACTCCTTTATTTTGTTAAAATAAACGAAATTATCAATAAAAAAAGAGGATTGTCACTTTTTACATGACACATATCAAGAAGTATAACAGCACATGGGCGTAGCCAGGGGACAATTTAATATGAGTGAGCCCATCAACATACTTTTTCAAAGATGTTGACCTATATTTCAAAAAAGGCAACCCTTTATCATAATGTTTAATGCACAACTAAAATGTGCTTTGAGATATGTTTTATTCCTTAAAGGGAAGCGTGAATTGCTCCAGGGACTGAATATGGATGACCAAAATGAGCTGAAATCAATTGATAGCATTGCTTTTCTCTATTAGGGGAACACTAATCTCAATACCATAGGCCAAGGGAAAAGTAATAGTAAGCTGTATGTAGAAGAGACAGGTCCACAAGTAAGATTGAAAAATTTTCAAATTTTTTTAGTCTTGGCACTAGTTCTCCTTACTGGTATCAAATTGTATTCCCAAATCTCTCCAAAATCTTCTTCAAAGTGTTTTTCAAACTTATATCATTGTTTTTTTCAAATCTTTATCTAAAAACTGCATATAATACTGCATTTAAAACAACAACTATGGATACCTGCAATTGCCTGGCAAGCTGAAACTGATTGTCACTGGTGGAGGTCAGGGAGGTCAGCAGTGATCAATCAGATCACTTGTTTACTAATGAACTTGCCAAGCAATTGTAGGTTTTCAGAAATTCTCTCTTTTAGACAGCATTATTCACTCTATATCATCTGACTGAGTTTCAATCTTAGGTAAGAGCTACAAACTATCAATTTTCTATCAACTCCCCATGGCTTTTTGAAAATAATACACTAAATATTGTTGAAATCTCCATCTTAACAAGTGGTCTAAGTCAGAGTTGTTCACCTGTCTCTTCTATATACGGCTTACTATTACTTTACCCTTGGCCTATGCTCAATACAAATCAGAACTAATTATACATTAAAATAAAGAATAGTAACACACACGGGGTAATGCATTATACATTGTAAAAAAGGATTGCCTTTTTGGTGAAAATGAGGTCAATGTTATTGAAAATGTATGTTGATGGGTTGATTGCATCCTCAATATCACTGAGTCCAATAGACTTAATTATCATTGAACTTCCTCTTCTCTGGGATTATGAATGGGTCTAAAACATATGCCTGTCTTCATGCTCAGAAAATAGTCATAATCCGAGATCTACCGTCTGAAATTGTTTTCGATAATCTACGTGGCCCTTTGTAGTATGTAAAATCATTACAAATGCCTTATAATGCTCAGAATACAACATATATAATGTAAATTTAACACCCGTGCCCCACTTTTTGGGGCTCACATTCGCTCCCACCGCACCGATGCAAACACAAAAATTCACACCCTCCTTGACATTTGCTGGCTACGCCCTTGCGGCATCATTTTACATTACCGTTTTTACTAAATATTTTACATTGAAATGCACAAATCAAATTACCTGCTCAGACTGTGAAATATTGTAAATGCTTGGCAATGCTTTCTTTTCCGAATCCATCCTGACTTTTTATTTCTTTATACGTTTCAAAGTTTCTCGATGGTTCGAAAGTCTCTTGTTTTGCAGGTTTATCTCATGATATTTCCGTGAGCTTGACTTATATAGACCTGTAGAAAGTTGTTTTGTATGATCTAATCCGAGGGAAGTTGAATTTAGATTATTTTTAGGCTTTATTTCAAAAATATTGACACGGGTATCAGACACAAATACAGACACACTATGTAAATAGATGATTTAAATTTTTCTGAAAGATATTGACTCTCGGTTCAATGGTTGTTGATGAGATTCACATATATTAAGGCTTTAAAATAAGGACCTATAATACTTAAAAACTTGCTGATCGTGATTCTCACAACAAATCTAAAAAAATTGTTATCATGTTTATCTTACAATTCAAAATATTTGAGTTTGAAATTCGTTAGGTCACCTCGTTCTCGATGTTTGTTTGAACTCTATTATAATACCAGGTCGTTCAATAAGTTCACAGAAAAGTGCTCTCATTTCCACGATTTTTGATATTTTCTTATCTTCACATAATGTATTAAAAAGATTTTCTCATTGGTTCATGAAATATCAGCATCTCTAATTTGTTTGGTCAAAATAATGGTTACTATGGAAACTTGACTTTGGGGTAAGTGGGGCAATTTTACATCACACAATTTACCATTACAGAAATGTACCAAAATGTACAAATGAAGGATCCCTATTTTATTTGTTCTTATTTAAATTACAAATTTCCTTTGGGAGAATTTATGTTCATAGTTTTTAAAGACATTTCTGGGACCCTAGCTGCTCGTCAACAATGCTGTACCAGTTGGCCAGAAAATCAACAAGAAGTTATGCTATGGTAACTTGATTAAAACTTAACCATTCAGCCAAATAGGTTTTCCATCAGGATAATGCACCCTGCATGCCCTGTCACGCTGTTAACACTGTGCAGGAAACCATCACAAATAACTGGCAAAATAGATGACAAAGCTGCCCCAAGTTCCATACTCTCAAGATGAGACAATCCTTGATTTTGTTCAACATTAAGAAGGATCAACCGAGACGTGCAACAACTTTCGACTGCAGTCCAGATGGCCCTTCAAACAAGATTTCCAGATGGCTTCAAAGCACTATATCGTCAACGGGTTGAATGCAAACGACTGTGCATTAAACGTGAGGGAGAATTTTGAACACCTTGTGACCATTATTATATTTAGAGGTGTCACGGATACCCGATTTTGTTCCAATCCGCGGAATTATGCCCTCGGAACGAAATACGGAACAAAAATTAAGAATTTTGGTTCGGATCCGGAACAAGAACATTTTACCCTTTCACAACTTCTGGCCCTTGAATCTCCACAAAACAGCATTTTTCTTTCAATATTTTGTATCAAAAGAGATTCATTCTTTTTACTCCTTCTCTTTGAAGAGTTTTGAAGAGCTTTTCGCTACCAAATAGACCTAGATGATCAGATTATTTTAATCTAATACACGCAGTCACTATGTTCCGAACCGTTCCGAAATTGTTCCGTTCCGAAGCAAAATGTTCCGAACTGAACTGTTCCGATTTTTTTTTGTTCCGTGACATCTCTAATTATATTAAGTTATATCATGTACAGGTAGAAAGCAGAGAAGAGGAAATGCATGTGATACACTCATAAATTGCCTACTATTCTGTTGTTTTTCTAATGTATCACAAATCTTTAAAATGGGAGCATTTTCAGTGAACTTATTGAACGACCTGGTATATGCTATTTAAAGCTGTACAAGTACAATAATATTTGTTCTGTTTTCGAATTTGAAAAAGTTTCTTTTTAAAAATTGTCTTTGCTTTTTTTAGATATAGCTATCATATCATTATATCAGAGCATATTTCTCGTGCATCAGAGTTATAAAATCGAACTGCCACAGACCTCATTCATCCAATCAACCCCACATAGAATCACCCCATGTCTGCAGAACAATTTTTTTGTAAAACAAAATACAGATTTCATATTCTGTCATGTAATTTATTTTATTTTACACTGAAATTAGGACACACACTCAGGCTATGAAATATGGATATTTCACAATTCTTTGTAATAACCAACTCTGATTATCAATATATAGTTCACTGTCTCATCTCTGTACAATCTGCAGTGATAAGACCTTTGTATCAATAGTCTAGTCTGATTAGTCAACAATATCAAAATTGTCCAAAGCAGGCGTGACGTGCAGTAGAGTGAACAAGCACTTCTATGTGACAGTCATCACGACCATTCCTTTTATCTGAGGAAATGGCAAAGTAGACAGCTTGGCGGTGGTGGTGGTGGTGGTGGTGGATTCCAGACGCAAATGTTGCATATATAACAGCACATATTAATAATAATTATATGTCGCTTGTCTCTTGTAACCACACCGCGAGTGCTACCTAAAAAGATACAATAATAAGTTCGTTTTGAACCACCAGGAACCACCAATTAATGTCAGATAACCCATTTAAACTTATTTATTTTACCAATGAATGAAGTTAAGTTTGGGTGTTATTTCTAGATGTCTATAACATCTCTTTAATATGTACAGTAGCCAATAAAGTAGCCTCTCCTCTAAAAATGGCAAGATTTTTTGCAAAAGGGGTTTTCATTTTAAAGGGTAACGCAGAGGGCGAGAAACCCTAGAGCTTAAGAGATGACAGTTATTTAGCAAATCCTTAATCCAACGCTCGTTTTAATTTGGTGTTGCTCACTGTTTAGTTTAACAGGCACAATCCTTGAATAATAATCAAGGTGCATAGGTTGTTGTCGATGTGTAAAAATCTTTGCCTGTTAATGCAGCAAAAGTGTAGTATCACAGGCTGGTTTCGAAAAATTTGTCCGATGTGACAGAGCGTGCTATTTTGCATAGAAACACTAAGAAACCCACACAATTTATTTTTCACTCATATGTTTCGCTACACCATGCAATGGATATATCATTTGTGGGTAACTTTAACTTCTATACTTACGAAATGCATCGTCATCACCATCATTTTGTCTCTCCTCTGTTTGTTCTGGAGCAGGAATAAGCCAATATATGGGGAATTCCTCACAAGCTTCTCGTAAATATTGACCTAGAAACCTGCGACCACTGATTGGTTCTTTGGCTGGCATGTATTTTGGTAGATCACCATCTCTGTCATGCGATGTAAAATTCTCTCCACCCTGTTGGAACAATTAGTGAATTACAAAATAATTAATGAAATACCTGGATAAACAATGGATGTGTGAAAGAATCATTATAATTTCTCCATTCATTTGAATTAACACTTCAATTTAGTCTAACTACAAGCCCTTCTGACCCCCCCCCCCCACGGCAACTGTGTGAGAAGGTGTGTAGTCAAGTAGAGGGGGGGGGGCACAGAGGCTTGAAGCTAAACTAACCTTTCTAAACTGACGTAGTTGAAACTTACAGGATGGTGTTCTAGATAGCTGTCCATTGCTTCAGGGGTAAGGGCATCTCTACTGAGGGGGTTCAGGTAGCACTTATAGCTATCACCATCAACAACTTTCATCATAGTCAGACCCTAAAATCAAACTTGAAATATACTTGTGCACAATATCAATATGATTGAATGGGACTCCAAAATTGATGCTCACATAAGGTTTGTTATATAATTGTACAAGTTTTACTCGAGTCTCTAGCTAAGTTACGGAATATAAAGAAGGCTCTGGACCTAAGTAATGCAAGTGTATCACTTTTTAATTTTGTTCAACATAAACAACAAATGGTATTAATGGAACAGAATTAATCCTTTTTGCAGCTGTTTCAAATCTCACTTTACCTTTGTGAAATCATTGTACGCAGAATAGCCTTCTTCTGGATCATCAATTTCTGTCATTTCGTTATCTTTGTCCAACTTCACAACAGCATTTGATGCAAGCCTGTACTCCTGATGAATCAAATAATTCACAATCTTATTTTCCTCATCAAATAGCCTACATGTATACAATAGTAACCATTTTTATTTTTATCGAAGTATTTGTTACGCGGTATATGGCATACATTCATGGTTGCGCGGTATTTGTGATACGGGTGAATATGCCATACTCACCTGCGGTATATGGCATATTCCGCAGGTGAGTATGCGATATTCCGCAGTGAATATGCGATACATTGATTTCAGTGAATACCCGATACTCACCTGCGGAATATGTCATACTCACTTGCGGAATATGCCATATACCGCAGGTGAATATGACATATACCGCAGGTGAAAACGTGATACAGAAAGCCTCGATTTGATTGGTTGCGAGAATCGACTCTAAATGTAAAACTACGCTGGATTACCACTATAGTAAGTGCGTCGAGTACTAATATATGGATCCTGGATTGATTGATTGAGTAAGTTTATTACACGACTGATACTTCTGCTAAGTTAATATATTCGATAATGTTTGATTCAGTAATCATTGTAACAATTTATAACGTTTTGTACTTGTTCCTTCAATCGATGCAATTGACAATTGCGTACTTCCGTATCACGTTCTCATTCAGTGGTTAGTGTGTATGCCATATACCGCAGGTGAATCTGTCATACACCGCAAGTGAATATGCCATATTCGTTGCGGAATATGACATATTTTTGTATCGTGTTTACCGCGTAACAGTATTACAACATTTCCGGACAGATGAACATTCATTCTCATATTTTTATTTTTGTGTACATTTTTTGAACAATGCATTCTTTAATTGCTCTGTAGCGACATGCCAACAAATATTTTCTTACAGTTGCAGCATTTTAGAGAACCAATATATATCCCAGTGATTTAAGTAAAGTATCAACAATAAAATAATGTAAAAAATTGCGTACTTCCGTATCACGTTCTCATTCAGTGGTTAGTGTGTATGCCATATACCGCAGGTGAATCTGTCATACACCGCAAGTGAATATGCCATATTCGTTGCGGAATATGACATATTTTTGTATCGTGTTTACCGCGTAACAGTATTACAACATTTCCGGACAGATGAACATTCATTCTCATATTTTTATTTTTGTGTACATTTTTTGAACAATGCATTCTTTATTTGCTCTGTAGCGACATGCCAACAAATATTTTCTTACAGTTGCAGCATTTTAGAGAACCAATATATATCCCAGTGATTTAAGTAAAGTATCAACAATAAAATAATGTAAAAATACCTTGATAGTGTCCCTGGCAAATTGATTGCTGAGTTTCAGAGCTCCTAGAACTGCTCCCACTGTAATGAGTAGAATCATCACAGCCACAACTGCGCCTATTATGTACTTCTTGTTGGATTTGCCATCTGGTTTCTTGGTCTCCTTAATTATGTTAAAATACACTAAGTTACTATCTCTAAATCACGTTTGCTTATACTTTATTCACGATTATCACCTTAAGCATTGATAATACACATGTCAAGAAGAAGACAGCATTGCGCGTATCAATTTACATTAGTTTTTCAAAAACTATCTGAACAAACGTGGAACATTTTATTGAAATAAGTATTGTTAAAGTGTTCTCCTTTGAAATATCAAATTTTTTACCTGAATAACAATTGGCTCGGGTGAAATATTGTAAATGCTTGGCAATGCTTTCTTTTCCGAATCCATCTTGTATTTTTTCTTTTAAGTTTCAAAGTTTCTTGATGGCTGGTTCTGGAGTCTCTTGTTATGTGCAGAAGTCTGATCTGATAATACCTTTTTGGAGGTGACTTATATAGGTTTGAAAAAGTTGTTTTCGTAATCTAATTCACTGCATCTATTGTATAATACAAATTATTTTTAGATTTTGTTGCAAAATATTGATTCAGGTTATGGGATATATAATGGAAATTAAATAAAAAAAATTGTAACTTTGTAAATTGTAACTTGTAAAGTTTACCTCAACCTAAATATCTGATTGACTTTATATACGGAAGTAGTGTAACAAAAATATTTCTCGAATTCAAAATAAATTGTGATTCTGTCAACGTTTGTCTAAATAGCTTATCTAAAAAACGTTTGTTATGTCTTAATAGCTAATCTAAAAATATAATTTGTTTTGAATTATTTCTAGATTTCACTGAAAAATATTGACTCAGTCCCAGGTAAAAATAAATCATGCCAAAATGTTAGCAAATATGATATCGCTTGATTTGATGTTTCTTTTGTTAAAAATGAACAAAAGAATTTACCCAATGTTTACCAAATTTCCTGTTATCAAACCTCACACTACCAAAATATTTGTGAGATTTGTCAATAAAACCCAATTCTGATGTTTTGATGAAGTTTCACGGTCACCTTGTTCTTGTCATTTTTGGAATTAGAAGTTCAAGAACGAAAGGTGTCAAACAGTCTATAGAATCCACAATAACAATCTGCCATTGAAAACGACATAATCTAAAAACAAGTTAGAAAGTGCAATAACCCGAAATGATTATTTCCATTGCTAATATTGCATGTCTAAGGTGTTGATGGCAAGAATGGTTTCGTATTTTTCTTCAATTTCATAAGAAAAACATACGCTTCCATGTCAAAGCAAGGGGTGTAAGGAAAGACAGTTGCAAAACAGAACCTCCTAGAGGTCAGAATATTCTTTGCTGTTTTTCTTGCATCATACCCCATTGAATGATGTATACAGGCACAAAAGCATAGTCCCCTGACCCTTTGATTTAATGTTAATTGAACTCAATGTTAGTGGAACACTTTAAGCAGAAACAATGTGTTGAAATTACACGTTTTAGTCCAAGGGTAATTAACAAGTGAGTGATTACAATAGCTCACCAATGTGAACTAAAAATTAGGAAATAAACAGAATTATCAGTACAATAACTTTCTTTTTTCATAAAACATAAATATAAATATAGATTTCATTATGTCTCTATTCTATCAGTTGATACTATTTTGTTTACACTGAAACTAGGACACATACAATCAATGACTAAGAAATATGGATTTTACACTGCTACTCCTATGATCAAAACCTTTAATGTTTATCAAAATATGATAATTCACTGTTTCATCAATAAACAACCAGCATTGATGGAACCTCTGTCTTAATGGTCTATTCTGCTTTGTCAACCAGAGTTACACAAAGTGCCCAGTCACAGGATGGAATATTTTAATGGTGTATCTAGCTTGTTGTTATGACTTGATTCCCTTTATCTTCTTTAGAATATTACTCTGCTCTAAGGCTGCTCTTCTCTTTTTCTGAAAATGAAAGACAAAGTCAAGCAATTACTCAAAAGATGACTTGGGGAGGTACTGAAACAGTGATTTCCCCAGGATTTTTTGTCAGGTGAGTGCAAAATTCTCATTTCACAAATCAGAGCAAAAGTGGTCAAAAATGCAAATTTTTCATGATTTTTCTAGTTTTCAATGGGGTGCAAATGGGTTTTCAGGTGGGTGCAAGCCTATTTTCAAAACCTCAAATGGGTGCTGCATCCACTCGTTTTAATGGTGGAAAGATCACTGTGAAATTTTGAAATTTCACAAATCAGAGCAAAAGTAGTCAAAAATGCCAATTTTTCATGATTTTTCTCGTTTTCAATGGGGTGCAAATGGGTTTTCAGGTGGGTGCAAGCCTATTTTCAAAACCTCAAGTGGGAACTGCATCCACTTGTTTTAATGGTGGAAAGATCACTGTGAAATAAAATTAAATAATGAGTGTGAAAATTGTTACAGACACCAAACATTGACTCTGAATGCCTATCCCAAAAAATGGTGGCTATAATAATATGTCAAAGTTCTTGGTACAATAAAAATGCAATGCCTACATTTGGTGTGGTTGGGGTGCTGACAACATCAATTGTCTCTGAGAATTTCTTCTCAGTTTTTATAGGAACATCTTCACCCTGGCTCTCCTGTTTCTCAGGTGTGGTTGTTATACTCGACGCCCCTATGGTTGACGGAATCAGGATACTGCCCAAATTTAGAGATTCCAACTGAAAATACATTCAAGGATAAACCGTTTAAACACAAAGCATTTTTACAATGGATATAATGTGGACAGTGTTCAGTCATAGTACATTTACATGTTTTTAGGTTTTTCATGTGACCTCTACCCAATGTTCTTTGACTTTTATAAATATGGTCACATGGTCACCCTGGCCCTGTATATGGAGATTTTTAAATGAAAACGATATACATTTAAGCTATTTCATGTATTGCTTCAGCATGCTTTAACACAATTTTATAGCTTTAGAACATAAGACAAGGCGACTTCTTGTGGAGAAACACACATGTTGCTATGAGTAATTATAACTGTTTATAACTGTCTTAGACTTTACAATTGTTTGTTTTGTTTGTTTTATTTGACATTGCTTACCTTTCCTGCAGCTAATCTTAAACTGGTGTCTCAGACTTTTTATTGCTTACCTTTCCTGGAGCTAATGTCTCAAACTGGTGTCTCAGAGTTTGCAACTCATATTCACAGTTAGCTAGGGCCAGTTTCAGCTCATAGAGAAGCACAATGTCCTGCCTCAGTTCATTGAAGCTTGTCACTATCTCCTCAGTTGGGATAGGATTAAATTCTGTAATAATTAAAATGTGTTCATTATAGAGGATTTTAGCAGTGTATGAAAGATTCAGTGGGAGATATTGTGATAATATCCAGAATATTATATTCTATTATATTCTAAACAAACAGACTACAAATCAAATGACAAACCTTGGTTTGAATTGTCGTTTTTCCCAAGCAGATGGCTTTCCTGCTCTCATGAACATTTTATCAATATTTGATTTTAAATAGCAATCACGCAAACTGTTTTTAAATCAATACAGATAAAACCATGGTCCAGAACACGGCCAACTTAACTCCTTTGGTCAATAAGCTGAATAAAATAGCCTATCAGTACAGGCAGTAATGTGACAATTTTCTGGAGAATAATACCTAATTGACAAAATTGATTTTATCAAACTATCTAAGAGTCAATTTCATACATTTTATTTGTGATACTTTGTTAGTACATACCTAAACCTATTTCCTCAAGCACCTGTTCAATGGCTTTAGTTTTCTTCTGGCCAACTGACCCTGGAAGTTTCATCTGAAAACATAATGTGGAATTCTATAAATAACAGGCGAGTGACGACAAAGGAATGAAACAGCCTACCAAACCTCAGTTCATTTTGGAACTTACTTCAATGTTGACTAACTAAAGAAACATCAATTATATAAACCATATTTCAAAAAGTTCAAATAAGTCTGGTGCTTCAATGTCAATGTTGCAGTAACCAGGAGGTTGTGAGTTTGAGACTTGTGAGTTCTTTGCATTTATTCAACAATGACACACTTAAAAAATAAGTGCCTCTAAGGGAGTCCATTTAACAGTCAAAGATTAGAGTTAGAACCTCACAATTCAATGTTTTATTTATATATATTTTTATTAAAAATTTTACCCCATATTATTGATTTAGACTTGATCAATTTAATGAACACTTAGAGTGTTAATATAATTCTATTATCATTAATTCACAATTTGTATGTATTTTTGCCTGATTTTTTACAATGACATCAAATAAGTAATAATCGTGAATCATACATCTTTAATATATTGATCAATGCAGTACTTACCCTCTGGCTTCTAAGTGTGACCCCAGAAGTTTTAAAATCAGGGAATTTTATTCCAGTTGTATCAGGATTTATCTGAAATAAGAAGACAATTAAAAAAATTGCTGGGGTTTTTATATCTTCGGTATATATTAATTACCACACTTAAATTAATGTGATACTGGGGCCAGTTTTTGGACTGTCGTAACTTACTATTTGGTCACAAGTCATTGTTCTTCAAAAAGGAGTCAATGGTTTTCTTAGAATCGTAAGTTACAATCGTACCAAAAATGAACACTTGGGTAACTGACTATACATCCTTTGAAATTGTTTGAAACTGAGAGCAACATATGCTCTCCATTTTGTATATATACTGATATATCTATGAAACTACAAATACTTAATATATAATAACAAATAGTCTTTGTCTGGATTAAAATTATAAATACATATATAAATAAATATCTGAAAATATCAACATACATTTCCTATAAGATTCTTAGTCTGGGGAAGAATTTTCTTCTTCGTAGTTTTCCTTTCAATTCTACGAGACTCTGCGTTTGTATCTGCTGCTGTAATGAGTTTCTGTAAATCTTGTGTTTTCTTTTCTCGCTCTTTTTTCCTTAGTTCTATTTTCTTCAGTTCTGCAACCAACATCTGTTCTTCCTCCACCTTTAAAACAAGTTATGTTCATATATTCTGGCATTCTGGTTGGTCAAGACATGGAAGACTTTCACACAGATATTCTGATAATTTCGTATTTTTATATTATCATGTTCTTATTAACTAACATTCATTCACTGTACCTGTTCTGTTGTTCTTATAAATAATTTGTTGAGTTGATCTTTTCTACGTCTCTCATGGTCCCCATCATAAACTCTAACTTTTGGGTCTGTTCCAACAGGAGCTCGAGCCTGTAATACAAAGCAAATCTTCAATGGTAAATCTATGTAAAAATGAAAGACAGAAAAGAGAGCTTACATACACAAAAAACTGAATCCTTGATGTACTACACTTAAAAACTGTAACATTTTTATATATGGATCACTCATTTATCTGACAATTTATTAACATACATGTATACATGTACAAACATAACACAAACCTTTACAAGAGTGTTCTGTATATGATAATATCTTTCTTTCAGGTCTTCAACACTTCTGTTTGGGAACTTGTCTTTGTTCCAGCGATCATACATCACAATAAATCTCAGATCAAACCTAAAACATTTTAACAAGTAAAAGGATTTTATTGAGCTACCATTTAGCCATATCAAACTACATTTACAGAAATTACAATTTAGCCATATCAAACTTAAGAAGTTACTGTGAAGCCATTTCAAACTTAAGTTTACCCATATTAAATATAGAGTAGTTACAGTTAAGCCATTTCAAACAAAAGTACAAGTTACCATTTAGCCATTTCAAACAAAAGTACAAGTTACCGTTTAGCCATTTCAAAGAGGTGGTCTGTCTCAGCTCTGGACCAGCTGTCATCATGGAGATGTTGTTGATATTCTGCATCTGAATAGGTTGGCACATCAACACTCTGAAAATATATTGTGCACTTTCTTTGTTAGCCTACTGTTTATTACAACAAACTCTATGCATGTAAATTTGTAATGTAAATCCTGCCTTAAATCTTCCAATAAAATTGGGTTGAACCGAGTACATCATCCTTCTGTTACCATAGCAACCATTATTCAGTAATCAATGATAGTTGAGATACAATGTTTAGGCAATATTTGCACAAATGTATGTTCTATAAATGTACCAAATATCAAGAAATAATTCCTCAAAATGACAAAGTTAGAGATAAATAAACAGAACTTTTTGACTGACCTAAGTACATGTACAATATACTGCACAGGACACAATGATCTCCCCAGCATTAAAGCAAGTGGGCGCATCACCCACCTGGGATTTTGAAAATAGGCTTGCAACCACTTCAAAATGAGAAATATCATGAAAAATTGGCATAATTTTATTAATTTTGGTCTGAATTGTGAAAATGAGAATTATGTTCATAGTATCCGTATCCGTATTTGAGAAAAAATTCTGTGGAGATAAGTGGGACAATTATTTTATTTTTTTTTCTGTTCCATGTGCATGTTCTCAGTAGTTTACCGAGAGTATCTCGTGCTAATCATGTGACATCACAATTTTTGGTATTTGAGAATGTCAATTTGTCAGCAGTTATTATCAGATATGGATACTATGAACAGTTATATTCGCCCAAAATAAAATGTGTTAAGTTCAAAAAATCTTTATGTATGCAACCCGACCTAAGTTGTAACTCGAATAGATATTTCACAGAACCGGAACAATGCATTTTTGACTCATCTCATCCATAGTGTACATAGAATGAAAGTGAAACACTGAAGTTAATAAAAAATACATGGATGTACTGTACAATACAAGTATAATTTACCTTATTAAATCTTGCGAATGGATAATCTTTGCCTTCATCTGCTATTCTCCTCCAGTGGTGAAATATGGCACCATCCTATAATGTAAATATAAAATTGAATCACCAGCTATAGGTTCATTAGAGAGACAACATAATGACCTATTTCAGCATGAAGTTGGACGCAATCTATCCATAAAATATTCGTGTTAATTTGCTATATAACTCATTTTACTCTTATCTACCTACCTTACTTTTAAAAAACTTATATTCATGAGCCCATCTTAAAACACATATATTGCATCAGTTGACTTAGGTTGCCATGTTAAATAATATATTTCTAAGTTGAAGAATCCATTAATCACAAATTGACCCAATAATGAGATATGGAATATAACTGAACAAATCATTGACATAGTTAGTTGATAACTAACACTGCAGTTACATGACATTGTTGGCCAACGATTGTGCATGTTACACAACTAATATATCATTGACTCATACAGCAAAGTGTTAATCTGTCATCCGTTTTGGATGATTCAATTCGTTACATATTTCCACCTGCTGTTTCCATCTATGCCTAATAACATTGAAACATGATTGCAGACTGACCTTTCTCGATGGTACTGTGAAGGACATCCACTTCCAAGGTCTAACCCTGCTTCTGCCAATCTTTGCCTTCATCTGTTTATAGCCCTGATTAGTGTCTGTTGGTATGATAGGTGGCGCATCTCTACAACATATTGCAAACAAATTAAATAGCCTCAAATATCCAGTACATGTAAGTAGGCAAATCTGAGATCACATTCATCCATAGTTTTTCATTTGGCTTAAAGGGGCAACAGGGACTGCAGAGAGAAAATTCGAATTTTTTTATTTTTTCTGAGCTATCGGGTCAAGATTTGGCTTAACATCTTCTTAGACATACCTATTTTCTTAAAATGTATGGATAAACTCTCAATTTCAGCATTAAGAAGAGTAAATTCAGTTCAAAGATTCTATAAAGGGAGTCCCACTTATAGATTTTTAAGATCCAGCATGTTTCAATATCCAAACTTAAATATATTTTGACACTGGTCGATGATCGTTGAATGGCTCCCCTGCACTAATTGTTGCACCTTTAAATGAATATCAAATAAATCATGAAGCAGTGGTCTCCCCAGCGTTAAAGCAAGTGGGCGCAGCACCCACCTGAGATTTTGGAAGCAGCTTTGAACACACCTGAAAATCCATTTGAACCCACTTGAAAATTAGAAAAATCATGAAAAATAGGCATATTTTGACCAATTTTGGGCTCAATTGTGAAACTGAAAATTTTGCACCTACTTGAGAAAAAATCATGGGTAGATCACTGTGAAGTATTGTACACTTATCTCAAAATTAAAGAACTGTGCCATTCTTTGTGATTGGACTAATAAATTTCTTACTTGTTATCTGTCCATATAAGTCCCCACAGTTCTCTGTGCATCCCCTCAGGTCTCTTGAACTGTATTCCATCAGCCTTCTTCAGTGGTTTCTTCTGGAAACACCATATACAAAGCATAAATATATTGAAGTTGAATGTACATGCTTGAAATATTATTTCCTAACTTCAATTAAAAGAACACAAGATGTTAAACTTTGAAAGTAATCTCTCCAATTTCATTTAAATTGACTTTTTGTTTTTTCAAAATGCTTAAAAAATAAGCATTATTGTACTACTTTATGAATGAAACAATCGTCAAGGTTTTCAATGAATATGAATAACTATCAGAGCCGTAGCCAGCTTTCAGTCTGATCGCATTTTTGTGCGATCACTAAATTTTTTTTTGTGTTTTCAGTCAGGTGGTGTGTGCGATTGTGGCATAAACAAGCAAAAAATAAGAATTATTTTGAATTTTACATCGCACCCCCCCCCCTGGCTACACATATGACTATTTGGGTGAAGAAGTGTCAATAGGATAAAAGTAAATACAATCTTACTGATCTAAGTAAGTTTTCTTTTGTCATGGGAGTTGGTTCATTATTGATATCTAAGATATCCCTGATGTCACTTCCTCCTCCAGCCTCCATGGTTCAGCTGAAAAATAGATTAATATCATGATTACAAAGTTTGAATTCAAACAGCCGCCATTTTGCTCACTCCAGAATTTGAATCGGAAGTGTTGGCCTTATTTCCAAATAAAGAAAATTCTAAAACACACAACAAGTGATCGAGAATAAAAATGACATTTTTACACATTACAAGAGGCAATCTGCGCGAGATTCCATTTTTTGGTTCAGTTTTTAGCGCATGCGCATTAAATCCAGCAATTTAATTGGTTCAAATTATTATTACAATTTAAACCGAACCGATGGCAGAAAAGCACTTTGAATCATGGGAATGAAGTACTTCCTTTAATGAAAAACAGAACCAATTAAAAACCGAATCTCGCGCAGATTGCCCCGACTACATTTTTATTGTTGGAAAAACACAGATATTGGCCAGATCGTTTTGTAATATGATCTCATAGGCTCAAAGAATAATACAGAAGATGCGTCACTAAATTGGAAAATTTCAAAAAAATGTCACTGTTTTGGCCTCTTATCGATGCAGTATTGCTTGAATAACGGTCATTGGTGATAAAAAAAGTTAAAGAATAACAAGACGCTTCTAATGAGGTATGATTTGTCTCATATTTTTCAGAAATGGCTCCACAATCGTAATTTTAAAAATTTGAAATTTTCTGAGGTGTCTCATCTTGAGGAATATTTATTGAGCTACTGATCCTACTACAAAATAATCTGGCCGGGATCTATGTTGGAAAATATCAAGTTGCGTCCCTGGGAGCCAATCCTCCTTGTCAAGGAGGATTGGCTCCCAGAATGCAACACCGATATTCTGCAAAACAATCACCTAGCGATAGCTTTGTTGGAGAGTATCGGGTCATTCTCCATGCAGTCGTACAAATTATACAGACACGAATAGCAAATGACGCATGCGTGGAGATTAAAGAATATCGAGTTGGAACCCTGGCTTCCAATCCTCCTTGCCTCCTTGATCAAAAAAATGAAAAGGTGTCACTACGGTAAATCATTGAAAAATATTGAAAAAATTCACAAAATTCAAGTTCTGGGGTACATGTCGCTATTTTCGAACGAACTAGCCCATACAATGACTATATTTCTGCGTTCCCCTATACATAACCTTCATATTGACACTATATTTAACATAGGGTTTGCGTCTCGATTTTTAAATATCACTACGCCAACATAGGGACTCATTTTTAGGTAAAATCCCTGCTTCACCGATGAAAATTAACGAATAAAGTAGTTCCAGTTTACGGGACTATATTCTTGCGATTTTTTTCTTAAAATGGCACATTTAGAAAGTACTTGGCCTCAGCTTTACATACATACCTCAAATGGCCACATTGCATACACTTAAACCTACTATACACACCATTGAAGTTGGCATGGCTTCGTTTTTAAAGTATTAAAAAACACTGTCCTACCCGGAAGTGCTATTTACAGGAGTGACACCTTAATACCCAAAACGGGAAAATTTGACCATGATATTTTTTGCTCATTTAGCATTTTTTCAAACAATTGAGTTATTTCATGCTCGAAACAGCTGCATTTCCAAACTTTTAACACGTTTTCTACAAAATCTAGCCATATTTGGGGAAATAGGTGAGGGCTGAGTCTCTAAAAACTGGCCAAAATGACCTAAAATTGGGTCATCAACTTCAGAGATCTCATGCAAAAATTTTAGACGCAAAATCTCCGAGATTATTTCATTTTGTCAATCACTATAGCAATGCCTTTCAAGTATTACACAGAATGAACTGAAATGTAAGTTGCCAAATGCAAATATTTTGAGTCAAATGTGGTCCCCATGTGCAAAATTTGCCCATTTACTCCTAGTTACGCCAGTTAGGCCGCAGTGTATTGTGACATCATACTCATACCATTGCTACAATGTAGCAATTTACAAATTAATCTTGATTACTCTTCCTGTGATACACCTGGCGTGTTTATTAAGCCTGTAAAAATGATAATTTGCAACATTGTAGCAATTTAAATGAGGTATGGAACCTTAAAATCATGCAATTTATGGAGAAATGACCAGCAATTTTGACGGAATTCCAGTTGATTTGTTCCCATTTATGATCCCTTTGGGCCCCGTTTGGGCCCCCGTTTGGCCATTCTGATAGGCACAGGATGTTTAAATGTGAATTAAAAGCATTTTGTGGCCTAGCCTGAATGTAAATATCGACTCTATTGTGAAATTCTACAAATTCTACAACATCCATGGTCTCTGCGCAAATGGCAGCCAATCTAAGGCGGGGATATTAAGGTGTCACTACGGTAAATCATTGAAAAATATTGAAAAAATTCACAAAATTCAAGTTCTGGGGTACATGTCGCTATTTTCGAACGAACTAGCCCATACAATGACTATATTTCTGCGTTCCCCTATACATAACCTTCATATTGACACTATATTTAACATAGGGTTTGCGTCTCGATTTTTAAATATCACTACGCCAACATAGGGACTCATTTTTAGGTAAAATCCCTGCTTCACCGATGAAAATTAACGAATAAAGTAGTTCCAGTTTACGGGACTATATTCTTGCGATTTTTTTCTTAAAATGGCACATTTAGAAAGTACTTGGCCTCAGCTTTAGGTATGAGTACCGTAATCCAACACCAAATTTGAAAATTCATAACAATACTTTGCACATATGGCGTTCGTGACCAACTATAAAACGCTTACCCCCCATAGTGTTATATATCAAAATGTACCTGTTCATATAGGGGTTCGATTGATCTACATCATATTATAGGGAGTCAGGTTACTTTTTGAGATATCAGCGTCCATTTATTGTAACTCGCGTTTGCCACCACTTCCTCAATTCTGATATGACGAGCAAACGCGTAGTAGACATGCTCACGTCGGAACTATTTTTGACATTCATCGCTATTTTCGTAATTCAAATGAAAGTTGAACTCCTCCTCTTCATTTTGATACCAAATAGTGGCATACTAGGTACCCTAGAAGCCAACTATGATGTTATTTAGAACAATACCACAGGTTTTTAAATGGACTATATAGGGGTCATACCTTTTGGCGGATGGATATGGAACCTCATACCTTAATGTCTTATGACATCACACTGATTTTTGTCTCTGCAACTTTTTTTGGCGGAAAATATCATTTTTAGTTCAAAAATGCATAAAAACGTCGAAATTGGCTGAATATGTGAAAAATTTATCCATTTAGGCTAGAAAGGGTTAATTTGCCCTACCCCAAATACGTCTAAATATGCTAGTCTAACTTTGCCACTGTGACGTCACAAATCTAACCTGACTATCTCCGAGTTTATTGAAGAAAATGATACGTCTGACAAACAGCTTTCATTCCCTATATGGCACACCTTCTACTAAGAGTTGCATCATTGACTAAATCTAAGACAAAGGCCCTGTGTCCCGAGGATTTTGACTGAAATTTGGCCATTTTCGCCCAAATCTAACTAAATTGCAGTTTCCCTCACACCTGTATTTTGAAATAAATATTGCTACAATGTAGCAATTTAAAAATCATACATGCTTACTGTTTCTGTCGACCTGACACGTGTATCTAGCCTGTAAAAATGAAAAATTGCTACATTGTAGCAATTTTACTGAGATATGGGCCCTGAAAATCATGCAATTTTAGCAAAAAATGAAGAAATAACCTGCAATTTTGACGGAATTTCAGAGGGCTTTCTTTCATTCGTGACCCTCCACGGGCCTCTTATGACCATTCTTATACTCACAGAATGGTTGAAAGTGATTTCAAATCATTGTTTGCCCTAAGCAGAACGAAAAAAATCGATTCTATCCTCAAATTCTGCTGGAATATTGGTCTCTGGCCAACTAGCAGACAATTTTAGGCCTCATATTAAGGTATGAGTACCGTAATCCAACACCAAATTCGAAAATTCATAACAATACTTTGCACATATGGCGTTCGTGACCAACTATAAAACGCTTACCCCCCATAGTGTTATATATCAAAATGTACCTGTTCATATAGGGGTTCGATTGATCTACATCATATTATAGGGAGTCAGGTTACTTTTTGAGATATCAGCGTCCATTTATTGTAACTCGCGTTTGCCACCACTTCCTCAATTCTGATATGACGAGCAAACGCGTAGTAGACATGCTCACGTCGGAACTATTGTTGACATACATCGCTATTTTCGTAATTCAAATGAAAGTTGAACTCCTCCTCTTCATTTTGATACCAAATAGTGGCATACTAGGTACCCTAGAAGCCAACTATGATGTTATTTAGAACAATACCACAGGTTTTTAAATGGACTATATAGGGGTCATACCTTTTGGCGGATGGATATGGAACCTCATACCTTTACATACATACCTCAAATGGCCACATTGCATACACTTAAACCTTAGACTATATCCTATTTAGTCTGAATTATATTCAGACTATAAGGCACCTATGTTAAAGTTTGGTAATTCAAAATATTTATTTACATAGGAAGTGCTATTCAAAATGGCCGATTGGGTAAAATTAATTTGCACATTTTTACTTCAACTAGCTTTATTTCCACTTGACAATATGCTGTGTTACTTTATATTGCATTTAATTGTACCTTACTATTTAATTGACATTTTGTAATGTTTATTTTTTTGAAGAAATGGTTCCTCTAATTGATAATTTTGTGCAAAAAATTTCACTGCAATTTCCACAGGAAAGTAGTACATCATAACAGACTGACTTCTAGTCAGTCTGTTGGATACATACTAACTTAAACCTACTATACACACCATTGAAGTTGGCATGGCTTCGTTTTTAAAGTATTAAAAAACACTGTCCTACCCGGAAGTGCTATTTACATGCGTGGAGATTAAAGAATATCGAGTTGGAACCCTGGCTTCCAATCCTCCTTGCCTCCTTGATCAAAAAAATGAAAACATGAAAATTATTCAACTTCCGGTTTTTCAAAATGACTCGTAAAAATATAAATTACACAAATAATATTGAATTGAAACTCTATATATCTACTTACGTTTGATCTTCACAATTATTTCCTGTGGTTGAACCTTACGACGATGTTCCTGATCTTTCAAGCAAGAGATGAAGTCAAAAGAAACAAAAATGTAAAAATCAGTTTCTGAGGGCCGCCATATTTTTTGTACTGCAGCCACTAGCAGTCAAAATAGATCTTGTATGTTTTCTCCAATCAAGACTCTATTTACGATATTATAAACAAAACTTGATTAAATATATAACTTAATTATAAATGAATAGAGTGATATAGTAAAGAAAGTAAATATTTGATCAAAATAAGTGCAGAGTTTAGTACCATTTTGTAAAATCTGCAGTTTATTTACACTGTCAACAAGTTTTGGAATTTGGACCAAGAGTTTCCAGGTTATAAATGAATAAGTAGCATGCAAATCAATCAACATGCAAAGACATTATAAACACATCATTTCCAGGTGCTTTAGCCTGGTAGCCAAAGAGAAGCCAAAGAGGCAAGGTCAAATATTGAGGACTTTGAATGGAGAAGTTGACACTTCTTCAGAACATTTTCAAAACAATTTAGAACATTCCAAGAGCCTTGCTGAAAAGTACAAACAAGTGTTATCTGTGGCTGAGGCTGGTGGTGGTGAAAAGGGAAAACAGCTTCATGTCGTGCGTAACAAAAAAATTCTGATACGAGATCGCTTGAAGCTTTTATTAGATGAAGATTCAGAGTTTCTCGAATTGTCGCCATTAGCGGGTATGGGAATGGAATATGGCGACATCCCATGTGCAAGTAATGTAAATGGTATGTAGCATTGCCACGGTTATACCAGGCTTTCACGATAACACTACCATGGTCATGGCAGTATCCTGTGAAACTTAAAAACTTTAATAACATGGTGACGGTTGTGCCAGGCATAAGTCTTGCAATAGATAGCACTGTTAAAAAGGCATAAAAATTAGATTTAACCCATACTGTAATTTCCCTGTTCAACTCTGTATCTGTGTTACTTTTTCCAATTAAAGCAAATACATGTTCAATCTTCAAAATTATTTTCAGGTATTGGAAAAATCCATGGAAGATGGTGTATGGTACTGGGAAATGATGCAACCACCAAGGGAGGTACTATCTTCCCTATATCTATCAAGAAGAACCTACGTAGTCAGAAGATAGCAGAGGAGAACATGTTACCTTGTGTGTATATAGTTGACAGTGGTGGAGCATTCTTGCCTCTTCAGGTAAAAGCATCCTCTGGCCACAGTGCTCCAAGATCCAGAATGAGTTCTGTAACCCTATATTATACAGAGGATGGGTAAAAAGTTTGAACATCTCATTCATAAACAATCGTTGCTTTAGATTCAAATCATGCTTAAACAATACATTTGCAGTATAATGATCATTCGGCAACTGAGTATTTTATTATCAAACTATACATTATTTTTTATTTTCAGTCGGATATATTCCCTGACAGAGATCATGGGGGACAGAATTTTAACAATGAAGCGGTGATGTCATCTAAAGGAATTCCTCAGGTATAAAAACAAAATGGCCATGTTTACAGTTGGATTGAAACACATTTGCTCCAAATTCCTTAGATATGGTCATACTTACTTTTGTTGCAATTGTTCTTGCAAAAGAAGTCATGAGAGGGATATTGGATATCCCTACAAGATCTCAGCCAGCTGATTTTTGCAATGAGTACATGGACTTTCCTCTCACTTCAAGGATTGCTTCCAAAAGGTGTAACATGAGTGGGTGCATGGTCAAACAGCAGGTCTGCATTAATGCTCATTGCTCATGGTGCCTACATGAGCTCATGAGTACCATAAAAAAGTTAGCCTCTAATTGATTTTTGTTCTAGCTACATATTCCCAAAATAAATCCCTGATATGTGACTGTTACTTTCAACACTCAAAACACTGTCCTAAAGTGATGCCAGAACTTGGGTCAACATTCAGCCATTCTTATATTTGTTGTAACACCATATAGTCTAATAGTTACCATAGCAAGAGTGAAAAGTGATTCAAATTACAGTTGAACTGTTGGAGTCTCTATGTTTTTTTATCAAAAGATGATATTGCCATTAATTCATATAGGTACATGCACAGGTCGTACATGAGGGACCCATTCCCAAGTGACATTACACATTATTATGTGTGTTTTAGGTAGCTATAGTATGTGGCAGTTGTACAGCAGGGGGCGCCTATGTTCCAACTATGGCTACAGAGGCTGTCATTGTACACAAGATAGGAACTATTTTCCTCGGTGGACCCCCACTTGTTTATGCAGCTCTGGGAGAGGTGGTCTCGCAGGAAGATCTTGGGGGTGGAATGATGCATTCTAGGTACACAATGAAACTTCTGTAAAAATCCTTGTTTTCACTAAAAAGTGCTCCATTTGGAAGATGTTCCATAATTGGAGGCTCAATTTAATATTCCATGTGTCAATTCAAAGATTCCAATTTCAAGATGTTTCGCTTAAAGTGCAAAAATAATGTGTAAGAGATATGGCCCTCAAATACCCCTTTTTGATAACTTAAGATCAGAATTATGAAGAGAATGGTTAATATTAGTTTGATTTTTCAAGCTATATATTTCAAGTTCAATATCGATTATTTAAGGAATAAAGAATTGTGTTTTATTCTCTATTGGAAATTTAAAAGCATGAGTGCATGTACTAATTCATACACATAATGCTCGAAGACGAAGCCTGAGTACATTATGAGGATGGATTAGTACATGCATGCATGCCTTTCAATCCAATGAAGAATGATACAGGGTTCATTATGAAACCAAAATGCACTTAAAAATAATGTTTCTGCTCAGTTGACAATATACCTTGAATTAATGCACTGAAATACTATAAACTGATTGGCTGAGACACACTTTGCATATTTGATTATCTAGTACAACAGGGAGCACCAGCCCTTCATTCTGTTGCTTCGTTTTTTAACATTTGCATCTAAAATCTTCAATTCAATAGAATATGCAAAGATTGTACGGAAATTCAGATGAAAAATCGTCATACTGTTTAAATGGATTCCTTCATTTTACACTCATTTTCTTTGCTGCCATTTTAAGGTTTACACTCAAATATATAGAATTACTACTTGCTCTGTTTCCAGTGTGAGTGGTTGCACAGACTACTATGAAAAAACAGAAGAAGATGCATTTCAAACGGGACGTGATATTATTGCTTGTTTAAACATTGACGAACCTGAGGACCTCATTGACTTCGAAGACCCCTTGTACAACATAAATGACATCCCTGGTATCATTCCAGTGGACAATCAGCACAACATGGACATATACAAAGTAATTTTTATTTTTATGATTTAATCTGATCATGGAATCTGACATGCACCATTAGAGACTACATATTAGATGCATTGACTTATATCAGATCCACTTCATATCAAATAAGTAATATACCAATAAAATTAATATATAGTTTGATAGATTTATAGCAACCATTTTCTATTTTGCAAAAGTAAACACTTATTTATAGGAGTAGCTGGCTTGCTTTAGTTGGTTACGCAGTATTTTTGAACCCTCAAAGACATTGTTCCAAAGTTTAAGTATCCTTTAGATGTCATTGCCCCATCCCCTGAGTTAAGCATATATCAAGTTTGTGGGTCTGGAAAACAGTAAATGAACTCAGTGACTAATAAGTAAGTTCACCATTACATTACAGGTATTATCTCGGTTGGTTGATGGCAGTAGATTCCATGAGTATAAGGCACTATATGGGCCAACGCTTGTCACCGGGTTTGCCTTCATACATGGGTAAGTGTTACTAAAACTGTATTTTACTATCATGATATCCCAATTACATGGCCACTGGTTGAAATTTGGAAAGTTGAACCAAAGTACCAAGAGATGCACATCTCTGATTTCTAAAGATTTGTCAGTGTAAATGGTATAATATTACATTGCAGATTATCCAAGTACACACCCTTTGAACAAATTGTCATATCTTATATGGATCCACATTTGTGTGAACACGAACATGATAAAACATGAATATGTACAATATGAATTATCGAGAGTATATAAAACCTGATCTTGCCTTTATTCCTAGGCACCTTACAGGTATTTTAGGCAACAACCAGGGAAGTATCTCTGAACAGGCAGCGTTAAAAGCCACAAACTTTATACAACTCTGTAGACAGAGGAGATGTCCAATTATATTTCTACAGAATACAACTCCTGAACAACACATTGCTCAGACTACAGAGGCAGGTATGTGTGCTACTAAGGAATAAAATGTTTCAGAAATTGATGAGATTTGAATTAGAATATGCACAACTGACACTGGCAGATCCAGAAGCTAAAAAAAGCCAAAATATTTTTGGGCCATCCTGGGGGGGGGGGCATGCTAAAGTAAGTTGATGTTACTTATGATAATGTTGTTTTTATTTTGAAGGTTTTAACCCCTTTACATTCCAAAAGTGTTCCTTGACATTTCGTTTTCGCCTTTGAAAAATTTCACCTCATAAATTAAACACATTAACTTTACTGCCTAGATCCCCTTGTATAAAACAATCTCACACAACATCGTATAGATGTTATAATTGTTTTTTGGGAGAAAATCAATGAAGAATATTTCTGTTTGTAATGAATTGTGCTATTTCAGCAATTGAATATAGTAAAAGAGTGAAGGCCCAAGCTGCAATGATGTCTGCCGTAGCCTGTGCAGATGTCCCAAAAATAACTATAATCATTGGAAATAGTTATGGTGCTGAAAATTATGCAATGGTAAATATATTAAAGGGTGATATCTACAAGTGGACTATCATACACTAAAAGTCCCTAACCATGGGAATTAAGTACTGTATCTGGTATTATGTTCAGTAATATCCCTTTTTAAAAAATTTTAGATTGAGAAATGCCTATAATACTTTGGAAATATATTATGTCTGTTGTGAGTAGCTACTCCCATCATGAAATCAGGGGAATAAAAAGGGAATACCTCCATCTTTTTTACATTATTTTTTGCATATATCCATCCATCTCTCTGGATGATGACTCGAATGCCAGTGGTATAATTTCATTCAATTATAGGCATGTCCCTTGTTAGACTATCGTCAAAAGAGTTACAAAATAGTTACCCAGACCTTTTGTGAATGAACTCTGCAATTAATACATTGCATAAGTACCTCATTAGCTAAAACTTTTCTCTTACTGTGTTTTGTATTCAGGCTGGCAGGTCAATGAGCCCAAGCTTTCTGTTTGTGTGGCCCAATGCTAGGACCTGTCTGATGCAAGAAGAGCTTCTTGGCCAAGAAACTGTCCAGGTAACATCCAGATTTAATCCTTTCTATTGTGTTATTTATTTCTTATAAGCTAAAATAAATACTTCACAATGTGGGCCAAAAATGTTTATATTTTTCACTGGGTTAAAACTTTCTAAACCATGTATTTTTAAAGAAAATTGCGGGAGCAAAAATGTCACAAATATATCTTATTGGGTATCTGTTTTAGAAAAGTTTGCAGACACTGGGGATGATGAGCGTTATGTAGAATGTTTTAAGACTTTAAATTATGTTTCATAAAAATAGGCTCCAAAGTAAATTTAAACATTTATCTACTGTAAAAAGTCACCCCTGTACCTCTATTTTATAAAAATCTGTGATAAACATCATCATTACTAATTCAAGAGAAAGTCCATGCTAATTGGTAGAAAAAACTTATTATGGTATACATTTTTTAATAACAATGTTGCCATACAAAATTGAAAATAAAATCCAGAGATATCAGACAATTCCAGAGTCAAACTGCATATATCTTCATGAAAATGTTAGATTTCAAAGCAACAATTTAAATGGACTCCAAACCTACCCTCACAGCCATCCATTTCATACCATTCCTTTTTAATTTGAAACATTTAAAACTATACATATCAGAATTTTACCTTATCAGAAGTCCAAAGTTTCATAAAAAATATTGGTTACATGTCATAATAAATACATAATTATACACACATCAAAATAACATGTTACACAATTGATAAGAATGAAATGTCCAGGGGGTGAAATGTCCAAGGGATGAAAAGTCCCAGGATGAAATTGAAATATCAAGGGGGGAAATGTCTAAGGGGTAAACATCTAGGGGATGTAATGTCTAAGGGATGAGCAGTCTAGGGGTGAAATGTCTTGATACCCTCTGCTAGTAATGATATAACTACATAACTACCATACAAATCAAGACAAATGATTAGATTTAAATGGAGGAAGTCAGTCCAATTTAAATCAATTTGGTGATAGGTCCTTTTAGTAATATGTATATTACTTTTTGAAAAAATATGCATGTATTGGCATGATCATTATTCATACATACTGCATGTGGTTCATAAAATACCCCATGGAAGTGAAAATAGAAGAAGATAAAGCGACCAAAAGGATACTTCATTCAATGTATACTGTAAACATTCACTTTTCTGTTTTCTCAGACAATTGTATGCATATGATATGGACCATATAAATATTTTAACCTCCCAAAGATGTCACATGTATTTGATCCCTGAAAATCTTTGCTTTTCATTTACACATACAAACATAAATAATGACATATTTGAGTTACCCTGTATATTGAGCTGGATGTCAAATTGGAGTTGTTGCTCCCATAAGTAGAATGAGCTGTAGCTAATTGAAAAGATTATATTGAACATCTATTTTCACATTCCTGGCACAAACAAGTCCAAAATGCTTTCTCGGCAAGTGTCACATGATTTCTTGATCGCGCCTTCCTGATGTCCTAATAAACACTTGATTTATATTTTAAATTATATTTTCTGCTCCAACCTAGGTGTTTTTTCCTACCTCCCACACAATGTATGTCTGATTTCTTTCAAATTAATTAAATATTTGAATACAACAGTTCCATTTTTAATTTTCAGTAGTTGCTTCTCGTAATGATTTTATTGGATTACTAAATGTTTTACATAAAAATGTTTATTCTGCTTCATTCAAATATTACTATTTTTGGCGAAAGGAGTCTGCAAAGGTGCCACAAAAGCAGTGAATGAAGAAATATAATCGGATTAGCTAATTAAGCAAATCCACCTAATTAAGCTAATTAGGCAACTTTAATTAGCCTATTATAGCTGATTCCTTAAAGTAAGTCATATAAATGGTAAATTCTTAACATACTTACATAAATTGCTGGTCAGTAAGTAAATCCAGTAAGTAAATCCAGGCCCAAATTATCAAGGAATTAATGTATTATATTGCAACATTAATGGTAAAATTTCTGAAGGTGAAAAAAGTAACCGATTTGTCGAACTTGGTATAACAGCTAAACTTCAAAATTGCCATATTTTATCAGTTTGTGAAGCAGGGAAAAACCTGGATCTGAATAAACTAGTTATTGAGGGTTTTCATAAACCATACCAACCACATAACCCCTTGGGTAGAGGTATACTGCTATATGTTGATGAAAAGCTAGCGTTTAAACCTAGAGAAGATCTTAGCACAATTAATGAGATTGGTTGGGTAGAAATAGTAGTTGATCATAAAAAAATCCTAATTGGCACATGTTATAGGTCGCCATCAATGACATTGATTGGGGATATTGAACAATTTAATACTCTTCTAGAGCAAAGCTTAGATACTGCCATTAGGGAGAGGAAGTACGACATGATTCTATTGAATGGGGATTTTAATGCCAAGAGCAAGTTCTTCTATGATCATGATATTGATAATTTTGCAGGGACTAAACTGTATGAGACAATGACAACCCTCGGTTTTGAACAATTTATTCATGAGCCAACTAGGATTACAGAAAATAGCAAAACTTGCATAGATCTTGTTTTTTCAAATTCTCCAGGCTTTATGCTTGGAAATGAGATTTTAGCACCAATAGGTGGCAGTGACCATAGCACTGTGGTGTCACATATACAGCTAGCTGCAAATAAACAACAGTCAAAACATATAACTAAGACATGGCAATATAAAGATTGCAACCAGCCTGCTCTGAACAATGAAATTAATACTATAAATTGGAATGATATTATTAATATTGGGTCAATTGATGACTCTTGTCTCAATTTTTCATCTAAATTGTCTTCTGTTTTTGACCAATACATACCACACAAATTGAAAGTGAGGAATTCAAATGACATGCCTTGGTTTAATGATGAAATCAAAATGGCAATAAATAGGCGTGACAAATATTATAAGAAATTCAAAAGAAATAATACTTTTGACTCAAAATTGAAATATAAAAATAAAGTTGAAATCTTAGGAAGACTCATTGATAAGGCCAAGGAGAATTATGAAAATGAAATTTGTGAAAATCTTCAGACATATTCTAGCGGAGATCACTTTTACTGGAATGCAATTAAGAAACTACTTGGAAATAAGTTCTCCTCTGGAATTCCAACTTTGAGTAATCCATCTTTGACCAAGGTTTGTAGCTCTGATGAAGATAAAAGAAATGAATTCTTAAATTTGTTTGTGGGAAAATTTCATTATGATACCTCAAATACAACAATTGATTTACCACTTTTTCCAACTAGAACAAATAAGACACTTACTTGCAATTTGACCACGCCAGCAGAAATACGGAGCCTTATAGTTGACCTTGACACTTCAAAAAGTGAGGGACTAGATGGAATCACAAATAAAATGCTTGTAATGAGTGCTTTCTCTATTGATAAACCACTAGCTCTAATTTTCAACAGAATTCTTTCTGAAAATATTTTTCCTAGATCTTGGAAGGATGGGATAATTATTCCCATTTATAAAAATAAGGGTGATAAGTCAGACAGCTCTAATTATAGGCCTGTAACACTTCTTTCTACTATATCTAAATTGTTTGAAAAGGTTTTACAAAAACAGGTAATGAAATTTCTGTTAGACAATAATTTACTATATGAAAATCAGTCAGGCTTTTTACCTGGTCATAGTACTGACAGTCAACTTCTCAGCATAACAAACTTCATTTTTAGTAATTTCGAAAAACAAACTGATGTGAGAGGAATTTTTTTGGACCTGGAATCTGCATTTGATAAAGTCAAGCACAATTTACTCATTCACAAGTTAAAATCATATGGTTTTGATGAAAATATCTTGACTCTAATTAAATCATACCTAAGTAATAGAAGAGTATGTACGCGCTTAAACGGGACTTTATCTGAATTTTCAGAAGAAAACTACATAAACAGCGGTGTTCCACAGGGTTCCATTTTAGGTCCCATCCTGTTTTTGCTTTTCATTAATGACCTACCAGAGGTCATTCAGTCAAAATGTTTCATTTATGCCGACGACACATCCATATATGTGCCCGTTCAAAAGTCCGAGGATATTGCAGTATCAAACTTATTACTACAGCGTGACTTGGATAATGTTTACGACTGGTCAAGAGTATGGGGCTTAAATTTCAAGCCCTCTAAAACCAAAGAAATTATTTTCTCCAAATCTGGTCGAGCCCAAAGAAATTACCCTATTTTGACCTTAAGCGACAGAGAAATAGAGAGAGTAAAACACCATAAACACCTTGGCGTTATCTTAGATAACCACCTTGATTTCAAAGAACATATAGACCAGCTTAAATTAAAAATAAACAAAATGCTAAATCCTTTAATCGCTTTAAAAAATAGAATCTCATCCAAACATCTTGAAAGAATGTACCTATCTTTTATTTTGCCTAAAATAGAATTCGGCTCTATCTTTTACAACTGCGCACCAAACTATGCCTTAATCACACTCGACAGGCTGCATTATAGAGCAGCCTTAGTAGTGACTGGGGCCATAAAGGGTTCCTCCGAGATCAAAGTTCTATCCGCTTTAAATTGGAAATCTTTAAGTGAAAGAAGACAAGAAAAAATGGCAACTCTTATGTACAAAGTTACCAAAAACAAAGTCCCTCGCTATGTTCATGACATATACAGAAATCTTCAAAATCCTGGGGTAGAGCGTGCTCTTCGTGCCCGACACGAATACAACATTCCTGCTAGATCATCCACAAAATTCACAAATTCACCAGCCATTGCACCAATAAGAATATGGAAAACTATCTCTTTTGACGTCAAGAACAGTCCCTCAATATCAGCCTTTAAGTCACGTTACAATAAATGGAAATATAACCCCAACCCCCGTTCAGTGCTGACCACAAAACTAAACCTCAAAAGATCTATCGAAATTAAATTGAATCGTATCCGAGTTGACCTGGCATCCAGAGCAGATTTTTACAGACACAATTTTAAAGAGTTTACAGATCCCAGTTGCCCCTGTGGCTTTCAACAGCAAACTAAGTCTCATTTACTCCTTGATTGCCCTCTATCGAATGGAGCCAG